TTTCATAGATATTAGTGCTCCATATCTAGCCACTATTTTTAATAAATGTATTGATAATGGCGTTTTTCCACAATTCATGAAATTTAGCAAATTAATCCCACTATTTAAATCAGGAGATAAATTTGAGCCAGGAAACTATAGACCTATAACTATTTTCCAGTTCTAAGTAAGGTGTTTGAAAAGATAATGTTAAATCAAATGTTACAACACTTCAGGGTTAACGGACTGCTTCACAGTCAGCAATATGGTTTCACCGCCGGCAAGTCTACCACTGACGCAGGTGTAGCGCTAATAACACATATTTTCGAATCTTGGGAGAAGTCACAGGATGCACTCGGAGTTTTTTGTGACCTATCAAAGGCATTTGATTGCGTGGATCATAAAACGCTTTTGTACAAGCACGAACATTATGGTATAAGAGATAATGATCTAAAATTAATGAAAACTTATTTAGAGGATAGGGTCCAAACTGTAGATATTGACGGTGTAAAATCTAAGGGAGCTAATATTAAGATGGGCGTTCCACAAGGGTCAATCTTAGGCCCGTTTCTCTTTTTAATCTACATAAATGACCTTCCCTTTATGGTAGAGAAAATTGCAGATATAGTGCTGTTTGCGGATGATACTTCGCTAGTGTTTAAAATTGGACGTCAAAGAAATCAATTAGACGATGTAAATTGTGCTATGTCTGCAATATTAAATTGGTTCACATGTAATAACCTATTATTAAATTCCAGCAAAACAAAGTGTATAAAATTTACACTTCCTAATGTAAGACTAATAAATACACAGTTAGTGCTTAATGACGAAATAGTAAATTTTGTTAATGATACAGTTTTTTTAGGTATAATAGTGGACTCGAAATTACAATGCCCCATATTTCAAAATTGGCCAGTAGACTCAGTTCTGCTGCATATGCAATTAGAAGAATTAGGCAATTAACAGACGTGGCGACGGCTAAACTTGTATATTTTAGTTATTTCCATAGCATAATGTCTTATGGCATACTGCTGTGGGGTAAAGCAGCCGATATAAATACTATATTTATTTTACAAAAGAGAGCCATACGTTCTATTTATGGTATGGGTTCAAGAGAGTCATTACGTCAGTGCTTTAAAGAATCAAATATCCTCACCGTTACTTCACAATACATTTATGAAAATATCATGTATGCCCGGAAGAACTTAGAGAGTTTTAAAAAACTCAAAGACTGTACAAGTAGAAACTTACGCAATATAAATAAGCTAATTTTACCTAAATGCCGTCTGCACAAAATTAGTAACTCATTCTATGGTAATTGCGTAAGATTTTATAATAAACTGCCAGAATCTGCATTAAATCTGACAGAGAGGCAATTCAAATCTTATATTAAACAATTTTTATGTAAAAAAGCCTATTACAGGATAGACGAATTCATAGATGACAACATATCAAGTAAATAATTAGTTTATTAGCATACAACGTTATAATTTAATTTTCTCATTGCTTTCTTGATTTAATTGATTTTAAAAATATGAAAGCGTAGCGGTTTTTGTATTGATTGCCGCATGCATTCTTATGTAAAATGTGAATACTATAACTATCAGATGGCAATTGTAAGTAGCTTTGACGTAGTCTAGTGTTTTGAGTAGTCATGCTCACTAAAATGTCCAGACTTGTGGCGGCGTGGTGGGCCGGGTCATTGGGCTTCCTAAAATATGGTCGAGCGCAGTGATGGCTGGCTAATCCGTCATACTCGTGAACGGGTGCTGCTTGTAGGGACTGGTCTGCTCTAATCATTATGACTGATTTCCTCTTATTAATTGTTTAACCAGTTGGTTATATATTCAATATTTTTTCTATTTGAGTATTTAATACAATTAGTGCTAATTGGTGGTTTGTATTCACACACTTAAACTTAAAAATGTAAAATAATAATAAAATTATTTAAAAGAGCAACACGCAAGTTTCTTGCTCGTTCTTGTGATGAGACAGCTTTCCGAACGAGCGGTAAATTAAAAAATGTAATGACTATTCAAAAGTGCTTCAAATGTAAGTTTATTTGAATAAATGATTTTCTATTCTATTCTAAACTTTAACAAAATGGTGAAATAATACTTAGTTCATACTTTGTTCTAATATTCCTTTCTCTTATCTTAAATATATATTTAGGAAGTCACAACAAAAGAACAATGTAATGGACATATTTTTCTTGAATATGTATGTACGCGATGACGCTTGAGGAACTTACTTCTCGGTTCTGTGATATTTTGTAGCATTATTTTTAAATGAACCATATTAAAGTTAAATGTAACATTTCGTAATACCTGTAAATATGGACTATTTTATTTAATAATTTCCAGGTGTATTATTGCAATATATGTATGAACTGTCGCACTGGAAAGGGAGAAGTCTCAATGAATTGCGAAATTCCTGTGACGTCATTTATGGATAGGCCGTAATTTATCGTATACGTGGTAAACAAGAAATCCGATTTTTTTTGTGTAATAAACTGTAGGTATACAGGTTATCTTTCTCATATACAAACTATAATCATAATATTCTGGGTAAAGTTCCTTTTGAAATAATCTGAAACGTGACAGATTTCTAAAATACAAGCTTCGTAGTTATTTTAATAATTAACTTATTATAGTAGTAACATGAATTGTAATTGACTTCTGTAGTCTGTAAAACCACATAAAGAGGTAGACTGTAAAAAGTTCTCTGCGTGGACCACTTCGCTTATCATACACCAAACAACTTGCTTTGTTTCGGTTGTATCACTTACATCACATGTTAACATGATGTCTGTGGTACTGTTCATATATAGGCGACGGATACCGATTCTCATCAGAGGGACCACAACCTTGATTGCTATTTAAATTATTGAAAGAATGAAATACTCTAGACAATTATTATTCGTTTGACAGTTTTATAATTAATCGGGGTTCTTTGATTCAATATGTAATTATAAAGCGACCATTCCCAACAATAGCGATACCAGATACTAATATGAGTGATTCCACGGACAGAGATCTCACTTCTGTTAGTGATTTCGTATCCTCTGAGCCTGGCCTAGCGTACTTATTATATTTTTATACTTATTTTAGATAAGATTTTTATTTGTATTCTCAGTACACACATAAAAGTTCAGTTACAAGTGATATACATTAGAAAAGAGTTCAAAAGTATAAATGAATAAACTTGTATAACGTTGTAACCTACGTGGAGCGCAATAAAAATGGCTATAGCTCAGTGTGGAGTATCACTCAGGGAGTGAAACATTTCAGCTGTGACTGTAAGGATGAACTACTACTACTTATTATTAAAATATATGATCGTATATTCTTTACGACACGAGTCTGTGCAAAGTGAGGACATGTGTACGTTATTTTTATAAAGTTGGCTTCGTGATACAATTTATCTTCACAACAAATTCAACAAGTTACACTTTGTTAACAGTCATCTACATTCTTCTGTCTACCTACTTCAGCCGCCAAGGAAGTTATGCTTTGTAAACGATTTCTAGTACCCAATGTGGACTTATACCCTACTACTAATACCCTACCAGATACCATTGCAGTAATTTTTACAGGTAGGTAACATTTCATGTACATAATTATTAATAACTCAATAATAAAACAGAAACAGTAATAAATACTTTATTTAAATATTTGTACCAATAATAGTGCTTAAATTCTTTCAGGTCTTCATCTGAATAGACGCCTGTTAACTGTACAAATTACAACTAAAACGAAATATAAGCGTTTAATAATATAAATAGAAATATATGTAACTCGATTCATATTTTTCACGCTGGCAATATTTTATTTCTTGATGAACGAACGATTACGCATCAAGTCGTTCAATCGAATAAATATTGTAAATGCGTCTACCAGACGGGAAGCATGAGATGGAAATTTATTAAAAGCAAAATGTTCCAACGTACGTGGTTTTGATTGAATTTATGTATCTTCGTTCGTTAGATTATATATATATATATATATATATATATATATATATATATATATATGTATATATATTATATATAAATCAATAGATACGTATATACAACAATAAATAAAATATAGCCCGCATACTCAAACTAGCGCTAGCGTGTACAACATTCCATTATAATCCATTCAATTAAATTAAAAAATATAAATATATAGAAGTTAGATACTAATAATTACCTACATTATTTATCTAAGAATATAGAAAGCTGATTACGGGATAAAAACAGTTAAATAAGCATGATCAAACGTTTGTCAAATATCTAGAATAACAGAGATTCAATGCAATATTTTCTATCGTTTAATACGGTTTAAGATATTTTATTTCTTAGAGGATTTTGACAAGATGCTATTAACTATCAACTTGCTCATTTGTTACAACAAGCTTAAATGTTAATACACTAAATGAAATAAAAAGTTTTTATAACATTTAATTTCAGACTGATACGCTATTTCAGGTATATTCTTCAAGCTGCTTTCGTTGCCAAAATTCATATACCTACTTTGTTGTGAAGAAAATTCGTTAGAAAATACGTAGATAGTTTTGGATTTGAGCCACCACCATACAAAGATGCTGGGGAGATATACGATCACTGAATTTTAATTAATCGTCAAATCTCAACTCAAACTCACTCAATTTTAAACAAAATTGTGCAACCTGCCGTGTAGTGTGAAATTAAGTACGTCTCAGTCTCTATGCGAGATGAATTATATGTCCTGTCTTCTTTACCCCAAGGGATGAACGGGGCTGCTGCATCCACGTAGTTACGAATCAATCAGAATGACTCCTCACAGAATCACGAGCCATTGAAAAATTAATTTAACTCTCCGTTCTTTAGGTTTGAATTTAATAAAAAGATATTATTTAATTTCAATGCAGTTTTTCTACAGGTCTGCTCGGTAGACTCGTCACAAGTATTAAATCTTTAAATTTATTTATAAATCACTCAACCTATTTATGAAAAGGGTGTTCACACTTTCAAATAATAATCTCATTGATATCAAATACATTTATTTGTTTTTACAAGTAAGCAGACAATATATTTAATAAAAAAAGGAAATATGCGAGCAGTATTTTTCGAAGTTTAAGAATGTCCGGGTTTATCAAACCAAAAAGCACTTACGTCATTGTAAGGAGACTGGAGTTCAGCAGCTTCTGATGATTTACTGTTGATTACCTACACATAAACAAGACAATTAATACTGTTGTGTTCTCTTTGTTATGTGCCAGAAATATGCTCAGGAGAATGTGCTCAGGAATCACAACTAATCTAACATCTCTATTCAATGGAATCCCTCGTCGTCATGTAAGAAATAGTAGAAACCCTCGTCGTCGGAGAAACCCTTCGATGTTGCCATTCCAGAAGATATAGAAATACATATACAGAACAACAATTACATCTCACACTTTTCTTCAACCGAGAGACAGGTAACACAGCAAGCTGCTTGGCGGCAGTCAACAGATAAAACAGAAATATCACAATCAGACGACTTTATTTGTGGGCCAATATATGTATCTATGTATACTCAAGAATAGGTAGGTAGCAGTTGTTATTTTTTTATTAAACAATTCTCTGGTACACTCACCTTAACGCTCTTTCGTGAGACGAAGCCATTTTTCCTCAACGCCACCAATGTTACCGGTTTCGTTCTAGTTTCGAATGGCTCAAAATAACCCTAATAAAGAAAAAAAAACAAGCTAAAATTTACTCATTATTTCTAATATTTTTATTAGAACTTCTATTAATAGCTTTCCCTTGAAACTAATAAATAAATAAGCGGACAATCATTGTGGATTATGTAATATAATTTTTAGGTATTATATTTTTTGGTTACTTTGTATATATATTAAATAATTACCTTATGAAAAAATGGACTGAAATCAATAGAGAGTGCTTTCGCTAGGCGTGTTAAGCGCGGTGGTATTTTTACAGAATTTGCACTAAAATTGTGGACTCGCTGTTGTTCCTGAAACAAGTTACCGTTACAAGATTCAAGCACATACATATATTTTATTCGTCTTCGTTTTGGCTGTTTATAGCACACCGCTTTCGGAAACCACACCTGACGGAAAGGTGTGGTTTTGCATTGTTTGTAGTATTTATTAGTATGATTGTTTGCATCTGTCTGGGTGTTTTTTATATATATTATTATTTATGTAGGTATTTACAAAAGAATTTGTATCTAAGTATTTCTGTCAGTCGTTTAGTACCCATAAACTATTTAGCTTGGGACTAGATAACGCTGTGTGAATTGTCCTGGATTATTATTATACTACTTGGTACAAATTATAACGTATTTATAAGTGAACAGTAGTTACTTACAGTATTGCATTTATAATTCGTTTTAATTAGATATCTGTTTAGAATTATTATAATTGGTTTTAAAAACCAAATATATTATGTAGAAATCAGTCTTCAAATAACTCATAGGTACAGCAAAAACTAAATACCTACTTACTTGAGAAAGTGGTTGGTACTTCCATAAAGTATTTGAAACATTTGTATCAGTCTCTGGTCCTGATCCATTTACCGGGAAGGTTTTCTCATAGTCAGGAAAAGATTGACCACTAGTCTCAGAATTTACCGATTCCTTTGTCGCTGTAAATACAATAGAACGACTTCATATTATCCATATTTACAATCTGAAAATTGCTTTATATCAATTAACCATACAATCACTTTCAGCAATACAAAAATAATACACATCTGTGATTATAGCAAATATTGCAACTTTCATAATTTCCATTTTTAGACTATATCAATCGTATGTCGTTCTTCACGTTGTGTCTCGAGGAAGTAATCTACCATTTATGTAAATGATACAAACAAGATTTCAATGAAAAAGTATGTTTACCTTTATGTCGTACAATAAGTCGTTGTAAATGTTAATGTTCATTGAAGTCAATTCTTAGGAACTGAACATTTGTACGATCATTTTAATTGCTCAAGTTGAAGTGCGCTGGTAGATAACCCTCGATGGAAATTTAACATGTCTGTCTGTAGCATAACTCCTAAACAAACCGATTATGATGCGGTTCTCTTTATTTGAAATATACTGATACTTAACTACAGTTTATTGACTAAATATAAACCCGATTGCTTAAAATTTAAATTTGTAATTATTTACTCAGTGGTAGGACAAAACAATATTATTTCAACTGCAACCTAAATGTTGTATAAGAAGATCAAAATAAATAGACAATGTTTTTGCTATATGTACACACCTGTTTTCAAATAAGTGAGAAGGATAATAACTTTCAATTTTCAAACAACTAATACGACAATGTTCAGCATTTGAAATATACTCACAATTTCTCTTTAAAACGCATTTATGGTAAAAGCGAATGTATCGAGAAATTAAAACATTTAACGTTTTTTTGGGAAATAATATTAGCTACTTATTTACATATATAAAAGAGATGGTTAGATAGGTAAGTTAAATATGGTATTAAAAAAGCAATAATTATTGTTCGAAATCGTGAAAATCGACAGTATTATTCTCCCGTAAGGCGCAAGGGGCTCGAGTACACGTGCGGCGTTGCTCTTCGTGTTCTCCAGGGGCGCAGCGCCCGGCCACGCAGACTCGATTTCGAGATATGGTCCCGTCTCCACACGTAACTGAGCAATCACTCCATTTACTCCAACGGCTCCAAATTTTACGCGCTTTCAAAGTGTCTTCCTTCTGACAGTCTTTTGCTGCAAATGTTGTGCACTTATGTTTATAAGTAATTGAAGCGGTGGTGTCTTAAGCATATTTGGTGCTGGTATGCAATGCGCAAAAAAAACAAATGTCAACATTTTAATTAATATTATGTGACTTCCTATCATTCTTTACTGGTGTACTTACCTATATATTACGTAGTAATTACAAAAAATACAGATGATGATTTTTAAATAGACACATGCATATTTATACATTAAACCTACAGATTAAACACACGCTGTACACACACACACATATATAGGTACATATATATATATATATATATATAAACAGAAAACATATGGGTTACTATTCTTTAGTTATTGTGGATTTATTAGCTAAGATAATTCAGACGCCAGTTTGGTTTATGTGATAGACTTCGAGGCTTATTCATAATAAATAAATCATATAGATACATATCTCTAAAAACTACTACTATTGGTACATATATTTGTGGCTACACTACCTACTGTGTTTATATTTTTACTGAGGGTTTTAGGCAGTTATCATATATTAAGACGGGTATCACTGCGACTTAAATAGATCTATCGTGCTCGCCCTGTTTTTTCAATACACTACCAATATATATAGAGTACTCAAGTTATGTCATGTATCATACCTACTTGTAGTTATGTCCATTTCTTCAGTATCTAACACATGTCTATCAAATTTAGTTTCTTTACGTGATTTCATTGTTGTCATACACATTCTCAGCTGTTCTTCTATTATTAGATTTAAAACTTCTACAGGATTTAATGATGATTGTGAATCTATCTTGTCAGGTTTTTTGGGATTTGTAACAGACATATAAATTAATAAAATAACGCATGATGCATGTAAAAAACCCATTACGAAATATTTTTTTTTATATAAATATTCGTCTTGTTCTCAGAACTTAGTTGTACTACGTAGCAGTATAGCTATTACCCGTATGACTTTCATCCTCTAATCACAGTTTTTCTATGACATTTAGTCAAAGACAAAATAAATATAATAAGATCTAGTTTTGTAAGTGTAAGATCATACCATCTAGAATAATAGATACGTAACAAAAGGAATAAATAGGTACTAAACCTAAATATATAAAAATAGTATATCCCTACATGTAAATATTATTCAATAATAATTATATATTTTACATCCTTAATAATAGACAAGCTGACGTGCCTCCAGGAAAGTGATAATTGTCCTCGAGATACTTAGAGTGAGTTATTATGATGTGTCTACATTATATATCTACTAGCTGTGGCCGCCGGTTTCGTTTGCGTGAAATTTATTGCCTAGGTTATATGTTATTCTGATGTATGTATAAGCTATATTACTGTAAAGTTTCTTAAAAATCCGTTCAGTAGTTTTAGCGTGAAAGAGTAACAAACATCCATCCATACTCACAAACTTTTGTTTTTATAATATTAATAATAATATGAAAAAATATATATAATGCAATACAGGGGAACCTAAAAAATGTCAATGTTTTGGAACTATAGACCTGAAAGGCTAAAAGTTAAAAGTTTAGTAGAATTTACAAAATTTATATTTTTTTAGTTGTACGTGCATTGGTATAAAATTATCTCCATGTATATCTCCCTAGATATAATTTTTTACCAAATTCTGCTAATTTTTTAATTGTCACCACTTTTTTTTCTTATAGGCAAGTATATCTTTAGAAGTCTCGTCTTCGATCTTCGACACAGGTGACGTGACGTAGACTTTTTTTAATTGATAATAATGGAATGGTGCACCGGCCAGGTCAGTTAGCCTATTGTGACAACTTCACCAGGTACTTATCACGATGGTTTCCAGTTTGAACCACGTGGAGGTAAACCTGACGTGGTACATTGTTAGCAATAGGTTCATTAATCGACATTATTAATTTTCCCCTGACGCAAAAAATTATGTTAATTGCATTGGCTAATATTTTAAATAAAATCAAACGCCTTAGGACTTCAAAGGGAAGGTAAACAATTAGTGGTGCACCGAATATGTAACCCCATTCAGCTTGCGGTGCACGCTTATTAGGTACCTGCAGAAGTGTATAGTTGTAGGTTGTACTTAAAGTGGAGTATACAATTTTCCTTTGTGTTAGCCGCTTCCGTACAATACGTTTATATACTTACTTGTACGAGTATATATGTATATAGAATGAATATGAAGAATTTAATTACTGCGCTTGTATCTTTACCTTGTAATTTTACTACAATTTGTAGGCTGTTGATGTAAGTAAAAAAGTACCCCCTAAGTAGGTACTAGTACGGTTTTTAATTAAACAAAAACCGTATTAGTACCTACGTGGGGGGAATCTATTACGTAAACGTCGAACCATTAAATACAATTAGGGCTACGAAACCCTAATGAAACCTAATTCATGGACGGAAGTACTTTATTTTAGTTTACAAAGTACATATTATTGATGTACAACATGTACCTACTTTGTAAATTAGAGTAACGAAAAGGTATTAAAAGAATTCATAATTCCAATCAATTTATTAAACAGCTCAATACTTAAAATGACTGATGTCAATACAATACATAGATACATCATAATGAATATTAATTTATTGGCAAAATAATTAACTACTTTAGTAAGTAAAGGTACATTTTTAATATTCAGAAGATCATAGAATAAAGTATTAAATACCTTTTTATCTATGGCGATACATTTTTTAAATACTTTAGTTCCTATTAGGTATATAGGGCCACTACTTATTCAGTAGGTACAGTCGGCTTCATAAATATGTTAGAGCGGTCAACAATACCTTATCTTAATTATCAAAAATATTTGTAAATAACTAACAAGTCAACTTATTCGCCTCATTTATTCCTCTATTAAAAATTTAAATATGTTTTGCGAAAATATTAATAACTTTGGATTGTAATAATAATATGTTTATCCTATTGGTGTATATATATAACTGTGAATTATTGTCTCGTATGATATAATATAACCGTGAAGTTACGATTTATCGTATATTATCATATTTATATGAAGTTGACTGCACATACCATTCTACAAACGGACGTGGGCCTTGGTACACATAATTTTACTCTTAGGTATGGGCACATCTAGTTTATATATTTCACATAGATAATAAATTTTTAGACATTTAGTGAAGTATCATAGAGTACAACGGAGGGCGTTTCGCGTAGACATTTACAATAAAAAGGCAATACATTAACACGGTCTTCATAATACACTAAAATTAAAGGCAATATCGGAACTGTAGACAGAGCTCTGGAACGCTTCTTAAATTCAGTCAACCGACATATTGTGTCCTGAAATTAGTCCTGATTTCTCATAATGCGGACCCACGGCCCTAATTTCGAGCTGATTTTACCCACACCTAAATCAAATATTACCCCTCATTTTAGTGCCGCGTGTAGACCGTTTAAGTCATTGACACATTAACCTATTACGAAATGGATACTATTAAACTAGAATTACAAGTAGTGCCAAACGCACGCAGGTATTACAATTATTTGAATCATAGACAATGTGATACACAAGTTGCAATGCACAAAGTACAGTTTACAATCCTAAACCTAATTGTTTTCGAACGTTTCTTAACTTATTATAATCGATTTAACATGAGATTTCAAAAATATTACTCTATTTCTTATGGATATTTTTTCGGTTTCATGAATGCTATTGCTTTATTCGGGATGGGATTGTTATGAGTAGGTCCGGTCTCTGTTGACTATTATTAGGATATACACTTTCGTTCATGTACTGAACGATTTGTTGAGAAGTTAACAAAAGTAATGGTTACTTGCTACAGTGGGCTTCATAAAGATATTGGGGGGACGGGCTGATGGATAAGTAGGAAAGTCTCAATAACATCTTAGCTAATAAAGTTATTAGATTACAATTAGCTATCAACAAATCTTGAACACTTCACTCAGAAGTCGTATACAAATTCCTTAGAAGGTTTATGTATTTGATATTGGAATATAGTATGGAAATGCTAAGACATTATTGATAAAATGACTTCGTCCAATAATACCGTCATTCGACTGCGTACATTTATTTAATTAATAAAATTACATCTAATTTGGGTCCCCTAATATTTTAGACCATCCTAACGCTAGGATCTATATGAAGCTAACTGTATCGGTACTATGTGAACAGGACCTGACATAAATATACTAACAAATACTAATCACATAATGGGCAAAAGACCCCTTGTACTTTAATACATACCACTTTATTATCAATTTATTCATTATTATTGGTACATAATAATGTTAAAAAAAATATTAGTCCCGTGACTAATTTCAAAACATGGTTTTAATGCATAATATTGCATTAGGCAAACTTATTTATATAAATATAATTTGTTACAGAACAAACAGCACTACACCAGCTAATGGAATATTTAAAAATATTCAAATAAAAATATATACTCTTGTATTTAACGCAATCCAAATTTATAGCTTAAAACTCAATATTATATTATATATTAAGATGTTTAAAGTATAAGAGTAATTTAGCTCATTCAATGGGCACGCGAGATGAAACTATGTGGACAATGACAGCGGGGAATGTACGGATTTCAATATCTAATATCGATCGACCATCATTAAAAAATACCTAGACCGATTGATTTGTGCAATTCCCGCAGACTAATGGAAAATGCTCGGCCTGAATAACTGAAAGCCACGGGTCACCCGTTGCAAGGATTAAATTATTTCCAATTAACCTATAATATATTTGTCTACCGATATAGGTCACTTCTTATATGTAATATACAAATGTCTATAATTAATTTAGAGATTCTGAAATCACATTAATGACACGCCTTCCTATTATCTATAATAAAAAATATCGAACAGATGCCATTACTGTATCTATGTGTACAACACACTCAGTTCTACGCCACACAACGCACAACCCTTGCAATGTTTGCAACGAAATTTTCTAGAACGTTGTGAATGTGCAATATGCACATGTATCGTAATATATCAAATTTGACATGGTATTCCGTTAATGATATCAGAGTTAATACTTTAAAAAAAATTATTGTAGTTTATCCAATAAAAAAAAATTGGTAAAATGATTATAATTTTACAAAGGGATATTTATGGAATGACTTAATAATATTTTAGATTAGACTAAAAATGATTAATGTTGTCAAACCAAAAATAATTTATAATGAAAACAAATGAATATATTCATCCCAGTACATGTACATTATTAGTTAGTATATATTTTTAAATATAATTATAATATTAAAAATATAATTTAGAATTTACGTAAACAATACTTGATTATTTTTATTATATAAGAAATTGTAGTATAATAAGAATTAATAAATAGCGAGATTTGATAAATAGCGTACACAAACATGAGACTTCAAATTTGAAACAAATAATTAATGCAGTTTAGTATTATGTGGGCGAAGTAAAGTATGAAGTATATTTTTCACACAGAGGAAGTGAGACAACAATGTCAGCTTTAATTTTTTTTGTCAATTCAATTAAACATATTTGGTGTTAATATCGACAAACTTCGGTAGTTCTAGAAGAATCTTTGGGTTTTGATTTCTACTAGTTTTGCTACAATTTTATATAAAATTAATGGCATATGAAAAATTATAATTAAGGAATGTGTTTGTTTCTTTTGCAAATATAAGACTATTTTAACGGATAATAATAAAAAAATACATATATGTTATATGATACAGTGCAGGGGGATATGTTATAAATGCAGTGACTAAACATGACACAAATATGTACATTAGGCCCACAAAAACTACACAAAAATTAGCACTCATATGTTACAAATGTTGCATCACTATCTAATATACTCAATTTATTTGATCATACGAGTATATATTTTGAAGGTTGAAAATTAGGTATATATATGTATATTCGAATGCGGGTAAGAACGTCAGCATAATATCTATAGCTGCGGATCATGCTTTATAAGCATTCTAATCCAAAAGTTAATCTTTATATAGTATATTAGATTTAATAATAGTTTTAATAACATAAAAATATTTACATAGGATCTAAACAAGTGTGTATATTCAGACTTATGGTGTACACTATATTGGGACTAATAATTATAAATGTCAATTTATTTTAATTTTATAGGTATACCTATTTTATTTAATGCCAACCACCAGTACCAGTCGGCAGGTTGTTATAGATTTCCAGCAACAAACATCATAAGAGATGACCTCTAATCAGTTGCGTTTGTCACCACATTGATGACTTTCACAAATATAATTTTTATAATACTACAAATCCATCCCGCGGGCGTGCTTGCACTTTCTATACGCATTCCTTCTCCCATAGACGCAGCAGTCATAGATCGCTTATATTCCGTTCATATGCTCTCCAAACACACACTACTGATGTCCTAACAATATCTACTTCTAACGTTTTGTGTCCCGCGATCCTAGTCCGGTATCGAGTTTGGGACACCAAATTGTTGTTTCAATACCTTTAAAAACCAACGACAATCGTCGCTATTGCTGCCACAGTAAAGATAACTTTACTCAATATATTATATCTCTTTTATTAATTATTATAAACTGTTTACCGTGAACCGTTCCTCAGAAATGCTCCAAAAATACATTTTTTACTGAATTATTAGGAATCTACATAGTAGAATTATTTTTTACGATTTTGCGATTATATATATTATCGCTATCATATATGTTATTGCGAGTAATAAACAATATATTTTTAATAATTATAACAATGGATATAATAATTTGTAATGACGGTCAGTGCGTAAACTTACTCCGCGTTTACACAAAAAACATGTCGTGTTGTATGTTGTGCTGACGACATGTATCTATTTTGGTAGAAGCAATTGTGGTGATAATTTCACATATACAAAAATTTTACATGTTTGACACATGGCAATCATGATTATTTATGTCGGTGGTATTATGGGGTGGTGAACTTAGTGGTAAACGCGGTGTTAGGAGCACCTTCGGCCGTCCGGTAAACAGATACTTAAATCTAAACGTTTAATAAATATATATTCTAAGCATAAAGCTAAGCTAAAGCGTTTTGGGATCAACTGCATCTTGACTAATCATTTTCGGACTAAATTCAGAAAACGAGAATTTAACGCCCTGAACAACATTTAAAAGAATTTTGCGCTTTCTCTTTATATAGTCATTGCTATTCTTCTGGGTGCTAAACTAGATTGTACCATACGGCTACCACCTAATATAGTTATAATTACTCTTATTCCTCTTTTTTTTGCTGAAATGTCAATACAAGATACAACAAATATGCACACTCTGTATCATATATAGAAGATAAATATATAGTATCATTTTAAACAGTACATAATGAACGTTCTATATGCCGTTAAATAACAAACATTATTTAGCCTTGTATAGCTATAACATACATATAGTCTCTCGCGCCAGAACCTAATTTCTTAAATCATTTCTTCATAGGTCGAAAATTTCTAAAATGATTAAGGTAGTTGTTAATTATAAAGTCTAGTACGTGTCAGCCACGTATTTCCTAAGCAAGAACTGAAATTGATTTTAAAAGTATAAACACATAAGGTTTATTTATAAGGAAATAAAATTTACAAGTTTGTAAGGGCGCTGCTCCTCAACCCACTGTTGGTACCCCAGCTGAAATTAACTAGGCTTCATCATCACAAGGCATTTTGAGGCGAAAAAAATTTGGAATCAGGATCTGTGCCTGGCTCGCGGGCATTATAGAACTTTGATACGCTTACTTTTTACTTGAACTTTGATACACTTTAATGAAAAATAACAATAAAATCATAATATTGAAAGATTACATTTACAAAATTAAAAGCATCATCAAAAGTTACACTCCATGTTTTAGTTTGAGAATGTTTAATTTTGTCTTTGTTTAATGTAACTAGTGCTTACATTATAATTCAAATTCACTCAATTTTCGAATGTACAAAGGCACAAGTAGCCATTGGATTTATACCAATGCAACTAACGTTGGTGCATGGAGGCGAACTGCACAGTGGCAACCTACATTTGATTCTAAAACTGTAAAGAACGATTCATATATTGTTTTTTTATGATACCTAATACGAAAATAGTACTTATTTTCATATTAGATGTTCCTCATGTAAGTAAATACCGGTACCACTGCACGGATCAATCTTTGACTATTTGAAACATGCGAATTTAAGACATTCACCATCATCATCATCATCATCATCTGCTTCTTTCTTATCCCATTTATTTGGGGTCATATATAAGACATTCACCATATTGGTATTTATTTTGATTGAATTGATGATTATTATTTGAATGGTAAAATTAGGTATGCAACTGTGCAGCTTATTTCCTCGTAATACTTGATATTTTGTAAATATGTTAATATTTATATCTATAGTTCGGTAACATAACCGTTAAAAATGAACACATAAACATAATTAATATGTTCACAGCTTTCTTATCATATTGCCTAAACAAATTCATATGGATCTATAAGAAAAACCATAACATACATAACATCCATATTTTGTTACTTACACTAAAATCTTAATATAATAAATGCATTTTCTAGTTTGAACATCCTTCTGGAAGAATCCATGAAGGAAACGTTCAATTATAAACCCGTTATTAGTATTCCATGTCATCTAATATTTTCAAATTAATTATGTAATAAATATATTTGTATAACTGTCTAAAACTACCAAACTTTAATTCTATATAAAATATCTGTAATCCAGATAAATGCGTCTAGAAGTAAGGAACACTAATAACGAATACACATACTAATCCTAATATTGTATACAATATATACTAGATAACTATCATATAACAATAAAAAAATGAAAGTCAAAGCGATTTTATTTGAACTATGTGATTACTATAATTACTACAAATTCCAACCGTAACTATTCTTCTAAGTTTGTATATAGATTTTTTTTTATTTCCTATATTTCCTTCCTGTCTTATACAACTCATCATAAAAACATCATACCTAATTTCTTTAGTAGTACTGTTCTTTTTTCAACTATTACCCTAATTTAAAATAATGTTACGTAACACTGTTGTAGTTAAAATTGGAATATTAAGAAGTTTTTGATTTAAAAGACATATTTTACAATAATAGTTGTATGTTCGGCCAGAAAATTAAAAACCCGCTGATAATCTGACTGATCTGACTTCACCTGACTGCAAACTTTGCAGACGAACGACGTACAGTAGTTAAACATTTGGCAGAGATGCCAACTTTATCAAGATTTTAGGTCTTTGGTTGTATATTTTCAGCCACTTTTCAGTTGTATATTTCCCACAATTTTGTGACATATTTTTGACTACGGAAATTTAGGATTTTTTTACTACAGTCACAATTTTTTATATTCGGAGCTACTGTAAGAGATGTTTGAGTTCCTTTGTTCGAGGCCCAAATATTTATTAATGAAAAATGATCTCAGCACATCCACATAGCGAGGTTGTTTTTTACTTTCCAGTTTGTCTTCCAACATACAACTTCACTAATACAATATGGCTATAATTCAAATTTGTCTATTACAGTAACCTTAGTCGATAGCTATACTTACTCAAAATTTTTATTTTGGAAATTATTTATTTATTATTATTAGATATTTGTATATCATTTCAGTAGATGGTACATTTATATGTATAATATCTGCCAGAAAGAGATGAAAAACAGACGATAATAAATTAATATAATACATAGTTGTAGTTACAATAAATATTAATTATTCTATGAGATCAGATATTTCCTATTATTGCTATAAACATAACGTAGACATAGGTGGGAATGTAAAATCAAATGCCTATGCTTTATCACAATAATACAGAGATTACGAGATTATTCAACAAGTTATTTTTTAAATGAAACCCATACAGTATTGGTTACATATTTGTTTACTAATTGTCAACAAATTTATTTGTTGTTGATAATTAGTAAACCAAAATATGTATATAGAAGGTGGAAATTTATTTTGGCATATTATATTTTGTATATTTTATAACAATTATGCCATATAATTATTACACTCTGCACATTATTATTTTGATATTATATATATTCAGACGACCAAACGAAGCCAAATATTTCATTACATTTCTATACAAATTGTCGCTCACATCGAAATCATGTATTCATTTTAACAAGCAGGAAAGAAACAATATCTTTCTGTATTTTTTTCTTTTTCGAGTAAATTTATTTAGAAATATAATAAATATAGTTTGTCCCTTATCTACATATATGTAGACATCTCGCAGTCATAATATACGTGTTACCTATTAGTCACACCATAAACACACAGACGCCGCTGTGATAAAATCATTTAGTTAGCGTTCAGTACATAATTTTAAAAGATCTGTACCTCTTCACAGCCAGTTGTTTACATATTACTAGAATATGTTGACATACCTCGATTTATATAATTTATATAAATATATTTAATATGAATTAATATAATAATAATATTACTCATATCCCACATTAACTTCAGGTCTCTAAAATATCTATTTTTTATATTATATATCTGATCAAGTTAGTTATGTGAACTACTATATTTTGTAAGTAAAAATTATATTGAAAAACCACAACATATATATTATAATAACAACGCTTTCGACTAAACAATTCTCTTTGGATTGATTAAACTAGAACTGAATAAATGTGGAACTGGTTAATAAAAATACGACTATCCTGAACTCATTTCATCTTACCAGGAATTTGGATACTGTTTTACTGAACCCAAGAGGCGGGAACCCAGAGCGGTTCAGACTGAACTCTCCAAGCCGCTTTCAAAAGGTGGGTGAGTGCAATCGCCAATTCTTCATTCAATATTTCTTCATCAAACATATAGCCGTAGAGAAAGTTGATTCGATTCGATGATCTTACTATATCCGTAAATTCTTCCTCCTGTAGAACAAATTTATTTAGAGAAATTAGAAATTATTATTGTTACATGTGCAATTTGTCCAAATTTATGACAGCCACGTGATTTTAAATATTGTTATGTGTCGGTCATTTTAAGAAAAGTTAATTTCATTTCAGTAAAACGTTGACATTTCATCATTCTTTGATTAAAATAGGTAACTTAATTGAAAAATTGTCAGATACACAACTCGAGTAGCTCTGAATTTATACATATAGGCATTTTGTAATGCATGTCATAATTTTTGCAATATCTTTATGGTCCAGTTGGGGCCATTAATGATAGAATGCAGGGCTGTCCACTTTATTATTATACAATGTATAAAAATCTCATGTCACAATGTTTACTCTGAAAAGGTTTGTACAATTTTTATGACTTTACTAGTTGTATTATATGCTTGCATTATACAACATATACACATGTAATGTTGTATGTTGTTTAATACTATGTTGGTGTGGCTGAGTGTATATATACATATGTGTGTACATATAACATGCTGCCAATTTGTGTATGCTATTTAAAATACATATTAATGGCAATAATATTTAATAAATAAATGTATATTATAATTATTATATTTGCTGAGTCTGAGAATAGATAGTAAACTAATTATTACACCCCTAAGTGATAAAAGGGATCATAAATAATATGAATGATAAAACAATGTCTGCTGGATCAGCGAGTATCAGTATAATGTACTTAATAACTAACCGTAAATGCTCTGGAACATTCTTTATCGAAAGTAGAACGTGCATTGGCAGCTGTTCTCGTTGCTATCAGTCTCTCTAGCGGTGGTGGTCTGACGTACACTATGTAAGGTCGCAGTCGTGGTGTTCGAAGCATCTTCAGCGCTTGCCAATGTGGACTGAGTACGCAGACGCGACCTGCAAGAATACAATATATACCGACATGTATTACTAAAAATATCACATACTACCGAACACGACTGACTTTCCGTGAAGGAAACAGCTAGCAATGTATAATGTCAGGTTGACTTCCACATGGAAAACCAACCGCCTGAAAACCATTGTGATAAATTCATGTTGGATTTGTCATGATGGACTAATTGACCTGACCTCGTGCTCGTCTTATTATCCTCCACTGGTGACCCGTTATCGTAGCGTAGCGCAGAAGGTTGCACCATTCCATTATCATCCATAAATAAAACACCGATTACAAAACCATGTGATCAGTGATGGCAGTGGGCTCACCCCCGTAATATGTATACATTTTACTGGGTTCATTTTAATCATTCATTCGTTAATAATTAATTGTTATAACATATCTAATTTTTAGGCTTAGTAATAAAAAGTACATGCCTACTTTAGAAAAGGCATATTACGGCGCTGCCTACAGATATCACTGTTATTTATATCTGTTTGTAATGCTTACTTACTTATTTAGGTGTTGAGTTCATCATAACGATAATTGAAACGTCTCAGGTCACCCCTCCTGGGTTAACTGCCGTAACGGTATGTCACTAAATATATAACTATAAATAATTGTCATATAAACCTGTATTAATAATAGTCTCCACACTTTCTGCTGACGTGCCGTACAGATTTCCTTTATATTCGCCGTGTTCTATAAATTTTCCTTCTGTAATATCTTGCTCCATTTTCTCACGAGTCACGAACATATATTCCTTTCCGTTTTGTTCACTTGCTTTTTGCGGTCTAGACGTGTCTAAAAATGAATAATACACATACATAATAAATGAATAAAAACCTTTCAAGGTCAATGCAAAGAGGTACAGATATGAATACAAATGTTTGTATTATGCAGAGAAACAACCCACAGTAGAGGGTAAGGAAGGCAGTTTTATACCGCTGTACAACATAGGTATTTTTCCGTCAACAACACTTCACTTTTTCCAGTGTTTAGAGTGTGTCATTATTGTCTAAATGTATAAAAAATATATATATTATTTTGTACACCACCTAATATAGGTGTTAGGCTTTAGAGTACAGAGGTAGTCACTGAAACGACTTTTTGGCAGGATATTAACCACAGTACGAGGTTTTTTTAATTTATGACTAGATAGCACTGTATGAATTAACGTGTGTAAAAAAATATACTTACAGGGTACGGGCGTGACGTACTTCTCAGGGTCCGTAGCAATCAGTCTCCTGCGCAATTCGTTTCTACCGACTCCTGGTGCCCCAACTAACACAATGGGTCTAACTAAGCCAGGCCTTGGGTACAGACGTGCAACTTCCTCATACGTTGGTATCATTTCGCGATCAAAGTCATCATTTTCTGTGATGTCGTATATGATTTTCTTGACTTTGGGGGTCGATTTGCAAGGCAGGAGGGCCGTCGCGGTGGGTGTCGGCGAACATGGTGTCTTAGGAGCGCAGTCCGAGTTGGTTGCGGATGGACTGCAAAGCGCGGGCTTACCTGCATCATAGTATATACATATATATATATATATATTGTCAGTTGCAATAAGTATATATATTAATCTGGAATCCTCAAATATTCATGGAAAAGAGCAAACCTCGCGGTTACTTTTATAATTTTGTAGCAATATTTGAATAATTATTTTTATATTTCAACATTTTTTCTTTCGGTAAATCGTCGAGATCTAATCATACTATTTTAGAACTCTGAACAATATATGTATATTACTATATACCGCTCAAAGTTTATAGTCTGTGTTCTTCTGATATATTATATAAACTTATTATAAAGTTTCAAAAAACATTCTGTAGTTTATGCGTGAAACAGTAAACAAAGATTCATCCATCAATTCATCACTCACAAACTTTCGAGTTTATAATATTGTGAGGTACAGAGAACACCAGTGAGATTACTATACTGTAAATATAAAAAGAATAAGATGATGTACAAAGACGAATAATCACTATATCTGTATATTCTATATACGTAAGTAATAATAATAATAAACATGTAGATTTGTCCGCAAATCTCTGTCTTTTATTTAAGAAATCTTCATCATCATCATGATTTATTTTGTAGTTCTCATTGTTTGGTGACTTTCACCCGCAACGACAAGTTAGTCATCCCATCAAAGGGAGATATATACATAATAATAATAATAATAAATCTATTTATTGCCAATAACAGTACAGTGTCACAGTTACACAATTATACAGAATATTTATAGTAATTTGCAATAGGTACAAGCTCAGCTAGCGCAGTACAGCACTGGGCACCCAGCGCTGGTTTTCAGTTTATGTTTGTACGTTAGTAATATAGACGACGATGATAACTAACCATCCATAGTTTGTGGATCAGACTGCCTTTCGTGAATAATGCGACCTTCTTGTAATGCTCTTGATGGAATTAAACCAGCCCTCATGACTCTATCGCCTTCACGTCGAGCTTGCCACCTAAATATATATAGATATAAGTAAATATATGGTCTTATTAATAAAAAGTGTTGCTTAATAATTTTCAGCATAATCAATAAATCAATTCGACGACTTCGGTGGTTTAGCGCACCGCTTTACGTCCGATGGTCGCGGGTTCGATTCCTCGCACGGTACAAACATTTATATGTTTGCATCCGTCTGGGTATGTTGTATACATAATATGTATGTATTTGTATCAGTTATTTAGTATCCATAACACAAGCTTTAGTTGGCTTAACTTGGATCTAGATGGCGCTGTGTGAATTGTCCTGAGATTATTATTTTATAAAATAAAAAGTCAAAAGGTATTTTTTTGTTGAGTAATGTTCTTTTACTAATTTACTCACCAATAAGCGTCGTCTTGGGAAACAATGTGGAGAACATCTCCCTTTTTAAAATTCAATCCGGCCTCTTTGCACGGTATATAGGGATCCTCAGATGAATTGTAGTTGAACAGAGCACGAACCCTCACTTTACTTTCTCGAAGCCCTCCTTTACCGAATGATGGGACTAATTTGAATGTTATTGTTCCTTCTGAACTTTGCTGGTGACGGAAAGTTGAAATTAGATACAGAATTTTATCATACGGATGTCTGTGTCTAGTTTTTCTACGAAGATACAATTTCTAACACAAATAAAAGCAATTATGGTAGAAATTTAAAAATATCAGATAAAAATTATGTCATTAGGTTCCACTTTTTCCTGGAAAGTTTGTTTAGTTTTATGGAAATACTGCCACTAGTTGCTACACGCCCCTTCATGACACCTAATATATACATAAACACTAAACTTGTATGATAATAAGCTTTAATAGTGCACCAAAACTACATACAATTTAGGGCTGTATAGACATAAAATAATAATCGATTCAACGAAATCCATCGACTAAATGTGTTCCGTGCAGACATTGTTTGAAATGTTTTTTTTTAATCATATCGGGGCGAAAGGGTTTGTTAGTAATATGAAATAATTACTCCATTGCTAGCCATGTACCAAACCAGTTTGACCTCCACGCGGTTCCCCCTGAAAACCATAAATTCCTGGTGAAAACATGGGCTAACTGACCTGACCTAATTCTCATCCTATCATCCTCCACTGGTGCCCCGTCAGCGTAACCCGTGAGCGCAGGTGGGTGCACTATTCCATAATCATGCATTAAAAAAACTTATGATTTTACAATCAGAATATATTTTACAAAAATAACTGAAATTTAATCAACTCATTATTGTTCAAGCACGTGTACTAAACAATAAAATACTTTGTTTTTTAACATGACTACAGTAGTACCAGTATAGCCAGCACGTCGGCGGGTGTTTTGTTCTCCACGCTAATGCCATTGACTTCAATGACCTCGTCGCCGGCATGTATTAGGCCGGATCGATCAGCCGCACCCCCGTGCATCACCCGTGCTATCACAATCTTCCCCGTTTCTTCATCCGTCTTTATCGTTGCTCCCTGTCATACAATACGATACAGTCAACTTCATGTACATCCTATGGTCTAGTCAAAATCTATACTTCTTCAGTATATATAAACCAAAAGGTAATTATAACGTAATTATGATTTTTACACATTACATTATTATGACGATTGTAATTAGTTATACAGGGTATTGTTTACATAATCAATTTATGTTATTTATTAATATAATTGTAATTAAATTGAAACTATAAATAATATTACTGTATATTATAACTTGCCAAATATGTAGTGAAATTTTTTACTTTGGTCAATATATAATAATATAAAATATATATGCCAAATATTTAATGATATTTAATATGTTTTATGGCTTTCACTTAAATAATGTTTACTAAGTATTCGAAGACTTGTGTTTTGAATATTTAATGACCATTATTCTCTAAATGTACGTATAAAAATTATATCAGCAAGATATACATAAGAAACAGTCACTGGAGCTCATGAAAGATTGCAACGTGCCTATACTCGCTTTTGTAATAGGAAACTGTTAATAATATGGATAATAATATTAAAATATAATAAAAAATACTATTTATTTTTAAATATTACTTATTTGTATGATATTCGTTTCTAAAACATCTCTAAATTTTCATGCCCATCTGATTGTAAATGGTTACCGTAGCCTATAGCCTGAAACACCAGGGGCGTAACGTGCGCATTGCCAAATCTTAATACACCGTTTTTGAAATTTTTTAGTCTATAGAGAAAACCTCAGCAGGTATTCATTTTAAAATCGAAGTATACGCGGTTACTGTTTATTTAATTATACATTAGCGATGGAGATGAAGGTAGAAGGCTGATGTATGGTGTTTAAATTATAGAGTACGGAGGAGGAGACACGACTAAGGCAGCAATGCATAAGGGGACATCCATAAATTATACATACGCGTAAAAGGCCACCCCCCTTTGCCAGTCAGGGTAGACTATGAGTGACATTGTATAAAAAAACAAGTAGTATTAACTATCAAAAATGACGATGTTATGTCCGTGTTGTTCATATATATATACAAATATTATCAGGTAAGTCAATACAAAGAGATTTTAATTTTCTCTGATATAACAGTAAGAAGTTTCACTCCACATGTATGCCTGCGTAAGTACGCTGAGCATCATACATATATCTACTAAATTATTTTGTTACCGCGAGTATGTATATATAGAAGGGACTTAAGGCAAGTTGAATAATATATTTATTGATAACTATCAAAAATATTATAGCCTAAAATTTATTTCTTTTAACAGAAAACATTGAGCTATTTTAAAAAGCTACGAATTGATTATATAACTAAGTATGTTTCTGTTAAGTATACAAAATTAGTTTAATCGAAGCACATTCTTATATTGCTTTATTTTTTTTCTCATAATAATCAAAGTAATCTGGTATAAACACGAAAACAATTAAGAAACGGGGAAATATAAAAAAATTGGTAAATTAAATAGTGAATATTTCATTGGATATCGTGATCTATTATAATACTGACTTACGATATCTAAAAGCACGATCTATAATTTATTGAAAAAGCTAGAACTCGTTGCGTGTCTCAATGGATTCAATGTCGCCATGTTGTTTATTATTATTTTTTAAATTTAGGGGAAAAACTTTGGTAAGAAATGATAGTCATATTCAAGGTCGTCTAAGTGTGTTTGGAATTCTTTAAGGGCGGGGTTGAGGAAGTAGTAAAATATAATAGATTTCGGCTCTCTTACCTATACCTATAAGTCTTAAGATTTGTTGGTCTTGAGATTTTTCGGGGACAATTCTTTAGGATCCTGCGTCCCATTTGCTAGGCCTCTGACGATGGGGACCGTACACATCGTGAGTAAGTCGTATAGAATGATAGGTATCTATATATAAAATCCTGAGAGACTGTTTGACGACGAAAGCCAGATGGGCTGGGGCAACATGTTGACACGCTAAACTTATTATTGCCGATGTTCATCTTTATGTACTCGTATATAATTTTTATGTACAAATACAAATACTCGTATTTGTCATGTAACTCTTAACTCTAAACGGCTATACTGTGTACGATAACATTTTTAATTAGGACACGGCCGGGCTAGCTGCTATTCCGGACAAACGACGAAGCTGGGTCGGCTAATAATCTATAAATTGTATATAAGCATAGTACAAATCTGAATGATTCTATATTAATTTACCATAAAGCGAAGAGACATTTATAGCAGTATTAACAAATTCCTGGTCGTGATAATAATGTACATATTTACTTAAACTGGAAAACACAAATAAAATTACATTCCACTCATCGTTACAGAGAAGAAAAACATATCCAATAGGTTTTATTATGAAGCACTAATCTTCTAAAACTAAAACTAGTAGCAGTTTTAAGTACTGTAAATTCAAGTTGATGTAATCCCGTAGACACTACAAAAAAGTAATTTCTTTTTAAAGTTTGTTTAAGTCTATTATATTTAATCCATAAAAAAAATTGATTTGAAATATAAACTTACAATTATAGTTTCAGATATAATAGACTGGCGCTTCAGATTTAGAAATTTCTTACCGTCTTCTTGTCTCGTGATTGAAACATATTTGTTTGATAATAAAACTCCTTCAGCCAAAAGAGTTCAACATTATGACAATTTATTTTATTGTTATAATTGAATAAATGCGCAGGGTTATTTGCATTTCAAATATGAAGTATAAAATTTAAAATAATAAAGTACTTTACTCAGTTTTATAATTAGTTAAAATTATTTAGTATAAAAAATTACCGTTATATTTCATTGCACTTAATACCGCAATATAATTTGTATTGTCAATAAATAAAAATGCATATTTATAACAAATTATTAAGAATGTATAAAAGGATACAATATTGAAAATTAATATGTACGAGTATCTAATGTTAAACATGAGACCATAATGCAGTAAATTAAGAAAGATCAAAATAATCAATAATGTGTACAAGCAATGTGTATTGTGTACAGCGGTTGCATTAAATAGCTTGGTATAAAAAATAAAAATCTGATAGTAGTGAGGCTAGACACAACACAATACAAATTGCATTCAACATCTAGAGATAGCAGCTAATAAATTCAAAAGTTTTAGATAAGGACCGGTGATGAATGATGACAGGATCATAACGCCAGCAAACAATGGGCGGGTAAGTAGTTGGCAATAAGAATATTTGGACGGGTAAAATGAAACGTTAAAATAAGTAGCAACATAAATATTGAACATATATTACATACTTACCACTATTGGCTCTGCACTCTGTGCTCCACCCTTTGGTAAAAAAAACATTGTTCAATGCTGGTAGTATTTTTCTGTTACATAAAATAGTATAATATATTTATATATGTATAAGTAATAAATAAAATACATATTGCCACATAAACAGAAATATCACATTCTAAGTGCCCAACAGTATATAATATAAGGTAGATAATTACATAAATAACAGTTGGTAATTGTACTCCTCACACTCATATTAAATTTAGCTGCTATTTCTAAATGACCGCTATTTTTAAAGATAATTTTTAAATTACATAGCCAGATATGCCATGAGAACTTTTATAACCTTATAATTATCTTATAGTAGCTCTTGGGCATCAAAGGCTTTGGAAACTAAACATACTGCATTTAAATGGACACACATCAAGGTTACACATATTATTATTATTTAAACACAAAATCAAGACATTACCAGAGGCTCATCGCTTTTGACTAGTTGGACTATTTTGACAGTTTCTTCCTCTTCATCAGCTTCAAGTGGAATATCAGGTAGATGTGGGTAGTAATCCTTTTGGGCTACTGCATCGTGTGTGCACAATATAGCCTGAGTTATTAATAACAATAAGTATCAATTTACATTTTAATAAGGATTTTCATATAATACTATAATTATCATCATTATTTAAGCCATTCATTGATTTATGTATACAGAATAGACAAAAATAAATAAAGTACATTATTATAGATATAAAAGAATCATTTTAGTTTCTTTTAAAGTAATTTATTGTAAACTAGCTACTCGCCCTGGCTTCACATGGGTGTACATGTATTATATATACATATAAACCTTCCTCTTAAATCAGTCTATCTATTAAAAAAAGTAGTTTTAAAGATTTAATTATCCATAGGGACAGCCAGTGACAACGACTTTGCTTATATTATGGGATAATGATAATGATAAAATAAATTGTTTTTAAATTATATTTTATGCTTTGGAGACAGTTTTTTGGCTGACAATGTATTCATGGTTTTGGATTGATATATATTATTGTTTCCAAATAAACATATAAATGTCATAAAATGAACTTTAATTTGATATAATCATATCAATCAATGACTATATATTGTACTATGGTAAATGGTTTATTCTCTCAACCATTCTTTAATTCCCAGGATGTTGGTGATGACTAAGTCAGTAAAAAAGTCCAAAAACTTTGGTGTAAGAGGAAGTCATTAAAAAATGTATTTAATGATATAGTAGTCTATATAATATTTAAAAAAAGCCCCTAACATATACCCAAGTTAAACAGTTAGGGTAATGAAGAAGATATGTAAGTGTAATAAGATTAAAAAAGAACTAACTTGGAAATGAGGTTTCTGCAACAAACTAAGTAGCTCATCATATTCTTTTGATACAGAAACCAGGTCTGCCAGTAATTCCAACACTTCTAAAGTAACTTGCATTGCATTAGAGAGGAGTGGGTAAAATTTATCATCTTTGCCTTTGGCCACTATTTTGTTATGAACTTGGACTAGAGCATGTAGCTGTTTAGATTGCAACAGTTCACTTAAGAATGCCACATCTTCACCACCCGGTTGTACTTCCTTCAATGATGATAAAAGACGTGTCAGTGCTGTAACAATTCATATGAGTATTATAAATGTCTTCATTATTATAGGAGTAGTAACATGACCATGAGAAAATTTTTAACTTATACAAGTATACTTTTTTGACACAAAGACCAATAAATACTTATGTCTGTCTAGCCTATAAAAACATAATGAGCTTCATGTTTTGATAGGCTAGACAGGCAAAGACAGATCACCATCAGAACTGGCATATGCATTGTGCCACCAATATGGTATAAAAAAGGTGAAAATGGTCAAAATATTTGTAACATTTACTCCTCACAGCTGGTATCATAGAAACGGTATAGTCGGAGGCAATTGCAAATAGTGTAATGAAAGCAATTTAACAATATTTACATTCAGATTTCATAATGGGTTTCATAACAGAATATGCCTCATTACAGTCTGCAGGAGTTTATATAGTATGAAGAGTACAACACATGAGCCATCACACACAGCTCTGCACACACAATGGCCCAGATCAGGGGCTGATTGTGGAAAATAGTGTGTAACTTATATTACATTATATGAGCCATAACACATGATAATGTTAGTGTTATTTATTTTTTATCAATAAAGTATAGTACACCCATGCATGCAGTACTTCATTGAGTATACTGCATATACTGGGTAGTGGTGGATAATAGGATTTAAATGATGCCAGGTCTGTAGGTCAATCAGCATCATAACACAGTCACAAAAATTGTCAATGATGGTTCCTAGGATGGACTGCATAACGCTTTACTAGTCCACTAGTCTCTATTAATAACAATCCCAATGCAACCAGAATGTTGTGCTGTTCAAGTCTATAGATATTTTCATTATTTAAAACATTAACCTTAGTAGCAAGAAACATTAGTAGCAAGAAAATGGCATAATATGAGTATGAAATCAATAAAGAGTTAAATATAACAATTGAGAATTAATTAACAGGATATGTATGAATACATATTTTTACATATAAAAATCTATTAGAGAGTTTAAAAATATCTAAGGTGACTATAGGACCAACTAATATTTTAGATATTTAACATATAACATTTTCAAAACACAACTAAAGTAATTTATTAATTTAAATTGAATAAAATGGCTCTTTTTGATGTAATTAATCCCGATAATATAACGCATTTAGAATGAGCAATATTCAGTTCTATAATTATGTAAACCATAATAAAATAATAGTATGCCGATGTTTTGATAGTCAATGCACGAATTTATATAATATAATAAAATATATATATATATATATATTATAAAAAAAATGCATACCTGGGTCCCAGTTCTCTGTAGCAGCATCCATATTTCATAATTTTTAGTGAAAGTGTAATGATAAAAAAAGGTTATCATTAAAAGGAAACAAATGTTTACTGTTTTATTGATTGAGTCCGATAGAGTACGATGTGATATATTCAGACATTATCGACTTTTATTGTAATCTACACCGTCACGTAAGGTACTATAAAATGAATACATAGTTGTAATTAACGACACATTTTTATTACAAAATTACATTTGAATTTTAATTTAAAGAGAATTAATATTAGTGTTTTTATAAAATTTCTAATAAAAATGGATTGTGAAAAATGTGAAATTTCAATTGAACGAATTGACCTGGCTAACTGACTGATTCTATTTTGAATGGATTAATGCAGCTGTCATTTGTCGTTGACTGGCCTGTCGCTGATCTCGATTCGATGTTACACGTTACCAACTTTCTAAGTAACACACAACTGAGAGTGCGCCATCTGTTTTTCTTATACAACAGAAACAGTAATTTTACAAAAATATTTTTATTAATTTTAATTTGCTCTGAAGTTTACAATATTTTAAACAAAATTATAATTATATTATATATTCCATTCAGCATAATTATTATTTTATTTAAAACATGGGGGTTGCACCGTTGCACTGTTTCATTATATTGTATTATATAAATTAATTTAAACTCTAAATCTGTGTTGTATACTTATTTCCGTACTCATGCGTTGCCGTTTCAAAAGACTATGATTTTTCATTCTTGTCGAGTTATTGTTAAAATTATATTATACGATCTATTCCAATTTCGACACGTATAAATTACTTTAGTACAGTACTCTATATTGCCACAATATTCTAGTAAGTACTTTACGCATACAATGAATATGTTTCAAGATGTGTTTCATAGAGGGCACGACTAGTATTTATCGGAACGTAGTAGTCGAGGTAATGGCCCTCTGAATGAAAATAAAATCAATAAGTTCAAAATACAGCGTTCACGCAAGGTATAAAAATTATAGTTTAAGTAATCTAGTTAAACATCCTCGTGATTTCGCGATATTTTTTAAAATTTTATATAGATTTTGTATTTTTTTATTAATTGCGATGATTTAGGTAGGTTTATATATTTTCTTCAACGTAATATTGACAACGGTATCTTTTAAAATGTTTTTGCAATTATTAAAACCTACCAATTTTACATTGCTAATTTGATACTCATTATCTTTGTCTTGTCTATTCTACCTATTATATTATACTCTGATTTCCCCTCACTCTACTCCATTTTACCCCACGTAACTCAACTTTTATAAAAAGGGGCTTAGGTATAAGTACGCTTTTCTATATTTTCCTCTCTTCGTAAGGACCTTCATCATCGAACTGCAAGCACTTTAAAAAGAAGTTGATTACTTATGTAAGCAGCTCTCCAGATTGGCGTTTAGCAACTTATTTTAATAATGTATTTTTAAAAATATTCAAACAGTTAACTTTAAAAAATACGGAAGATCTCTGGGACATGTCAGTTAAAGTAGTTAGTTCATTCATAGATATTGTTGCTCCTTATCTAGCTACTATTTTCAATAAATGGGTTGATAATGGCGTGTTTCCTCAATTAATGAAATTTAGCAAATTAATTCCACTGTTTAAATCAGGAGATAGATTTGAGCTAGGCAACTATAGACCAATTTCTATTTTGCCAGTTCTAAGTAAAGTATTTGAAAATATTATGTTTAACCAATCATAAAATCATGGGAGAACTCACAGGATGCTCTCGGCGTTTTTTGTGACTTATCGAAGGCGTTTGATTGCGTAGATCATAAAACACTTTTGTATAAGCTCGAACATTATGGTATTAGAGATAATGACCTAAGTCTAATGAAAACTTATCTAGAGGATAGGGTGCAAACTGTAGATATTGATGGTGTAAAGTATAAGGGTACTAATATAAAAATGGGCGTTCCTCAAGGTTCAATCTTAGGGCCATTTCTCTTTTTAATTTATATAAATGACCTTCCCTACATGGTAGAGAAAGTTGCAGATATAGTGTTATTTGCGGATGATACTTCGTTAGTATTTAAAATTTGTCGCCAATGTAATCATTTAGACGATGCAAATTATGCTATCTCTGCTATATTAAATTGGTTCACATGTAATAAGGGGCCGTTCAAGTATTACGTAAGCACTATAGGGGGGGGGGGGGTCTTTTCTTTGCTTATTTTGGATGACATGGGGGTGGGGGAGTCTGTATGATGATTACGTCATCGGTCGTAATTTACTTTTTTACAGGAATGGCAACCCTCACATTGACTTTGCTAAAAAAAACAATACATTAATTGAGAGATGTTTACGTAAGCATGGGTGGAGGGGGTAAGAGCTTTGCTTACTTTTGCTGACAAGGGGGATGGGGGGTAAATAATTGTGATAAATCTGCTTAGGCTCCCTAAAATATGGTCGAGCGCAGTGATGGCTGGCTCATCCGTCATACTCGTGAACGAGAGCTGCTTGTAGGGACTGGTCTGCTCTTATCACTACGACTGATTTAATCTTATTGTGTTTTTATATTTGAGCCTAAATAAATTAGTGCTGGTTGGTAGTTTGTATTCACACGTTTCGACTTGTAAAATGTGAACTTATAAGGATTGTTTAAAAGAGCACCACACAAGTTTCTTGCTTATTCTTCTTGTGATGAGACAACTTTCCGAATAAGCGGTAGATTTAAAAAAATGTTGACTATTCAAAAGTGCTTAAATTAAGTTTATTTGAATAGATGATTTTCTATTCTATTCTATTCTATTCTATTCTATTCTATTCTATTCTAGGTAGTCATTATTCCCGTATGAAGTTACGTTCTCAGAACACAACTTTATTACATATATATTAGTTTATTACGGTTTCACTTATGAAGTGTATGCAATTCCGAATAATACAAGGGATAAATAGAACCAATTTTACAAAAACGGAAGTAGAACTCTTAAAATGATTCAAAATTCATTTTAAGAGTAATAATAAATTCATTCTAATAAAAAGAGGCTTAGTATCATTTTATTATAAATTCAAAAAATGTTAATTTTGTCTGATGGTGGTATATGGATTTACTGCTTCACCGGAAGTTTTTCTTCATGGGTAGAGGGACTCCGATCCCACGGAAGGATTTATGGCGTGGCTTAGGACCAACTCTTGCCAGACGAATGAAAATGTATCTGTCCAACTGTTTGTTACTCTTTCATAGCTAAACGGTTGAGTTAAATGAAAAATAGAAGATAGATTATATTACGGTATATACGCCGTTTATCCAAAAACGAATACGCGCATAATCGACTAGTTTATAAGCAGAGATAAGATAATATGGTATAAGTATCGGTTGCTCCAAATAAAGGATTATTTTATTGCTATTCTTATATGGAATCACAAGACATATGAAATGTGTTGAAAAGAAGTATATGTGTAGTTGTATGAAGTTTCTTTTACAATGTAATATTTCTCATCTGTGCAATTCACCGTTTTAATATCTGTCAGGGCAAGTGAAAAGATATGTCGTGTGGAGGTTGAGATGTTAAAATGCTAATAATGGCGCTACCAATTCCCATTACTAACAATCTCCTCCATTAATTAGTCGAATAAATTTATTGAGTGCGTTAGACAGCAATCTCATCTTGTTATATGTCTTTAAATTACAACAGTTTTACTACCTATAAATTATTATCACATACCTATAAAGTAACAATTGGTTAGTCGGCTATTGAAATTTTATATTCAACGGCAAACAAATTACTATCCTCCAAATTAAATTTGGGCTCATTTTGCAGTGGCTCATATTTGTATCTCGATAAAAACAAAGCATAAAAACCAAAGAGTAAATTAAAAAAAAGTCTATTGTCTATGGTGAATGGTGAACTTATTGAACATTATTGAATTTAATCTGTAGTACATCGTTCATCATAGTTTACTACGCTACGGTAACAGCTATATTAAATCGTATTTTTCAGTCCTTTTAATGCACTAATTTTGTCTAAATTCATTTATAAATCTAATTTTACAAATACGTACGCCGGTGCATATGTTAATCAGACTTTCAGACTTATAAATCTGTGCTTGGTTCCAATACGTTCTACAGTTTTCTTTTATCATTTCATTGTTGCAAAAATAACAAATTGGATACATAATAGAGGTAGGTCATATTAATACCTTTGCATTATAATTTATGGCGCTAAGTTTTGTTTATTTAACTGGTACCTAGTTTTAGTAGCAGACATTGTAATAAAGCGTCATTTGATCGAAGTTTAATCGATTAAATCATTTCGTTTTTGAAATCCATTTAGAACTATGTAATGTGATACTTCAAATTTAACAAAATGTTGCTATTCTATTTCGGTAATATGAACAATAAAATACAGACATGTTATCAAATACAATAGTACAAACTAAAACCTAGAATTCTATTTTAATTGTAATATTTTGTCACCTTTTATCAAAGGGAATGAAAAGGACCAAGAGTTAAAATGCATTTATTAAATGTGTAATCTGGTGTTTGATGATGAACTAATTGACACAGTTTTAGGGACATATATCTTTGTGTCTGTTCATATTTATCTTATTGTATACTTATTATACAGCTGTAATCAATGAATGGTCTATCCAACATTAAAATATTTTATCAATTTAACCAATAGTTCTTGAGATTAGTAAACCGAACAACACTAACTCTTCAACTTTATTTATTAGATAAGGAAAAAAATAGGATAGTAAATTTGAATTTAAAGTAAGTTAGGCTTAATATTGCTTAACTCATTTATAAAAACAGTAAGAATACAACACCATTACAATTTTTACATTGAAAATTGATTATACCTATTAAAGAATTAATTATATGCAACATTTTAGTAGACAACAATATGAACTGTGTTCCTCTTAGCGACAGTTTTGAAGTACATTTCAGATACAATTCCAAAAAAAATGGTTCTTAAATTTATATGTTGTTTACTATGGATATTCATACAGTTGTAATATTACTACTGACATGATCAAGTGTCTTTAGTCTGTCATGATGTTTATGATATTCATCATGCTCAATTCAACTATTGTTATCCTCGTAAACAGATGCATCTCTAGCTTTTGGGTTGCTTTAATCACTATTACTGATTTGTTTTATTACTTTATTTATTTAATAATTATCCTCTTGTGAATTAATGCCATTTTGGTAGTCTACATATACACAAAATCCAAGTGTGTATATAATATGCATTTAAAAAAGAAACAAGTAAGTTTCTTACCTATTCTTCTTGGATGAATCCGCTTTCAATATGAATGAATGAATGAATGAATAAACTGTTTATGTTAAGATACTTGATTTTTCTATATCAACATCTCCATATTTTCAAAGTAGATTGAATATTAAGAAAAACATATCATAGATTATAAACATTGAATTACACTCAAAATTACTTTGGGTTCAACTCAGAGAAGTAAACAGATTGGAAAAAAGTCAACTCAGAATTGGATATGGCAAATGTAGAAACAATGTTACAAGAGAATTTTTTTTTATTTAAATATAATTTTCGCCTATTTGATTCATACTGTAAAACATCTTAAAATTTAAACTTTACCTTTGTTGAAACAATTTTATAAGGGACCTCTAATAATATATAGAAATGCATGTTGAAGTTGATTTTCATGTTGCTCATTAATATAATAATGTGCCTTAACACTGAGTCTGGAATAATAATAATGCTGCTGTGATGTCATTATTGGTTATGGCAAACAATAGGAACATGATTTGCATTTAAATACAACAACTTATCTCATTGTATCTATACACAGTTAATAGTATTCACTACTAGCTGTGCCCGCGGTTTCTGTTAAATATCAATAATAAAAATAGCCTGTATGTTATTCTGATGCATAAGCTATATTACTGTAAAATATCATCAAAATCCGTTCAGTTGTGTGTTGTGTGAAAGAGTACCAAACATCCATAGTTACAAATTACTCTTTCCGCGGGTAAACTAGCTTTTACCCACGGCTTCTCTCGCATTTAATCATGTTCCTTCTAATACCTCCAAGAATATCTTTCACCTTTAGAATCTTACTAGTTATTTGTCCTGGCTTCGCCCGGGTGTACATGTATTATAATATAAACCTGCCTCTAGATTCACTATCTATTAAAAAAACTGCTTCAAAATTTGTTACGTAGTTTTAAAGATTTTCATGTATATATACATATAGCATACATAGGGACGGACAGAGAGCGACCGCGACTTTCTTTTATACTGTAATTAAGGATTAAGATTAAGATGATTTCAATATAGAAATTCATTAATAATGATAACTACAAAATGATTTTCTCTAATCTAACTAAGGTTAGTACTAATGACCTAATGGAATTTGTTTTGATGATAGCATCGTCATTAGATAATATATGTATTGTATACTTACGTTGATAAACATGCATCATATTATAATTATATGTTTGTGTTATTCATGTGTTCCAATCACATGTGTTTACTATGTTGCAGAAATGCTTGATGCCGGGCGCTCGCTCGTCGCGTAAGCCCGCGGCGGCCTCACCATCGGCTTCTGATGAATGCCTACTTTTGGAGATACAACTCCAACAACAATTGGAGGAAGATGTTGCTAGGTATATAAAATATTATTGTAAATGAAAAGACGGAAGTAGGAGAATATTATTCTTGTCAAAATAGTCGACACAATTGTATACCTACATACATACGGTGTATTTTATTTATATAACAAAGATTAAAACGTTCAATTTTAATACCTACTAATGTGCACGTAGAATTTATCTTTATTACGACACCATTTAAAATTAGATATTTCGTTAAACTATAGAGTTATCGGGATGATGGGTTTTTATGAGTCGTTGGATACGTCATATCACATATGACGAAACACATAAATACTTTTAAGGGATAAGTAAACACAATATGTTATTAAAAAAACTGCTGATACCATTATAAACTTGCAGTACATGTATATCTACTGCAAGTTTCCATTAAAACAATGCATTCTTTTATTCATCATAAATAACTTGGTCTTTCATTTCTAACTACATACGAGAAAGTCTATGTTCCTTATTTTTTTTATTTTGTATAGGTAAAATGGGTTTGTCATCGTCACTTATAGGTAGTGTCGAGAAAAAGCAACACTAATATAATGTTTATTGTGTTATTTTTCGATGTCATTAAAGTCATAAAGTATTCTTATTATAATTTACTAGCTGTGTCCGCGGTTTCACCCGCGTGAAATTTTGAGACTATATCTTATTATGATATATAAGCTGTATTACAGTAAAATTCCATTAAAAAAAATTTTCAGTAATTTTTCCATGAAAGAGCAACAAACATACACCCATACTCACAAACTTTCGCGTTTATAATATTAAAAGATGTTACGCGCCAATTCATAATCACATGAAATAAAAAGGACAAAAGTTTTAGTTTTCTTAAACCGCTATACTGCGCATCCTTTTCTACCTGTCTTGAAATAATGGGTGGGTAAATAAGGCAGTGAAATCACAAGTTACCGAGAACATCTTAGTTTTAGGTATTACAGGACTGGGTACTTCAGTCGTCACATGATAACGAGGGTCCTCCACGTCATCGTGTTATGTCTATCTACAGCATACCATCAAATTCACATTAAAAAATGATTTATTCTTATAGTATAGGACATTTTAGTCACTTAAGAAAATAATTTTATAGTTTTTTTATCTATCCTTCATTTAAAGCTGCAGTTTCATTTGAGAACATCTGCCAAGACACTCAACACTTGTTCTTTTTAAACTTAATATTATTAATATCTCGCACATGAACTACTACACTCGTGGACACATTACCTAGTAATTTCATTAAGTATATTTTAGTGAGTAAATTAGTGGAAAAAACTTTGCGCAATGTATTTTAATAGTTTTTAATTTATTAAAAATATAGAATATCTTACTTTTTATATATTTCAAAATTGGGTAGGACGGCAGATTATTAGTCCAGTAACATTAATAAAACGGTATTATTTTGTTGAAACCGAGATATAAAAGTACACTTGTATAGCTCGGTTTCAACAAAATTATGTAATTAGGAGTCCCTGTGGAACAAGAACAAGCGATTTAAAGAAAAGGTCATTAGGGTCGCGAGGGTCGTCAACGGGACATTTAGTTTTGGGTTAATCAAATAAATGCAGTCATCCTTAGTATTTTCTAATATGTTTTCTATTCATTTCTTCACCATACTCTTTGGAGCCTACTGCGGCAGTAAGCTCCAATGAGTAATCGAATTTTTTGAACATATTTAAATTTGCTGTCTCTGTTCACTTCTTTGAACATGGACAATTATTTTTTCTGCTGATTAAAACGCATACGTAATTTCCTGAGACACATTTTTGTAGTTCAGACATATCTTGCTATGCCTAGTCCATACTAGTAATATAAATAAGTTTGTTACTTTTTTACGACTATAAAGGCTGAACGGATTTCGTATTTGACGTTATAATAGATTGTATTACGAAGACGCACACATAGGCTGTCTGTTATATTAAACAAAAACATACGGTTTCGCGTGTAACAACTATTGTGTGTCCATTAGATAGATGTGTGTCCGATACTTTACCTAACATAACTAATTTTCATACGCTCACGAGTGAATAGGCTTTAGGAAATAATGAGCATGTAAATGTAGACAAAAATAATTATAAAGCCCGCGCTCGCCGCTAGCTTGCGTTTTCCCGCGTCCTTCAATCGGGTTTGATCCTGTAAAATTTATTATACTTACAAAATGGCGTACATCTGACTACAGAGCAAAGACATAATTAAAGAGTTATTAATACCTCTTAAATCTAAAAAATGTCTTGAGAAAACAAAATGAAATTGTAAAGGAGGCTGTTTGCGCGTGAAATTGGAAGAAATTGGAAATTATAGTAAAATAACTCATTATTGCGCGCGCTGACTTTCCCGCGCTAAATCGCTTGTGCTCCAGATTGCGAGTGGAAGAACATGTTAAAAAGGCAAGGAAAATACCTTATTGAGTGAATTTACTCGTTTATTTACGTAAGGTACTCTACTGATTAACATTTGTAGTAGTTTTAGATAATATTGGCACAATGATAATTATTCATAATACAAATAAAAGTTTTTAAAATAATTAGTTGATAATAGTAAATATAAACATCACATGAAAATGATGTTTTTATTTTAACTATCTCACTGTTTAATAAATATATAAATAACTAACTTAACAGTTAGTTTTTACAATCGCAGCAACGTACAACTAGATGTACGTTGCGTTTAGGTAAATAATTATCAGATAAATAAAAAAATGCAGGCAAGTTTTGCATTGTTTATTGGGATCAGTATAAAAATTCTTTATTTATGATTATCATCAAAGAAATTTAAAGTTATTGTTAACAGACCGATATTTAAGATTATTATGATACATTGTATTTATGTTCAGTTAAAAATGCATTGAACCTTAGTGAAACATGATATGTTGCATTTATGTTCATTTAAAATATGCATTGAACCTTAGTGAAACAAGATACATTGTATTTATGTTCTGTTAAAATATGCATTGAACCTTAGTGAAACATAATACGTTGCATTTATGTTCAGTTAAAATACATATTGAACCTTAGTGAAACAAGATACATTGGATTTATGTTCATTTAAAATATGTATTGAACCTTAAAGAAACATAATACGTTGCATTTATGTTCAGTTAAAATACATATTGAACCTTAGTGAAACAAGATACATTGTATTTATGTTCATTTAAAATATGCATTGAACCTTAGAGAAACATAATACGTTGCATTTATGTTCAGTTAAAATACATACTGAACTTTAGTGAAACAAGATACATTGGATTTATGTTCATTTAAAATATGCATTGAACCTTAGAGAAACATAATACGTTGCATTTATGTTCAGTTAAAATACATACTGAACCTTAGTGAAACAAGATACATTGGATTTATGTTCATTTAAAATATGCATTGAACCTTAGCGAAACATAATACGTTGCAATTATGTTCAGCTAAAATACATACTGAACCTTAGTGAAACAAGATACATTGTATTTATGTTCTGTTAAAATATGCATTGAACCTTAGTGAAACATAATACGTTGCATTTATGTTCAGTTAAAATACATATTGAACCTTAGTGAAACAAGATACATTGGATTTATGTTCATTTAAAATATGCATTGAACCTTAGAGAAACATAATACGTTGCATTTATGTTCAGTTAAAATACATACTGAACCTTAGTGAAACATAATACATAGTATTTATATTCAGTTAAAATATGCATTGAACCTTAGTGAAACATGTTGTGGTAGCTCATTCGTTCATATCTCACAACTTGTTCATATACGTGACTGTCTTATTTGTTCCAGAATATTTGATGAATCTATTTATTCTGACATTGAAGTAGTGTGTGGTAAACTAAAATTACTAACCCATACGTGTATTCTTAAAGCTCGTACAAAGAAATTTTATCATAAACTTGAAACAATTTTGCATCTGAATATCGGACGTAATACGTTTGATGAAATTTATTCTTTCATAAGGTAAGAATTGTGTTCATGTTTGCTATATGTTCGCAATTGTAGTTAAGGCCGCTTTCGTCGTTCTAATTTGTCGATTATTATTCTATATTCTGTTTATTTTATTTGCTTGAATAGTTTAATGTTTTTAGCTGACAAAATATTATGAGCATGTAAACCTTAACGGACATGTATTATACGTTAAGATAGAAAAAATAAGATTATAAATTGTAGATGCAAATAGAGAATGCAGTGTTAATATTGTTTATTTCTGAGAGCTCTACGTAATTTCAATGAATGTACTAACTAAAGTTTAGATTTTTTTTTTAAATATACTTTATCTCTGTAGAATACGCTTAGTAGACCGTAAGTGGTAGTGAGACTCCCTTTTTAGAGAAACTACGTAACCTAATGCTATAAGTATTTTATTTTAATATATTTTAGTGACTTATTACATGCACATTGATCAGGTCAGCACGTATCATTTTTTTTGTCTTCAGTGTCTTTCTCTTAAGGAGTAAAAGAAAAATAAAACATATGTTATTTGTACCTTACGACTATCTGTGTCTATGTATCGAGATCTTATGTAGCTGAATAACTGAATTATTATATTATCTTAACAGTTCCGTTTAGGTTAATAAATACAATTTTACGTTACAGCCTTAAATACTTTATGTATTATGAAATTAATTGAAACGTCCATCTTACTATGTTGCTCTTTTATTATTCGATGACAGAATGTGAAAATAAATGAATATATTTTCTTTAGAAATAAACACAATTTATTCTTAATATGATAAGAAGTTTATATACGCACCTCTCCGAAACACCCGTGTTTCGAATTATTATTATATTAACAAGTGTCTGGAGTTTTCGTACAAGCCTAATACTTTTTTTATTGGGACGCCGTAAGTAATAAGAATGTGTTCAGTTAATAGTACAGTTAATATTATTATTGTTTACACTCACTAAATGAATTAGTTACTAACATTTTTTATTGACCTTCAGCCATTTTTCTAGTTTGAATAATATTTTTGATGTTCTCGTCTGTCTACGGCACACATGTGCTTATCATTCCGACTTTTACAGGAATGAGATGACCTATATGTCATTTGAAACAGCATAGCAAAGATAGCATAGATATATTGCTTATTTTATTCGCAGTTGAAATCCGTAATATTTTTTTATCTTCAGTAAAAGTTTATTGTATAGTATATTGTTTTTATTGTATTCGTTTCAATAATTATGCATTGCGCTTTTCAAGTTTAATGTTTTATTCTATAAATAGAACCAGTTAAGATATTAATGAATTATTTTTTAACTTATTTACCTTCAGTTTCAATATGCGCTATCCGCTATATTACGTCACACGAATGTCATGATATTCATATCATAAAGTGGTTACGTATTTTGCAATATTACTCTAACAAAAAGGATGTTCTCTTCTCTTCTTGAAGAATGAACTCTTCAACAAGCTTAATATACAGTACAGTACGAAAAAGTTTTAAATATTTCCAATATTTAAAAGTTTTTCATCAACAGTTCATTTTCGTAATTAATATAATACTTAGATGTATTGGATTTTGAAATTATTCGTTATTTAGGTCCTTCTCCCAGTCGTTAACGTGCCACTTTAGTCATGCATAACACGAATTTAGGCATTTATAGATTATCGTGACTTTCCTTCAGCTGTAAATATGTTTGTTTCTAATAAATAAATTTATGTGATATCTAATTATTTTATCATTAATACCAATCAAACTTTTGTACTATTATACCTCAATGTACATACAATGTTATTCCTTGATTTACAGTTTTCATTACCTTGAACTGTACAAATTACTTGAATCGATAAATGTGTGAATTATTTACTATGAATTGCACGAATATAGTTTGTTTTGATATCTTTTTGCGTGTAAAAAGTAAATAATTGCCATTTTAATTGTATTTTAACGAGATTGCATAAAGACCTATATGATATTAATAAAATTTGTACTATTACTGGAAGTCACAAGTGGAGTTTGAAAGAAGCAGAGTGTAGTGGATTTATCTTTAAGTTCTGAATTAAAAAGTAAAATGATCCGATTCCATATTACTCACTAACTTTTTTATTGATTTACTTTTGTTTGGCATGACTATATATTTATTTAATCTGAATGGTTATATTTTTTATGTACAAACTATATTTATTTGTGTTGACAAACTATATTGCTGTTATTTTGTGTAACGTGTGGTATTAATATATTCCACACGTTTTACTATATTTTCAGAGCAAATTCCTTCACATTGCAAACAACGCGATTGGGAAGTGCGTTTTATTGAACAAATAAAAAAATATTTTATAAATTTGGATGTGATCAACAGGTTGTTGTGATAGTGAGCTTTTTCTGTAAATGATAAAACATGAGTGTATCTCTATGTTATGTCTGTATGTTTGTTTATTAAATTTTAGAGTAAACTAATAATTACATATGATAAAGATAGATTTTATCATGAGGACAGGCATAGTATATTGTTATTTATATAAAATCTATGTGTATATTTTTTCATATTTGTAAATTATAGAACATTATTATTACTTTTCAGCGACACGTACACCGAATGCAACATAAAGAGACAAGAAAAAGAAATAATTGCACACATTAATGATACATTTAGTTTAATCAAATACACACCCGATAATTCTTGGAATAGTAAAGAAGATATAGTAGAACCAGAAGTGTTTTTAACTCCTAAATGCACAAGCCCGCATGACGAGAAAGAAATTCCAATTACGCAAAACTCAACTCCCAGTACTGAATTGACTAAAGAATATTATGCATTAGTGCCAATTGATGGTAATTTATTAGATAAAGAACTCATGGAACAAGACGTCCTCTCTAATGCATTTCAGTCTATTATAAAATCTCAAACACAGGAAGAAATTAATGTCTCCTTTCCCCAGTGCATAAAACCGACTTCATTGTCTCTTAATTCTAGTCAAACATCCCAAACAGTCAAACATTCCAACAGTTGTGATATTTTAAATAGTACTCATCTTAAAGATAATATAGTACAAATTAAAAAAACTGAAAGATTTAATGTGGCCCCTAGTCAAAATTCAAAAATCAGTGATCCATATAGGGATGAACATAATGATTACATAGTTTCAAAAAAAATTGAATCTGTATCCGCTAAGTTTGCGGATCCTACATATTCGCCAGACAGTTTAATTACGGATGACCCAAGTTCATCTTCTGATTACTTGTCTGCTGTATACACTTGTTCTCCAGGAATTGACGCTATCGGTTGTCATTATCAATTAAATGTTGGACATAATATTGCAAACATGGACAATGTTTTTACCTCCTCTGATTCGGGACTGGAAAATACAGGTTTATTGGAAAGCCTTACAAGTCATAAAGATGTAACATTAGCCGATGCATCATTAACAGAAAGCACTTTATTTGACTTAACTGCGGATGATGCAAGTAACTCTCACGATTCTGTATCTAGTCCAACAACAGATAAGTACCCACCACAAAGATTAAAACTAGGTACGTTACCACAAGTGGCTTTAAGTGGTAATTGTTCAGAAATAGATTTTAATTGTTTTAATACAAATTCAACTAGATTGAAAGAAAATGTAAGTTGTAAATCGTCAAAAGAAGAAAAGCAAAGACAGAATGAAGAAATAGTTATATTAGAATCATCATCTTTGTCATCAGAAACAGGGTCTTGGGAATCTGTATTTCCTCCGAAGTTAGCTGAAAAAGATATTTGTGAGAAGTTTCTCAATAATGAACGTCAATATTTTAATCATAATTCCTTAATTGAATTTAACGATCAAGACCATGGTACTGCTTTATCATCAAGCTTAGTTCAAAAATCTCCTTTTAAATCAACTGGCTGTTTTATCGATGCTGCAAGTTTGGCCGATGAAGAAGACGAAACGATAAAAATTTGTACAGAAATAAATGTTATAGAAAATAATATAAAAACAGCAATACTACCATTACCGAGTCAACCTGTTCCCTGTTGCACAAATAAACAAGATATGAGTCCAAATGATTGGTCTGAAGGCAATGAAAATGACGACTCTTTAGAACAGGCTGAAACTAAAGACTCGGACTCGGTACAAAAAGATTTGTCACCTACTATTTTTGAAATGACACTTTTAACAGATGATTCGTCATTAGGTCAAAATATGTATGAACTTAATAGAGATGAAGATTCCAATAGTAAAAAGAATTGTAACGTGGAAGAAATCTCAATCGACGGTAATATTAAAAATGGTAGCACTAGGTCTCTACTATTTTCAGCCACAACGCCACATAATTCTATAATGTCTCTTAACGGTTCGTCCATGGTACAATACGAATCTGTCACAAATTTAACCACGTCTTCGATAAAATTGTCTGAGAAGCATGTAGATAATAAAACGATTAAAAAATCTAACGAATCTCCTATAATCTCAGGAGGTGCTTCAATAGAAGATCATTTACCTCAAATTACTAATTATAATTCTTTGACACGTAGAACACTAGAAAATATACCAATTGTTTCCGGGGCCTATACACCACCCATGGAGAATATCAACAGTAACAAAGTATCAAAACCATCTTGTTCTTCTGCTTGGGTAGTTGATATGTCCAACAATAAAATATCAAATGAAGATGTGATTGTAACGTCTACTCCAATGAAACCAGGTGATAAAGTTTGTGAAAGCTTAAAAGCTACTTCTAAGTTAAGCAGTAGTCTCGAGTCCTGTAATAAAAATAAAAGTTCTGGTGACTCAGATAGCAGTGAAAAGTCATATCATAAATTTTATATAGATTTAGCAACACTATCAGATTCCACAACATCTAAAGACGATAACCATAATACGGATAACACAGAAAAGAAAAATATGTTTTCCATGTATATAGACTTAGGTGAAAATTCTACTTTGAAAGAAATGCCGGCTAGGTTAACATCATCATTAAATATAAAAAGGAGTACTTGTGTTGAACATGAAAAGAATAAGAATGTGCAGAAATCTCGAAAGAGAGGGAAGACTTCAGTCGATTGTAGTCTCATTGCCACATCTACAAAAAATGATAGTACTTACGAATCACTATCTAATGAATCGAATTTAAGTACTTCGGACATTAGTAGTTTACGCCAAGGAAATGATAAAAATTCTACGCAAAATGTCGCGGTAGAAAAGTACCATTCTTTGGGTGATTTACAAACAACCTCAGTTTCTCATCCTGACAGTAAAATTTCATATGCCACCGAGTTAAAAGAGACTAAATTGCAAACTGAGCTCGTTTCTAATAATGATAGTACTTTTGAAAAATATGAATCGCTATGCAATGATCCAAATATAAGTATCTCAGAGATCATTAGTTTGCCTCAAAGAAATTATAAAAATTCTACGCAAGAGATCCCAGAGGTAACGGAGAATTCTATCAGTGATTTAAAAAAAAAAACAGTTTCTGCTAGTAAAATATCAGATACCTCCGCTTTGGCAGATGAAACTACAGTGAAACCTTCAACTGATCTTTTTGTGAAATTATCAGATCTAGACAAACCAATCCAAAAATGTGAAACTCCTATTAACAGCAACGAAGCAGTGCTAGATGTAAGAATGACAAGGTCTATACCTGAGAATAATTGGGGAGGACAAAATCATAATAGTACTTCAATACCTATAGAAGTTATTAGTTCATTTCATTCAGAGAATGCAGTAAGTTTGAACAGGTTGTTTCCCCATTTGAAAAATGAATTTAGTAGAAGCATGCCAGGATCGTTATCAGCAAGAACACGATCTTCTCTTAGATTAGGAGCATCCTCGAGTCCTGGTGATGCAGATGAACCATCTTCGGACATGTCGGAAATTAGCAGCGTTCAAAGCAGCATGTGTCGTTCTGTTGTTGGTAAGAAAACTAAAGTAACTTTTTTAAATAGTAATATATAAATGTACTAGCAAACCCGGACATGCCTTGCTAAGGTTCTTGAATAAAATAATATTGTGCCTATAAATTGAGATGGACGCTAAGTTGGATCAAATTGCACACAATGTGCAAATCAAATTTGCAATTAGTTCAGTAGTTTAGTAGTCCATCGTGGACAAACAACGTGCCAACTAATTTTTATATATAAAGATATTAAATTGTGTATATCTGATTTTAGAAAATAGTACAACAGAAGAAACCAGCCAGACTTTGAGTTTAATTGGCAGTTGTCAGTCTCGCCTTGGCCAAGATTTGCTTCGCATGTTTTTAGAAGAAATTGCACCGGATGTTATTGTAGAAGTGTCAGGAAGACGTATTAAAGCGCACAAGTGCATTTTATCATCGAGGTATGTAATCTAAACGTCGTGATAACGTAATGTCTATCTAATCTACGTTGATGTATGAGAAAATGATAGCTATATCTTATTCTTACTGCATATGTTGTAACCAAATGTATCCAATAATATTTTTTTTAATTTTTACGAACTTCTCATGTATATTTCAATGAATGAAAAATCTTAACAAATTATGCCTAAATCATGTTCAGAATTAAATAACAGGCAGGAAAACTACTGGTTTTTTAATTATGCCGAACATACGCACCGTAATAAGTTTTTGTAATAATTAGGCTGAAGCCATAGTCTACTCTTTATTATTTGTGTTGGCATATTACCAAGTGAACTTTTACTATATTGTAGAACAGCATAATTCAATTAATATGTTTCTATACTATTGAATAGAATCATTAATATAATTAATATATCTGTAGTCGTGTTATTCTTAACCAACAATTCATTGCAAATCCCATATTCTACTTTTATTTTTTCATTTCTAATATTAAATTTTCTACTGAATGATGAAATCTACTACTTCTGAATTTATTTCTGAAAAAAAAACAAAACTTGCCTTTAATAAATTCCAATATTTTCTATTACCTTGTTATTTTTACACGTCATATTAGACCTCTTTGTTTTTTACAATTGGAAATTACACTTACAGATATTGAGTACTTCTTTTCTATATAACTAGCAAAATCTGATCTTAATGAATCAACATGTTAAAATTGCAATGTTTAGTGCGTAACCCATTGGTGATTTAATCAGTTTAACTCAACGTTTATTTGTTATTTGTGTTGACTTCTAGATATGATATTTTGTATTTTTGTAAAATCTTGTTGGAAACTATATACTTCAGTTTAAATAGTAATTTCCCTTGCAGCAGATATATTATGATACGTATGAACGGTCCCGGTGGTCTAGCCGTTTATATAGCGCTTTAATTCCGATGGTATTGGATTTTAGGTTGGGTTTTGCCTAATTTACAATGGGAATAAGTCTTATATCATGTAATAGTGTGTACAGATACAGTTTAGGACGATTTAATCAGGACAAAACTAACTGACAAGTTAATATTGACCAAGAAGAAAGTGTTGTTAGATATCATTAATTAGTAGTAAAAATGGTCGCCTTGCTTAAATTATTATGGCGTAATTGTTGACCAAAAATGGTGCATCTAATATAGTGATAATATTTTACAGGTGTCAATACTTTGCTGGTATTTTAAGCGGTGGTTGGGTCGAGAGTGCTGGAAATGTGATTTTGTTACCACCGTAAGTAGATGAATGCTAAATACCATAACCATAGCCAAATCAATTCATAGCGAATAAATAATATAATAAAAAATTAAAAGTTCATCCCAAAATAAAAATCATTTAATCACATAGTACAGCCACATATACATATTTCTTTATCACTATTCCTACTATCTAGTAGTTACCTTACGGGATATACCGGTACATATATCATCCTTCACTTAAGTACCAAGTGTACTATGTACATCTTATAGATTTTGCTTGAAAGATATAGTAACAATAATATTGTATGTGTATTGTATGTGTTTTTGAACTATATTTCGATGTTTTTATTTATTACAGGTTTGCGTTTAATGTAGTACACTTCACCCTCTGTCACATCTACTCAGGGGCGGCTTTAATTCCCGACTCCATTAGTATTGTGGAGTTGGCGACTATAGCTGACATGTTAGGCTTGGAAGGACTAAAAGAAGCTATAATGTATACTTTAAAATCCAAATATTGCCACCACTTTCATTGGGTATGTTTGTTTTATATTTACACTTATAAATGAGTAAATTTTATGACAAAAAAAAAAGTTAAACTATACAATATTCTTCTTTCAGCCTTGTTCTGTTTGTACTTTGGGTGTGCTTGAGTGCTTCCCATTGTCATCACTGTATGGATTGGATGACCTTTGTCACAAATGTTTGCGTTGGATCACAAAACATTTTTCTAGAGTATGGCCAACTAGAGCATTCGCAGCTCTGCCGGCTGATCTCTCTGAAACGTGTTACCAACAGCATATCATAAACATGAGTGAGGAAAATGTGGTGGAAACTATATACGGATGTGGCATTATAAGTATGTATTAAATAATATTGATATTGTAGTAACCCGTATGTCATAAAATACTTGTAAGAGTGATTATAAAATTTATTTAATTGCCTGGAATGGGGTACAAGCTGTAGATATATATGATGGTAAAAACCTTCGCCTATATAAATGATCAGCTCCACGGCCATCACTGTATCATGTAACGCCTGCAGTAGCAGTCGTGCGTTGTTCCCATTTAGGTCAGACGTTTGGATATTACCCTTCAACTGATACATCTTAAAAAAGCTAGCTGCTTGGCTGCTAAAGTAACTGAGACCAAGTAGTTTAAGAGTAACCGAACTCTGTAAATCAAATATGAAATTCAGTTATTATTTTAAATCAATGTTTTTGATGAAGTGTCAACAACGTTTATTATTTAAGAACTAAATATGAACTGATATCATCTGCGTATATATAAGCTAAATAAATTTACCTTTTTATTAATAATAGGGAATGTTTGTCATATGTCATTACGGTTACCTTGTCCACTTTAATTTATGAATTGTAGCAGCATATAAAAGTATAACAAAAATATAAATAATGGCTCTTTTTTCCAGTATCATCACTGAAGAGCAACAGCAGGGGAGCTGATATCGTGGAAAGGCTCTGTCGCCGTTTAATGAATGCATCAGCAGAGTTCATAGCCCCCAGATTGGATATTGTGGTACGCACACTGTCCCCTCCACCCTCTAATCTCCCGGAGGCTTCAGAGCAAGCACTCAGTGACTGCATCAATGTTGCTATAGAGCGTGCACCCGGCGAACAACTGTGCCGTCTCTACGAATATCTATTCCATACACTAAAACAAAAAGAGCAATACGTATTTTACAGCCAAGCTTGTACTTGGAGAGTTATTTGCGAGCGGACCCTGGTGCGTGCCGCTCCACGGGTCGTGAGGACACAAGCTTTCAAGGACTTACCCTTAGAACTATCTGTGCGTCTACGGAAGTTGGGATGCATAATGTTTGGAATACAGAGCCCGATTACCACAAATTCCTCAGCAGATCGCAGAAGGAGCCCAAACAAAGACTCCAGGGATCGTAGCCAGTCACGCAATGTTGACATAAATGATATGAAAGCGCGGTTTACACCATATACTTGTAAACCAGTTTATGCAAATCCCGCCTCAAATGTGCGAGAAAAAGTACATCAATCTCAAAAGACACCTGTTGTTAGGACGACTAAGGCTCAAGAAGAAAGAGCAAAATATAATATGGCTAAATGCAGCACTTCAGTACAAAAAAATACACGACCTAAACGTGCAGAAGCAAAACATAAATTGACGGCGAAGGTACAATCGTCTAGCGAATCATCCCGTCAAGTGAGCGAAACAAAGGGCTACACTGTTTCTCAGGATAGCTTGGCCACTAGTTCACGACCAAGGACGGCTGAACCGTGCAGTTCACACAGTGATTCCCTGAACATAAAATATGCCACATACACAAAGAGCAAAAGAACAAATGTAGAAAGTAAGTATGGTATTGCATAATGCTTTACATTATTTGTATGTTACACTTAAATTGTGGAAGGAACCTCCTGCCGACGTTTTCTCGTAAGAAGGTTTCACATAGTCGGCAACGCGCACACGACACCCTAGTCTTTAAGGAGTCTATAGGCTACGGTAATCGGTTATCATCAGATGTGCTGTAGGCATGTTTGCTACAATAGTGATATAACAATATGTTAGATGAGATTGAATTTATCGGATGTTCGCCGCGCTATACTGGGAGAATATTCACATCGCTTAGTATTCATTGTATTTCTAGTTTGCCTACACTGAAACGGAGTGCATCAAATCTTATGCAAGCTCCTGTTTCAAATCTATTGTTTATAACTTAATGTAGACTTGATTCCCATTCTATCTTTAACTGCCCCAGTTGATGGCAGTACTGGTTCAAGTTCTATATTTCCAATACACCGTTTATGAGATATGTATATTATTATGCAAAAAAACAAAGATTTCGTAGTGCAGTTTATCGAAAGAGCTTCATTATAAATTTATTTTATCTGTAGTTAAAAAACGTATCCCTCCTATCAATTCAAAGGTTTAATGATACTACTGTTTTATATTAATGTTGAATTTGTTAAATTTGACTATATATTCAGTTATTTTCTGAGTTACCAATGAAGTTTCTTATAATTTGATGATTTTCTTCATAAAACAACATTTTTCATTATTTTTAAAATGACAAAAAAATATTGCACTCTTGCTTTTATTTATATCTATCTTATATATTATTTTAGACTACTTCCCAATGAAAGTGATCATTCAACAGTTTTCTGTATGTTTACCATATTTTTGAGACATGCCTCGCCATGCAATACCCAAATATCTTTGACTGAGAATTCGTGTTTACATGTCGAAACTGTTTATTTATTTCAGTATGTACTCAATACTCCATTAATATTTATTTATCTTACAGACCAGGCAGACAACTCTAAAATGAAGACTAAAATTCCGGTGTATGTAAACAACAAAGCTTGCGCGTCTAATAAGAACGCGAGGGACGCAGATAAGAAAGGTACAGTAATAAATAATCATCATAATCATAAATTGTCAATTTTACGAATGGTAAATGGCAATTGTCGAATAGCACAACACATCACAGTCTTGGTGTCATATGACGCAAGTAGTATTAATCAAGCGTTGCCCTTACGAAGGACTAAGTTGTCATACTGCTGAATCCTGAAATTTTCACTGCCTTATTTCACCGAAATACATCTTTCAAATTTTAGGGGTTCAATATAGGTGAAACTGAGTATGCAAACAGGCGACACAGCTTTCTATTTCAAATTCTGAACGAAAAGCAGTTATTACTTTTTAATTTGTACTATTTCCAACGTCACTAGTCACTCTATGGACGAGTTAGTGAATCCTTTTTTCATATTGTTTTTAAGATCTATTGGAACAGAGTTTTGTGGTTTTGATTATTAAATATTTTAATGTCCACAGATACTACACCGAAAAGTGACCGGAGGTTTGGATCGTTGATGATGGCTACGAAATCTAGTTCTGCGAAAATAGTTCAAAGACAAATAACACCGTCAAGAGGAACTAGCATCAAACCGAAAAATACAAAAAGTGCAAAACACAATGGTAAGGTCGAACAAACCTCACAAAGGCAAGCTGTACCAAGCATGGATCGATCAGGCACATTTTCAAAAGATGAACCTACTTTTGGCGACAGAATGTCGAAATAAGATAATAATGTTTAGTCATATGCTTAATAGAGATTATATTTATTGTGAAAATATCTAAATCCTCTCCAGTAGTCCTACTTCTATAATAATATTTAAAAATGATCGTATATTTATTTTAGATTAAGATTACTCTATTTTACATTTTACCAGGCTCTAGTTCTAACCCACTCACGTCTTATCACTTAGCGATATACCTATTATACGTTATTATATATTTGTTTTGTCTGATCTATTTTAAATTAGAGGCAAAATAATCGGAATAAAAAATTGTAGGTTATCTAAAAACTTAAACCCACTTAAAAACTTAGTTTAAATTATTTATTGGCCTTCTTCAATGTTAGGCATTGCGTGTTACTAGCAATATATAATATAATACATATTTATAACGTTTTAGAAATAAGTATGGGTGTTAGTGCGTAGTTTTTAATGTAATATCGATATTTACTTAGATCTGATCCACTAGATATTAGTAGGATATGCTAATTAGAATTTGTTTTTATCAATTTGTCTCCAACCCACTTCAAGATAAATTAATTCGCCTATATATAATGTATATTATTACCAAAAACAGACAGTATCTAACGTCGAGTAATGACTCTATGTAGTAGTAATATAAGTATTAATATGTATTTATAATTATTGCATGAAAATAATAATAACTTTTATTGCACATAAAAATATATTGTTATATTTTAAATCTTAAATAAGTCTAAGGATATATGAAACGAAAGATTATAACGTTTTATTTTTGCTATTTTTGCGTATTCGGTTTATACACTTTATCTAGAAATGTTTTACATTATATTTATAAACTAGGTGCTCGGAAATGTTTAAAGCCTATGTATTGCAGAAGCTGTTAGGTTGTTATTATATACTGTATTCTTTATTTAAGTGACATTCTTTATTGAAGTGTTAGTAAACGAGACAACTCTTTATTGGTATAACGGTGTTGTTCCGAGTATTACTGTAGACGTCTGTCTCATTTTTAATAGATTAAAAGACTAAACATTTCTAATGGTAAATGCGACACCTATAAAAGTGAATGGTTTTTAGGCCTCTTGAGTATTTAATAAAATATTTTATGTTTACGAATAAAATTATACCTGTAAATATTATATTATATTCTATTTACTTTGACATTATTTATGAATTTCAATGTTTCCCTTAAAATAGGCAGGATGCTCGATTTGTCAGACAAATCTACAGAATCTTTTGTATACTTGTGTCTGCGCCTATTCATGTATCTGTAAATATGTTTTGTTAATTATTTTATGCTAACTTTATTGAAATAAGTTAAATATTATTAAATAGATACTTACTAACTTTCCAAAGTGATCTCAGTGATGCGCAGTATTCCAATTTAATTATTTTTAGGTCTGCATCAGCCATTGTTATAAGATTTAATCTAGGCCATGTTTTACTTATATTACATTATTATGTTGTAAATATTTAATGACATTTTATATTGCAATTTATTGTTGAAATTACGCTTCTGTATCTGTAGACTTGCTAATATGTGATGACAATTATGAAATCTACTTATTTGTAACTATATAATGAAACTTAAGTTAGGTACTCTTTTGTGTATTGTGTTGTTAGTTTGCTGTGATAGATACAGAACGAGTTTAACCTTCGACATTATTTGCTACTTAAAGTACCTACCTAATATTGAACTTTCAACCGCAATTAGATATATGGTATTGGAGTAACTGTAAACATGTATTAATGTTCAGTATTTTTATTTTGTTTTCTGACAAAATTAATAATATTTTATCATGTGGAAACATGAAATATATTTATGTTAAATAAGGGGCAACGTATGGTTTTACGAAAAATTAAGTACAATTGGATTAATTAAAACATGTTGAATAAATTTAAAGATATTTTTAGTTGCTTTAGTTCAAATACAGTTGATATAGAAGTATGTATAGTATTATATCAAACAATCGTTTTTGCGTAATTTTAATGGCAATTAACCGTCAGGTGAACCTGATAATGAACAGCAATACCGGTATCAAGTTATCATGCGACGCCCGTAATGTATGTTTCTTTTAAGCGTTGCTTTTCTGGAGGACGAAGATTTCATACGTCGTATCATGTAAATCGCGGAAAGTGGCAAGAGCTCCACCGACAAGAGCGTAGCTCTTAAATTATGAATGAATGAAAAAATCCTGTAATTTCATTACTAAATCTTCGATTGAACACAACTTATATAGCTAGTTGGTTTGCGTGAAATAGGTGAGACTGTAGCCACACATGCACAAGAAATCCCGTTCAGGTCTGCCTTCTGCACATCTAGTGATTAATGTTTATATTCCTAAATTATATGTTAATTGCCGTTCAGAATTTTCCCATAGGAATTCTCTACAATCCTATTGAAATGTAAGTAAATTGTATTATTTGTATTAAAAATATATAATAACTACCATCATGATTGCGGTTGAATACTAATTATTATGATGCTTTTAAAGTAAATAATATCTATGCCAGTGTTGTTGATAAATTATGAATATTGTATGAAGATTATTGTCATTGAGTAGATCAAGTGTTATATTAAAAAAAAGTTTTTCTATGGGATTGTACATTTATAATATGTACTTATATACTATTGTATACATTATACTTTCTTGTTTGTGGATATTGAGCGGATATATATATGCGTACAATTAAAATTCTAATGAATTATTAATCTGTGACAAGTAAACTTTCTTAACTCCTATGAAATCTTCGATCAGAAATTTTGTAGCCACATGAGATTTTGTATTGCTTTGTCGTAATCTATAAAAGTTTGGGTCTCACTAACGCAACTAAATGCCTTATTACCAATATTATAAGGGTATAATATAATATAGTATGATATAATATAATATATAATATAATATAGTATTAATATAATATAATATAATATACAATTCACACAGAACTAATAGTCAGAGCTCTAAATACTTAGAAAACACCTAGTCCAATACAAGCAGTCATGTTCATGAATACAAACATTTGTATTGTGCGAGGAATCGAACCCGCGACCATCGGAAGTAATGCGGTGTCCTAAGCCACTCCACCACCGAGGTCTGCTTAGAGATTATTTCGATACTACTTAATTAAATGTTTCCACCCAGTTTGTACAAATACTTACACTTCGCACTTACAAGTTTATGAGCTTTCTCAAACTATTTTTCTTGACTTACTGCTGTTATATTTACATTTGCGACAGACAGTATAGAAGAAAACTTTGACAAAATAGGCACAGATTATTAGATGCTATATATGTATAGTGATCTACTTAATTTTAGGTAGGATTTGGAATTATGTATTTTGGAAGAATGTTTGGGTAATTTTCATATTAACTAAATCAAATCCCAGAGAAAAACCTTTTAATTAATGTGATATTACATTATTAAATATATTGATCACGTTTGTCTGCATTTTAGTCTTTACAGTGTAACAATGATCTCACAATCTACACTAATGAAAAGCAATTAATGTAATTCGTAATCAATATTTATCAAAAAAAATCCAGATTTAATCTTTAATCGATGATTGCTATTTTATAATGTAATATCGATTTTATTAATGTACACAATAGAAATCTTAAATCAATTTAATTAAATAAATGTATAATTATTGCAAGTAACCGTTTATCATTTTATTCCAAAGTAGGTAATAACTATGATTACATTCAGTAACGTACCCATATCCACCTATGCCTCCCTTATAGCAGGCAGTGCTTGAAGTACAATGACCATGACATAACGTGAGGTTCGTGATGCTCATCATATGTTTAGACCAGTGTTTCCCACACTTTTTTAAAATTCTAACGCCCCCTGTATGTAATATATTATACATAACTTTATAATATTAAAAAATTGAATTGTATAATTAAGGAACTTAAATCATAAGTTTTAGGGAGAAATCACTAGAAAGTTGTTAATTGAAACAAATATTGAATTGAATAAGTAAATTTTCAAAATATAATGAATAATTAAAATAATAAAAATAAGTGTATTAAAGATTTTTCTATTTTATTATTTTAATTTAGTGACAAAATATTTAGGAATTCCTTAAAATTGGCACCGAAATGTAGCATTGTCTTTAAAAGGCCCGGAGCTAAAGGGTGAACTGGTTTTGAGTCCATTTTCGAATGACCAACCTCTGGAACGAGGGCCCGTTGGGAAACACTATTTTAACCCTGTCTTATTTTTTTTTATGGATGATAATGGCATGATGCACCCACCTGCGCTAACGGACCAGTGGAGGATGATAAGATAAGCATGAGGTCAGGTCAGTTAGCTCATTGTGACATATTCACCAAGAATTTATCATGATGGTTTCCAGGGAGAACCGCGTGGAGGTCAACCTGATATGGTACATTGCTAGCAATGGGGTCAACAGTCCACATTACTGACAATCCCCCCCCCCCCCCCTTTTCTTATTAGCTACAGATGGGCAAACTGTTGAATTGCTATTAATATTACATAAAAGAATAATATGAAAAAAAACTTAAACCACCATTTGAGTACACTCTCTGTTTACAATATATTCTAGGAACTATAGCACAGGTAAAATAACAGTACACAGTAATTATTATTATTTTTGCTTCTAGTTTTTTGTTATAGTGTCCTCATCTGAACAGTGAATGTTTTTATATAATAAAAAGTTTACTAGACCGTTACCCATGACCTACTTCTCATTTAGATACAAATACACACATTTTTTTTTGTCATATCTTAGTATTGGTTGTGATTCACACAGCACCATTTAGTTCTAAACTAAAAAACTTATAGTTTTAAACAATTGATAGAGTTAATGAAATAGATTTTATTGCAAATACATAATATACATACAAAAAAAAACCAAGACCAATATTCCTGCTAAAAATGTATATCTTGTACCAGGAATTGAAACCGCGACCGAGGCTGCCAATAAAATGTAAGCTTTTAATAAAATGAACTAGATGAATTATTAACATAAGCTAGTCTAATTTATATACGTACGTATGAAGCTGCAGATCAAATATTGCATCGTTATTATTAATTGCAGGTATTATTATATGTATTATTGCTTTGTGCTTCAATTTAAATTCGTTAAGATTTTATTATATGTAAATATACAGCAATAAAATTGCCACACATTGGGGCACATTCAGATGACGTGATTGCTCTTTATGTATAAAGTCGACCCTAGGGCTGTTTTTACCAGCAAGAATGCAGTCAGCATGTTTGCTTTAATAAAATTACTAGTATATAATAAATAAACATTGACCTTATATGTCTATCCATTACTATATCAAAATGTATATCTAATATCAACTATATCCTCTTTGTTAATATGGATAAGGGTGATAAAAATCGTGACGTTGAAGGTGATGATTGTGGTGTTGACAGAAATTTGTAGAAGAATTATCACTAACACATTAGTTTTTTCTCACTTATTCAGCGATAGCCGCATAAAAACAGTGGCAATAATATAAAAAATAAAACTGTTCAGAAGAATAAATCCGATTGGATTAGAATTTACAACAGTATAGGTAAGTTAGGTAAGAAATACGAGTCATAAATTAAGTCTTTTATTTCAGAAAACGATACAATATAGCATAATAGTTTAATCAACAACAATACCGTACGAAAAATTTAAAATTCAATTGTTAATAAAATAAAAATACAATTTTGTATATGAACGATCGTCTGATTTCAATCAGAAGCCGGAAATTGGAGGGCGGGAAGTCAATATTGCACAGAATTCAAGTGAAATGACTTCACATGCAGAATGCATTTAGTAGACATTGAGGAACTAAGTAGTAGAGGCGGGGAGTGAGCCTTCTACATGTTTTATTCCTTTACGAATTTGTCCTACTCCATGATTTCCGGTTTCTGATGATTCAAATCAATAAGTGTGTATGACATGACTAAAAGCTGTAAGAATGAAATATAAATATATATGCTATACAAACGGTTATCAGATTATGGCCCTATAAAGTGCCATCATTTGTATTATGTTACCATGAAACATTCAGACAAACATACAAGTAAATTTTTGGTAACATTCCAGATAATTGTTGATCTTAAGATAAAATTTTGTCATTTAGGATACTACGAGAAAACTTATTAGTTACAAGCCCCACCATGCGATAAATATTTTATACCCTTAGAGAGTTACTCTAATAATGCCAAAAGATTGAAAATTTCTATTACCAAATAGTTAACAAATATTTCAGGGAATGCATATTAATATTACTGTTTAAATCGCAGAACTATGTGTTTGAGTCTAACGTGAAATACATAAAATTACTCTAAAGTAAGGTGAGTAAACGTTTGGTAATTAGGAGAGAATCCTTAACAGATGATAACCTCAAAATTTATTCCATACATATTTGTAACTTAAATGCAAGAGTAATTTATTTTATTTCAACTTCTCTGGGATATCGCTATTCCACATCGTTTTTAAAAAAGATAGTCTATGTATCTACCTTCCAATTATTGTATTATTCTACATAATATATATATCTACTATATTATAACGACAAGACAATTATCAGTTGATTATATAGTAACGACTACTGATTAAAGTAGAAATGTATTTAAGAATAGTTTTTCTGGTATGATGTCAGTCAGATATCAAGATATTTTTTCTACTATAACACAACCAAAATATAGTTCAACAACTGGGCTTTATTATTTCTTAATTTAACATAAATTAGGAGTAACCCTTTTTAAGTTTAAACTCTTGTCATGTAATATGAAATGTTCAATCCATTGGTAAATGTAAAAAACCGTTCCACCTTCAACAAACTTTAAGAAAATAATATTAAATAAAAATGCAATGAAACAATGATATTTATCTAAATTTACCGACACAAATCTACGATTAAAGGTGCTATGAACCATGACATAGATCGTAGGTGTTATAAAACGCACATGCGCGACTCGTTACCGTTAATATATTATATCTGTTTCCACATACTTGGTGCCGCCACTAGTTCGACGCTAGCTGCGTTTAAGTCACCTAGTTTGAACCTAATTGCAAAGACACAAATCCCCATAATGTATTCATTTCAAATGTATTACTGACCACACTATCAAAACGCTCATGTCATAAAATTGAACATAGACAATTTTGTAAGCTCAGCTAAAGCGAGTCTAGGCTGGCTGCATTGAAACTAGTTTTTTTAGCGAGCGCCTCTCTGGCTGTTGGACACTCCCGCAGTGATCCTCTAGTTTGCTATATTCACACGAATGCTTGATTCAATCAAAACAATTCAAGGCACAAGCCATGCACCGGATGTTAAAAAAAAGTGTCAAAATCCTGTATATACTGCTCTCACCATATAGTGTGTAGATAATACTGTAATAAATAAAGTCGTTAACGATGTCCGTATACAGATTCTTTTAGAGATCTTTAATTTATTAAATATGGCTTATAGTGGTTTGTACTTGTAAATTATAGTAGAATTTATAATGTTCGAAAAGAGACAGTGACAAAAGAGAACTAGAGAACCAGTAAAGAACAGAAAAGATGATAATGATTCGTCAACTATTGGTATACATAATACTTCCTGGCGTATGCGAGGCGTAGATGGCGAACAGTTGTGGCCGATACTACTACGCACCTCTCGCAAAAGCGCTGATAACAAAGTTAGCGCGAAAACGCTATAGACCGAAATGAGTTCATTATATAGAACAAACGTGACAGTAAAGGCACGGTCAATAACATCAAAAATTATTTAGTACACACCGATCAACTATATAAATATATTCTACGTTCTGCATCAAAATATTTACTCTCTGACATTTATTTGTATTAATTATATATATATGATTGTGACAACATACAATACGATTTTGATAGTATTTAATATAATTATAAAAACTCTAACAACTGCTTATGTGATCATAAATTGGGAACTCATCAACGGCCGCACTCAGAGACATTCTTCAAATTATCGCTAATGAACATTTAGTCAGGTATCGTGAAAAAATTAATGGTCATTAACAGTTAACAATCAACCACCAGATGAGTCCCGGTAGGACATTTTTTAAATCTATACTAGCGAGTCACTTAATTATTAAACATCTCCGAATGCAGCGGCAACAGTTACAGGGATTCAATTTTAGGAAATACACTGCAATACTCTAGAAAAACTGGAGTAAAATTATAAAAATAGAAATAAAGGAGGATTGGAAAGACTTATACATATTGGAGGTAGTGTTATTGAAAATTTTAACAAAGTAAATTAGTAGTACCTAATAAGAAAAATAAGCACGAGAGGAAGTGGAGGAATTTGTGGAGCAAGGACATATTGCTCAGTTTTATTAAGTCAATATTTAACAACATATCTTGTGAATATGTCAGCATAAATCCTGCAATCCTTACATACATATTATACATATTATACATTACATATTATAAATGAGAAAGTAACTCTTTCTGTCTCGCTTTCACGCCAAAATATAGGCTACTTTTCAATGCGAAAAAGGGTTCTAAGGGTTTGAAAAGGAAGATGAAAGGTTGTATGGAAGTATTGTAAATATTTAGGCTGTTGATAAGTAAAGAAAAATGGTTGTAAGAGGTTAAAAGGGGAGAGGTAAAATTGTATGAAGTATCGTCAATTGTAAAGCTAGAAGTTGAAACTTACATATTTGCTGTTAATTAAATATAAGTAAAGAAAAATGTATATATTCTGTAGGGATTGAAGCCATGACGATCAGAAAGTAATAATAGTACATTGTATATAGACGCTATACGATAGACGACTGAGACAATCCAGGAGTAACATCAGAAAACGTTCCTCGTAAAAGTTATTATCTTTACCTGTTGTTGTAATATGGAATAGACTTTTAAATTTCATTACAGGATCAACATCGGTGACATGAGTAAGAGGTGGAAAGGGATGGAAAAATTGTATGGAAATATCGTCATTTTTAAAGCTACAATCGTGAAACCAATTTTTTAGGCTGTAGATTAAATATAAATAAATATGACAGGTTAAGTTTTATTTTATTAATTTGTAAAAATTCTAATCTTAATCCTTAAGTGGGTAAAATAAAATCGTCATTTTTGAAGCTTATAGCTTGATAGCGATGAAACTTAGTTTTTTTGGGTTAGATTATTAATCATTTTTTATTTATTAGTTGCCGGTATTATTCTACGCGGACGAAGTGATTGCACAGCTAGTATAGTTATAAGAAAAGATAGGATATTGAAATATATTAATAAGTTATTGCGTAAATAAAATTATGACTATCTAATCAGTTACATGGCCGTTTTATAGTAATTATTCAATATAGTATTGCAGTGAATTCCTTTAAATTAATTATATAGGGGAATGCTAAATAATATTCTTAAAATGAACATAAGTAGGGCGGATAGTGTCACATATCAGTAGAGTATCTATCTACTCGTACATGAGGTAATAGTTGTGGAAACATAGATATAAGGGATCGCAGTTCAACCATAATTGTAATAGTGTATAGCCTAAGTCTGAATTGAAAGTAGCTTCTTTGTGGAATACACAAATGCGTGTTGCAAATGTGTTTTACACAGATAAGCTACTGCACTGCACGTTGGGTGAAGTCGCAATTTGCCTATGTTAACCCTAAATTGCAATATCTAATTTTACATATAAACAACTACTGTTATATTTATTTATAGAAACATAAATTTTCAATAATGCTATATTAGCTATAAACTTTATTGAAAATGGTTTATCAGAAGTTCAACATTTCTACGAACAACGGGGCTAACATTAGGGTACATACTGAAATAGTAGTTTGACAAAATTATTACAAACATTTGACTGTTCTGTTCTGTCCTGTCACAATGATTATATTAACATGTCGCACCCAGACAGACAATTCTAGTAATACCTAAAAACAATTTTTTTCTTTAAATCAAAGTATAGAAAAGAATAATACTTCTGACAGAGATTATCACTTCTCGAATACATTCAATAAATTATATAAATTTGTATTACATTCAATGATTACAGATTACTTCATATAAACAAAAAAAAACCAGAATGTGGACAAGTCTTTTAAAAACAATACACATATGTAAAGTATATATACAAATTATTATTTTTTTGCAGTTTAGAGTGAACGTACTTATTTCTTCAGATGGGGGTGAGGGTATGCATTTCTGCGCGCAACACTTATATGAAATAATAGTCAACTTTTCCATATATTTATGACTGTGTCCAGTTATGAATTCATCAAGTCTTATGAGTGCGACCACAGTAATTTCTATTTCTTTTGCTTTGTAACTAAATAAATAAAGACAGATGAAAATGTCGTAGATGCATAGTATAACATCAACAGGAATTATCGCTGAATCTGAAATTATTAAATTATTACATATATTGAGAATGGAAATTATAAAACTGACGCATTGTAGGCTTAAGCTGCCATGTGCGCGGGGGAGGCATTGGGAGTTGTGTAACAGCGGTGTCTGTGAGGTGGCGTCACCGCGAGTAGTGGGGGAGCATTCACATAAAGAATTTGCCAATCAGGATGCCAATAAGAGCCATTACTATAGTAGTGGCCATCCAAGGTAACGACGGCGCTTGCGCCTGCTTCTCTGGCCCGTAGGAATGACCGCGGACCACGCGAGCGTCTCCGCCGGCTGTTTGGTGCAGGCGCAGTAGTTCCTCCTACAAATTAATATATCATTATACATATACACATTGTTACAGAAATATTTATACAGGGCTAGTAATAAATACATGGTAACATAATCAGCAAGAAACCCAGGGATATCATTCAACAAAAACAACAACAATCCTTATGGGTTGCGCGGCACCATTTAATAATTATTCATTCATATTTTCAGATTTAAGGGAAAATTTTATTATTTGTGAAAATAATCAGGTTTTATGAATTATACTCCCAGTTTCCAAGTAATTATGTTTATCTGCCATAGAGTATCTCTTTAATGCCCATACCTTGATTGGGAGAGAATTTTAACGGCATGTACGCAAATATTTAATGCACCACAAACAGAGAAAAGGTTACAAGTGAATATGCTGCAACTCAACACCAAAGCAAAGCAACGCAATAGTCAGTGCAAATTATTAGAAACTTTAAGAGTAAAAATAGTTATGGCATATTTAAGTAGTCATGAAATCGTTACAACTTTTTATACACACTATTGTCACGCCAGATTTCTTATGGGGTAGGCAGAGATAACCCAATTCTATAGGCAGAACTCAAGGACAGAATGTCTATAAAGACAAATTTTCTACCCGGCTCACGCAAGCATTAATTAAGCATAAAATATAAAATTAAGCATTAAACACATGATCAGTACACCTCCAGTAGGAGGTGTACTGATCATGTGTTGAGTGATACAGAGTACTGTATCACTCGATAATCCATAGATCATCCTACACTATCTAGATGTACCATTCTTCTATCCATTTTCTTACCATACAGTATTGCTGCCAAGCTGATAGAACTAATGGCTTTGTCGTTACTGCAGTTAATGTATGAAGTATCATTACCATTGAGCAAGGGTTGTGTGCCCTTGACTACGTTTTTAGTCTATTGAGAGCTTATCTGTCCCCCATCAAAGAGGCAGAGAACAGAAAAGGCCTAAAACACGGCTCCACTATACTTGATCATCTCAACAAACAACTTATTCCCGCACCCTTCCAATGACATTATTGTGAAAATAGAATTGGTATCATATTCTGAGACTAATTCTATTTCTATCACATCAATATCATATGTAATCTGCTAGGTCGCGTACCCAAATAAAAGCAGCTTCAAACATTTTTTTTAAATATTCAGTCATATTAACACATTATTAATCTACCAGAATATCACTTTTAAATCGACTCATTCTGGGAGATGATGAACCAAACCTTTACTTCCCTCTTGAAGAGTTTGGTGTTGTCCTCGCATGTTATTCGTCAAATTATCTTCCGCTACTACTCTAGCTCCCTTACGCTCTTTTCTATCATAAGACATTTGATGGCATTCCTGCACATCATATACACTTCATTCCTCATCTTTGACAGACTTTCACTTATATTCAAAGAAGATACAGTTCCGCCGCATTTTGTTTCTTCTATATCAATTGATGATTGATTCAACAAATTGATGACCTGATGTTAAATGGTAACCGTCGCCTCTATACATGGACTGCATTACGGATATCACGTTATCATGTGGCACCCATGATACCCCACATGCGTTTATCCGTGATACCATTCTAGAGGACGTTATGACTCTTATCCTGTAATTTCACTGCCTAATCTAACCCTACAGCTGAAACATTGTATATGTATACGATGTACTGTATAAAGCAAGGTGTTTGGCGGCTAAAATAATCGAAACTGAGGTACCTACGTCGACGACTTTTTCCAATCTCTAATAAATATATTTATGTTTTGCCAATGTGTAGATTAGCATTCAAATTAAAAATTATGTAGAACATGGTGGTTGAATTCGCGAAAAGTTTTTCGATAATGTCATCGCTTCATATAAGGAAATGTAATACTTTAGCAATGCAAATACTTCGATATCTGCTTCAATAGCAAAGTGGCAGAAAGAAATGAGACCGATAAGACCGCGTATACTATTAGCTTTAAAAATTAACATGTCCGTCACGTGAAGGTTCTATCTGAAGTATAGAAATACGTAACAGTGTAAGTGTGTATAGTATTTTTCGCGGTGAGAGACAGCGTAGTTCGCAGTGGCGTTATGGAAAATGTTTACGTTATTTAATAAAATTTTGAATGATAGCCAATTAATTCGTATTTAACTCGCGGTTGGAACAATTTAAAAAGAGTTAGGGTGTTTTATATTATACAGGTGATTGTTATTATTACCGAGACCCCTTGTGTATCAGATTTAGCGTAACTTAAGCACTCGCTTTTAAAATTACATATGTAACAATAACATTGTTACATATGTAAGTTTAACCCTACAACTGCTGAGAACTCGCGTGGCAAGTTAAGGATATCGGTACCAGAGATGTGCATAATTGTTTCCAAAATGTATGTAAATATAAAACGCTAGTTTTTGTATTTTTCATTTCAAATGCAAATTACAAAATACAGCCTTGGCCAAAAATATTAGAAAACATAATAATTTAACAAATACTTAAGGTTGCGATTGGAAAAAAACTTGTCCTTAACATAACGTTAATGCTAATACTACATTACTCTCGTATTGAAACCTTCTTTAATTACATCATTTATTTTGGGTAAAGAGGAAATATTTTTTACAATCTTCAAACAATTCTTTAGTTTCTTTGAAAGTAATCAAGTGCTGATCAAATTAAAATAAAAAATTGACTATAAATATGTATTCGATAAAGTTAAGATCGTGATCTTAACTTTATCGAATATATATTGAGTGAGGAGGCCAACTTAGAAGCTCTATACCAGTGTTTTTCAACGTGAGTCCACGCCCACAAGGCGGCAATTTGATTGTTAAGGGGGACAATTCGAAAATGAACCATTTATTAAAATATATAATAATAATTTTAGAAAGGCTAAGGTAGGGCATGTCTCTAAAAAGGTTCTCGACTTATGTCACGAGGCACTGTCCTGTTGAAAACGGACGTCATCCATGTTCGTTATCACCGAACAAAATATACAATGTTTAGAGAACATTACAAGATATATTATATCTCTAGTCCTCTGGAATGGCAACAACAGCGTCGCAGATATCATATGATATTTTTAAACAACCCTCGAAATATTTCATATTTTTAAAAATGAGTCTTATTAAATATTTCACATCTCTGGTTGATACTTAATGTGCACCTCAACTTACCTAGCCTAATGATTAACCTATTTACGTATAGACAAACGAGAGTTAAGAAAGTAGTATTGTCTTTATATATATGTTGCAAGTTATCACAGCCAGGTTTTATACGAATTCGCCCGCTCAGCAGTTAGTATTTTTTTATCTATGTTAATAAATAAGGCCCCTAACGGAGTAGACGCAATTGATCAAATGTCATTGGTAATTAATAATTTTATTTTGCAATTCAGCCACTTTTTATGATACAGCTACGAAGAATAAAAACATATTTATTAACATGTGTTTGGCTTGTCACTTTATACAACATAGTTATTATCATAACATCACAATTTATCCCTTTAATGTAGAAAGATATATAAATTAATGTTGAAATATTCTAAGTAAATAAAGGACATCTGGTAGATAATTGTAAGGATAATAAATAACGTATATACACGTTATTTATTATCCTTACAGTAGTTAGTCATATTGCGGAACTTTTGAACTTTTCACTTTTTAATTTATAGTAAGTTGTAATTAGATACATACAAAATGAAGACATGTTAATATATTAAAAAAATATATACGCACAGCCTATTTATATCAAAAGAATCGCAATTATGTTTACTTTCCCAGTTACATAAAATAGGTTGAAGGTTTAAACATAAGTGTTTCGAAATAATTACAAGAGAAAAAAAATTGATTGAAGATTATGGATATTGATGATGTAACAAAATTGCAACCTACTTTTAATTGCAAATTTTCTTGTCTTAATTTGCTCTCTTCCTCCCGCAAGTGAATAACTTCTAAGGATGCTTTTTGTAGATCATTTTCAACATTTTCAGACGTAGGAAGAGTCTGGAAAAAAATAACGATTTTTACAGTTCCAAATCATTTACCTCAAAACTATAAACAACATCGAATTGTGCAAATGTACATATTGCAAATAAAAATAAAACATGCTAGTCTAAGAAATATACGTACAGAAATTTCTAAACAACACTAATATTATACATGTATCTACAGTGTGATAGCAAGTTTGTTTCTATTCACGTCATTGTTCATTAACTGACATAAACTGTGTCACACTAGTATTTAGGAGATACAATCACATAGGCTACTTATCATCCTGGGCAACTCATTTGGTCCTAAAATATTATACTACACTATTATAAAATATATATTTTTATAAATGTAGACATATTTGCATGCTTCTCTTATTATCTTCTCGCTTTTCATACTTGGTTTACAATACTTCCGCTAAGCAGCTAGTGATTATTTACAACTATATATATTTCTGACAGCCTCGGTTGTCTAGTAGTAGTAGCACGCTATCATATTTCCGATGTTCGCGGGTTCGGTTCCTAACACGGTGCAAACATGAATTTGTTTGCATTGGTCTGGGTGTTTTCTATATATAATGTGTATGTTTTAACAAAAATATATATTTCAGTATTTATACCCTTGCCTAGTACCCATAACCCTAGCTCTCCTTACCTGGGGACTGATGGCGCTGTGTGGATTTTTTTAACAAGTGTGTGGAGAGTGTGAACAGCGTTATTTATGATACATTAAGATCACATACATTACAGCACTGTCGACTTCATCAGTGGGATAAAAATATAAATTTTTCGTTTTTAGGAAATAAATAATTCACAAGGATTATTTAATTTATACATTCATTATGGTATGTACCCCAAAATCTATTTTTTACATACTAGTTAAAAATAAAAGTGCATTAATAAGCCTGAACTAAATAATGTAATGAAACCATTCAAATAAGTGTGATCAGCATAAATAATATTTTATTGGCAGTCAGAGATGACAACGGCAATGAAGTTTCTATAACAAAAGAGTAAATAGTGATGGGGTACCGTTGTCTTAGCGCTTAAAGGTCCCGTCTGTTCATCATCCTTCCTCCTTTTTGCTTCATTCTGGATAAGACCTTCTACGTCTTCCTGTAATACAATTTAACATGCCAAGCTTGGACAAGTTTCAAACCGATTTCGACAATGCATTTGGCAAAAACATCCGTATGACCGTGACGTATTAAAACTGATCAAAACGTATACAATGTGTGGTTAATTACTGATTAATTACTTAAATGGTCCTAATGGTACACAACACATTTGAAGAATAGGCAAATAAAACATTAAGAAGCCCACAATCACTACATAAACGACAAATATATGCATGCATTACGACTTGTTTCATAAGTTATTAGTTAGTGTTGAGTTTGTAAATGAATTATACTAAGAAACACTTGAAATAAACACATAACAGCTACTTATGATTATGTACAATAGAAACCTAACTGTACCTTCAAAGTTGGTTTCGCTTCATCTGCAACTGCCACTCGCTTCTTGTTTACTTCATTCTGAGCTGCATTATCTCCAGAATCCTTAAATGAGTTATTTGTCTTATTAAAATATAATACCTAAAGAATAAGAATGTCAATCACACTATAATATTATTGTCTTAATAAAGTATATTCCGGAAAACGCAATAAATAAATTTTTTTATGTAATTGTAATTGTGAACCTACCGGTCCATCTAATGGTTTCCTTTATAAGAAATTCAAATAGTATTCTAGTCTTTTCGTAGCTGTAGATTATTTTATAGGTATTATTATTAAAGGGTGTAACATAGTTTCTGTTTGTGTTAACTATTAGAACACAGATATCACGTCATCATATCACGCACGTGATACGTTCATGAGCAATGTATATATGTCCATTCTTAAGAATAAGAACAGGCAAGGAAGGAACTACAGGAGAAAGCTGTCTGTAACTGAAATAGGTAGGGGACTATCAGGAAACGTCTGAGGTCTACCTCGGTAAATTACTTAAATTCTATAGCATATATAATTAACATACTTAATAATATAAAATTATATTACTTATTATTGGTTAAACCAGAATCTATATTATTTGTCAATGATTTTGGGACCTTTACTATTGCAGTACTACTACTAGTGACAGCATAATGTATTGAAATTTATGAACAAAATAAGTTTATAAATTGTCTTAGAGATCAGATCAAATTCATGTGTTAAATTGTTAACGCTCTTCTGTGATGTACTATCAAATAGCATGCTACAATGTACTACAATGCGCTGCAATGTTATCTATTAGGTCCGCTACAAATTTATCGGTATTTTACATGAAATGATAACACAAATAATTAAGATATGAATCAATATTATATACCTAGTAAATAAATAATTAATCAATCCATTAATTTCTTTTATACAAATAACAGATTACACTTAGAATATACACAGATGTGTATCTGTTATAAATTATCCAATTACAAATGAAATTGCTTTTATGAACTGTAATTATTTTAATTTTTTCAGAACAAAAGTAAAAATTCTACAATATACATTAAATAAAAAACAATTTACTACAACAATACAATACAATCCACAATAACGCGCCAGCACGGCCTTATCGTTATCGGAAAAGTACATCTTACGTACTTTCTTACAAAGCACGTAAGATATATTGGTATTTTATGGCTTATTGGGGCTCTCAAATTGACCATAGAGCACATATTCATGTAGCATGCTCTGATAATGCCAATTATAGACTTTCCTTTTACATTTTTTCTAGTTAATTAACGCCTAAGTAAAAATGGGGGGAAAAACATAATAAACAAGATTCTCAACATTGTTCCGTATCTATAGCAGTAAGATCATGAAGGCATGAAACACTTAATTTCCTTATTCTTAAGATATCGTTATATACTTACATTGAGATTAGTGCCACGTGGTGTTTCAAAAACACATTTCAACTTGTAATCCATGAGCTGATCAGGACTAATCTCCTTCCACTGAAATTTACGAGAAATTAATAAAACATATTTAAACAGTAATTTCTAATATTTGTCATGACAAAGAGGGTGCAAGTAACGAGTGCCTACAAAGTGATTAATTTGTTTTTATTGCAGTATCATACTTCATTTTTTTTTTGCCCTGTAATATAGTCATAGTTATTGCCAAATTATAACATACATAATAAATTCGTATAAAGTCTTAAAATATCTTCTTAGAAAAAAAAAAATATAAAATTTTTTATTGCATTGGTAACATTTATGGGGGCGTTGTAACTTTTGAGTTTCTTTTATTAGTAACAGGATATATATACAATTTATTTGCAGGATATTTATACTTGAAAATTTTTCTTATAAAAGTTTAGAAATCTTCTGAAAAACTTCCTTAAATAATTGGGAACAAATTGCAATTATTTTGCATCTTTTACCAACTGTATGAATCTGAAGAATACTGAACTATCAAGTTTATAATAAATAATTAACAACTGTAAATACATACCATTTGGTCAATATTGCTAAGTTTTCCTTCTGGGACAGAGACGCTCTGCACCATGAACTTATGTTTGTGCTTTTCATTTTGATCAACATATACCGGTTGTGGAGTAACTGGAAAAAGGCAAAATTTATTTTCGAATATTTTTTTAACAGCGTTTTAGCCTAGTGGTATACAAACTACCCTGACTTACACCTGAGAGATTTGAATTCACCCAGAGTTCAAATATGGTCGACATGAAAAATGTTTTGTGTCAATGTATATTATTGACTAATTTAAACGTAGCCAACGTTCGATTTAAATATACTCTGCCAAATGTGAGCATGTCAAGTCCGGTCACCTCGATATCGACAATTCTTTTGACTACCGCATCAGTATATTTATTTATTTTTATAATCTTTACATCAATGTAAATCATTTATATCAATGACATATAGACTACCTCGGTGGTCAAGCGTTTTAGCACACTCATTTACTTCCGATGGTCGCGGGTTAAATTCCTCGCGCGGTGCAAACTTTATATTCTTGATTATGATTGTTTGTAACGGTCTGGGTGTTTTCTATGTATATTATGTACGAATTTACAATATATATATATATATATATAAGTATTTATATTAGTCGTCTAACACAAGCTCCGCCTACTAAGGGACTAGATGGCGCTGTGGTAATTGGTCAGGGTTATTATTATTATAATTTAAAAAACATTAATTATTGTAGTAACAAAACATACTCACTAGCTATTTCAATTTTGGAGTTGGGTGTCAATAATCCAGAATTGGGGCGTACACAGTATTTCTTTGGTGCAGTGGTCTTTATCTTGAAAAGTACTGCATCGCTGGATGGGTTTATTAGCCGCATGTACGTTGTACATCCCTGCTCAAACAGCCCTGAAAAATCAACTAAAAAAATCAATAATATTAACTATACTATCAAGGATAGAACCAGATACCAACATTATAGACATATTTTGATTTTGCTAAATTATTTTTGAAGACTCAAAAGTAAATATATATGCACAACATCAAATAAATTTATAAAAAGTTTAACACCTACGATCCAAGAAACCACAAGTGCAATTTTTTTAAGTAAATATCGCAAATATTTTCATGCTGTATAAAAATACTCTACAACATCATTACAGTAATCCATTCATTCGTAATAAAAACAGTTTTATTACAATATTTCATATTAATGATTCGATTGACAGTGTAGAATGTAGATAATATGTTCTGTGAATCTGTTGTTGCTTAGAAAGTATCTTAATATTTTCTTGGAGCGATATCTGTAACCTTCAATTGATTTACTTAATGCCATCACAACTTTAACCTAATACCACAATGTTGATCAGTTAGGTACTGCTACAATTTATCTATATTGTAATTAATAGATTGCCTATACAGTTTAATAACATTTTCATGACTGACCACATTATAGCACACAAATGTACTTATATTTAAAATATACATCAGAATACGATGACGATATTCAAAATAGTATAAAAAACAAAATTATATTTTAGATTTCGACCATGTTCCTTGAGGAAATCTGTTCAATTATATAAATTGTTCTTATATATAATAAAATTAAATTATAAAATCGGCGGTCCTATGACATTTCCTAATAACGTAATATAGGTATATATGTAAACATGAAAAAAAAACTGACCATTATTAAACTACTAACTGTATGATAGAACAATATATCAATTGTCCGAAAGATCTTTGATTGGTACGATAACTTATAAGTTAGCACTTTGGAAAGAAATACTCGTATAAGGGTAGATTACGTTTGCTAAAAATAAGGAATGGAATATAGTGGAAACCTGTGCATTATCTGATGAAATATTGATATGGCAAACACGCTCACGGCAAACAATCATACGGCCAGACGGTAAATGGTTACCGTAGGCTATGGACGTCCAAAACAACAGGGCGTGTTAGTTAGGTGTTACGTGCGCGTTGTCGGCCCTAGTAGTTGGTAACTGTCACTTCTATAAATGCACCGCACCATGTATATCACCAAAATATGAAACCCGTGATTGAACTCGATCCATGTAATTTCGAAGAACTAAGCTGCCATGCGTCTTATTCTATAATTTCACTGCCTTATATCGTCCCTTCAACACAGCTTACAAAGTAATTTGCATGGCGTCTAAAATATATGAGACTGTAACTACGCTACCTATAGGTTGTTTAGTGTTTCCAATGTAACTCACATCGTACCTTAAAAACCACTTCCTGATAGTTGTGACAGGTTAACCCAAAGTATCTAACACAGTGCTTCCCAAACTTTTTCTGGGCCATGTTTCACCTTAGCCTTTCAAGAATTCTAAGGAATCTTACACAGGAATGTAACATATATATTACTTTATAATAAAAATAATAATTGTTCACTTAAAAAACTTAAATGATACTTAAACTTAAATGATAGAAAAATCAATTTTCTATCATTTAAGTTTATATCAAACTCAAAATAATGTTAATAAAAAGGCCATTTTCGAATTGCGCACTTTAACAAAAAATAGGGGGTTGGGCATTGTAGGGCGTGTGTCCCGAGGTGGAAACACAGATCTGACATGAATATTAGTGGCACAAATAAAACAGTCACAACATATTATAAGACAATTGGAAATTATCTTTTGCCACCGTATTAAACCTTGTAAATTAAAACAATTATACTATCCAATTTTAGCATAACTTTACGAGAGTCAATCTTGACTTTGATGAATCTCTCTCATGCTGATTTTGTACACGGGCTTCATGAAACTTCAGTTATAGTTTTCAGTGGCCTTTTTTGAGTTTGGGTGTGGCAAGGTAAACGCAAAAATCAATTCTGTTGATCTCGATTCGAACTAGGAGAGATTTTACTTCGTCAGTAGAGATATATTAGGAAAAGTTGTTCTGTAATATGATTCCGCCAAAAGTTTATTATGAATAAACTTACGCATTAAAATTTATATCAGACTTGAAACAGTTTGAATTTTTGTGTCCATTTGGAAGCGTGTTTCTAGAACGAAACAGAGTCAATTCTTTTGACGGTACATCTTGTGTTTTAGAGTTTGATAACATTGATATTATTAGGTTTTGAGAATTCACCAAGCAACTGTTCCGTTGTTACACGAAGTAACTGTTGCGTTTTTTCAATGGATTAATGTCCAAGCAATTGTAAAAACAATATGAACTAACTAAATAAACTTTTTAGGTGTTTAGGATAAGATATTAACATGCTATTGAATAAGAGATAAGTTTTAAACATTTGTGGCATTCTTATATAAGAGTAGCTGTACCCGCGACTTCGCCGCGTGGAATTTAACTTTATTTTTCTAAAATAAAAGTAGCCTAAGTTACTCCTTATTACATCAGCTACATGCCAAAAAAAGTCCCGTGTAAATCGGTCCAGCCATTTTAGAGATTAGCCGGAACAGACAGACAGACAAAAATTGTAAAAAATGTTATTTTGGTGTTTGTAACGTATTTATATTCGTATGCATGTGGTAAAAAACGGTTATTTCAATATTACAAACAGACACAAGAAATTTTATTTATACGTATAGATGTATAGATAATATTGACAATTATGCTTTTCTACATGTTTTCTATTTTGAAGGCTATTCATCACATCCTGAAAAGTTAGACACTATTGCTTTTTTTATATATTTTTACTGACGGCCTCGGTGTTTTGCTCACTGCTTTACATCCGATGATCGCGGGTTCGATACCACGCTCGGTGCAAACATTTGTATTCATGAGTATGACTGTTTGTATCGATTGGGTGGTTGTATTTACAAAAAATCTAGGTATTTATATCAGTTGTCTAGTACACAAGCTCTGCTTATCGTGGGACTAGATGGCGCTGTGTAATAATACAAAATAACCATGGACATAATTATCGAGGGTTATTTATACAACACCTCCTTTTGCGTCAGTAGTAAAAAGAAATCAGTAACAATCCTTTGTTTAGGTTCTAGCTAAATGCAGCGCACGAATAAATCGACGTTGCAGTATGTAGTTTCATAAAATATTTACACTTATCCAGAAATGCTTTGCGTACGTCTTTGGTATTGATTGTAACAGTAGACGTTATTCTATAATTATATAAACATAAGCATTTTCAAATTAGACGTTTACACCATATTATTACTTTAATAAATCACGTAACTCACAGAAACTTTAAACCTATTCTGAAGGAGGTTATATTACACCTATTGTAATATTACACATATCGTATCTATTAGCGTACATAATTAAAAATGTGTTTTTGACTCAATCTAATGTACTAACATTTCTAAACATACATACTAAAAATATATTCCTATGCATGTACGGGTGCAAATTTCAATAGAAACTTGTTACAAAATTATTCCTTCCAGATTTATATGTTGTTTTAAACTGTAATATTTAATAATGTGATTTTGATTTATTTTAAATAAACTATCCTTTAATATATATATATATAACAATTCATAAATATAAAATAAAAATGTAAATTTTATCATAATCATAATGTCACTTCCTCAATTTTAAAAGATATTTTTTTTTTACTTTTTGTACTTGCTTACTTTAAAGTTACTATATGAATAAATAATGCATACATATATACAATTTTTTGCTATAGGTGTTTGTCACCTAACACCTACTAATAATTCTATTTAATTATATATTCTCAAAACTCGAAATGATCATAACCGTGATGATGGTCATGTATTACTACAATTACTAAAATTTGTTGTTGTGGGCAAATTGTATTTACATATTAAAGAAACTTTGCGAAATGAGTATGTTTAAGGTTGACTATCCTTCTCATACACTCATTTTCAAGTGAATAATTTCTATGATTCAGTGGACAAAAAGATAGAACTTGAAGATATACTACCTATCCTGCAGCTCATTAGAAAGCATAGTGAATTATTGTTTCAGATATAAAGATTAATACTTTAATTTGCATTACACAATTAAAGAAAATACACATATTTTAGTATATATGAGTCGGGAAAATAAATTCAATCAAAATTTTCAATGCAATTGAAATTTAATAATGTTTTATAGATTTCTATTTTATTTCAAGTATTCATAAACAATTTTATTGATTACATTGTTCATGAACATTTTCTACACAAGTCCATTATCACAATACCTATATATTTAGACAATATTAATTATTGCACCTATGTATTTTTCACAGCTATCAACCTATATTTGTTATTTTGTCACAATTTTATTATAAAAAGATAACAAATGGAAAGAATAGTTTTTATATCAGCAATAATAAATAATACTGTAACAGTTTCTATAAATTCCATAGATCCCTTAAAAATTATATGGAATGTAGACCATTCTTTGTTGGCTTCTGTGGTCTAGCAGTTTAGCACACTATTATACTTCTGATAACCATGGGTTCGATTCCTCACTTGGTGCAATCACTTGTAATCTTGTGTATAAATATAAATATTCTCTATTTATATTATGTGGAGTAAAAAAATGTATGAAGTACATCATTCAGTTGTCTAGTACCCATAACACAAGCTCTGCTCTCAAGTTATACGAGATGGAGCTGTATGGATCATACAGAATTATTATTATTAATTGTAATTTACATGTATTGTTAATGAATTGTAGCATTTATACACAGGGTTGTGTTTATTAAACTAATTGTTACATGTAAGGGTGGATAAATCACTTAATTATCAAATGTAACAAACCAATTAACATTCAAATAACATAATTCACAAAATTTTGAGGTCCAGCATAATATTTTATTTAAAATCTTCTTACCTCAAATTCATTTATGAACATTAAATATGAATAACTAGTTTTGATATTAAATGAGACCTTGGCTATTGATTTAATCATATTTCATCTTCATGCACAAATAATACATTTATGAATCATCCTACTACCTATCTAATTATTGCCAATTAGTAATTATAAGTAGGTAATTAAATTTTCTTAAGCAAAGAAAAAAAATCTATTATTTTAGCCAAAATAGGTACAAGTAAACTATAATATCAATAATGAACTGAATGTTGTGTAGCATTAAGTAGATCATAATATAGTGGATTGGTTGACATTTTTTTAACAAGGAATCGTCAACTACTTTTAATTTATTATGCGATATTAAACACGTGCAGCTAAAATAAACAGCGCTGGTTATTGTGCCATAATTAAAAGAAAAAAATGAAAAACCGCACCCTAATAAAATGCCAATATCTGGAAATAGAAACTCCATTTGTCAGCAGCTAGCTAGCTAGCTCGCGACCTATGTATGGTGCCCAAGTTTTCAATGCGGCTTTTTAGCTTGTGCGCAATATAAAGATAAAGCACTCACCTTTAAATTTGAGTTCATTTTGCGGCTCTATAGTTAACACCTGGTTAGGCATTTTGTATTAAAATAATAAGTGCTGTATCTCGTTGGCAAAATTTGTAGATAGAAGTCGAAGTTCTATGATGTCGGACACAGGGTACGATGAATGACGACGATTAACGAATCCGACATGCGCAAAGGGTTACCAACTGTTATAAATGTTGCCACTGAGAGAATATTTCATTTGCCTATTTAAGTCAGTTAATATTTTTTTATACAATCATAAAAACATTCTAAACAATAACTAATTAAGTGGTTTTAATGGCTAATGAGCTTACTAAAGACCATTTAATATTATTGTCATTTTACAGACTCATCACATGTACGTCATAATAGGCGTCTTAAGCAAATGAACTTACTTTTTTCATTAATATTAACGAAAAGTATAAAATATTGTTACACGCATGCACTGTTAAACTACTTAAATAGCTGATTTTCAACGTACCTAGTATATATTTAATGTTTATGTTTGATGGATGATTAGATATTGTTATACTTCAATCATATTCCCCGATATATGGGGATCGAAATAAAACTTTGGTAATAATAATAAATGATTTGCGCATGCGTTGATGCTATTTGTTCTGTACCTGATGCGTTAAAATGTATATAACTTTACCGTGAGTAATATATGTCAGCCTATGCCTAGTCAATTAGCAATTACATATATATCAAGCGGCATTCGCATATTTTTAATATATGACATACTATTTATATTGCTATATAGTTGCAATAAATATGGCGCAAACTCCTGGCGATGACGGCGTCTGTTTGTCCGTTTGTTTATTTGTTTGTGATTTTGAGGACTAATTTCAGAAATGCTTAATCGTTTGAGTGCAGTTTTAAGTAATGTATTATAGGCTTTATTTAGAAAATAGTATTTGTTTAATTCCAAACAAAGAAGTAAAACGGTATAAAGCGTCACTGGCTGGGCTTGTTTGTAAATTGTTCCAATAATGCTTACACTGTTACGAAATATTTAAATATTAATTTTTGTAAATACGTACATACAATACAAATATTTAAAATACAGCGAGACTAATTTAAGCAATGAGTGTTAACTCTTTACTATGAAGAAAAAAACCTAAAGCTTTTCGATGACGTACTTTTCTACTGCATTGACTGCTACGCAATTTAAATTCGTATTTTTATATTCCTATACAATGTTGGAGACTATGATGGGATGGAACAACAAAAACAACTTCGTATTAACTTAGTATGTTATTTTGAAAGAATTTTAAAAAATAAAATTATTGGCAACACTAAATCACGGATATTTAATATAAACCATAAAGTAAAAACTTTAAATATTATCTAAATTGTTAGGTAAAAAATGACGAGAAATAGTAAACGTGTAAAAATAACGTAAATTTAAGATTTAATTTTTTTACCAGTCGTCAGATGAAAGGTTAAAAATTAAGTTAAACAGCAGAAGCAATATTTTAGAGATAAAAATAATATAATAGGATATGTAATAATTATTTATTTTAGGCTATTTTGACCATTTGGCTAGTATTCGTTTTTTTAGAGTCAATGTTAGTAAGTAAGGACACAAATATAAAAATATAAATAATAATAACAAAAATACATAAGACCACTTAAGTTAAATGAACATTAACTCAGTAATGAGTTGCCACACCGGTAGTGGATATTTTAAAATTACGAATGCACTAATGAACTGCGTTATTGAATTTATGTACCAAACCCAACAAACGTTATATGAAGGTAGAAAACAACATCGAGGCGCAATGAAATTTTTTATATCCCTCTCAATAACGGACATCCATGTGAGACGGGGTCTGCCGCGTCTTCTGGGCTGGGTACTTATGTCAAGCACTGTTCTTGTCATGTGGTCTGATGGTCGCCGCATGACATGACCGTACCACCTTAGGCGGCTCTCTAATATCTTCTCCTGTATGGGAGTCACCTTAAAACTACCTCGAACGTGGATGTTTTTGATGTGATCCACCATTGTTATGCCACCAGCCCATCTTAGCATTCTCATTTCTGCGGCATTGAGTTTCTGCTCTTGGTGCTTTTTCAGCGCCCAGCATTCAGAGCCGTACGTCATGGCCGCACGCACTGCCGCTTTATATACTCTGCCCTTGGTGCGAATGGGCATTCTTCTATCGCAGAGTACCCCAGAGAGCTCCCTCCATTTCATCCACCCGGTATTTATGTGGTGAGTTATATCTGCATCTATTGTCCCATCACTACATATAATCGAACCGAGGTATTTGAATCGGTCGGTTTCCTTTATTGGAGCATCCTGCAGATAAATGGTGTTTCTGCTGTTGGTGCCACTGAAATTGCAGTGCATGTGCTCGGTTTTCTCTCTACTAACTCGCAGTCCAGCTCTTTCGAGTGCTCCTCTCCACTCTTCCAACCTTTGCTGTAGGTTATTGGGATCTTCACTGATGAGTATGATGTCATCAGCATAGAGAATATCCCAGGGTGGAGAACGCTGTAATTCCGACGTGAGGTAATTTATTACGAGGTTGAAGAGCAGGGGACTTAATGCTGAACCTTGATGGACTCCGACCGTCACATCGAACTCATCACTTATTCCAGCTGGGCTTCGCACTTTAGTTTTAACGTTGTGGTACATGTCCTTTACCAAAATTATATAGTGCTCCGGTACTTTTTGTGCCCTCAGGGCATGCCAAATAAGCTCTCTTGGTACACGGTCGAAAGCTTTTTCCAAGTCGATGAATACCATGTGTAGATCGGTTTGGCTTTCTCTATATTTTTCCATCAGAATTCTGATCGAATGTATGGCATCAGTAGTTGACCTTCCTGCGATGAAACCACATTGATTATCAGTCACTTTGGTAAGCTGGAGTAGTCTGCTGTTAATGACTTTTTCCCATATTTTGAAGGAGTGTGATATGAGCTTTATAGCTCTGTAGTTTCCACACAGTCTGATGTCACCCTTGTTCTTATAAAACGGGATCAGGAGACTCCTTCTCCAGTCATCGGGCATTCCGTCAATGAGAATTCTGTTGAAGAGTTTTGTCAGGAACATTATACCGGTACCTCCTAGTTTCTTCCACAGTTCAACAGGGATATCATCGGGCCCACGAGCTTTGCTGTTAGCCATGTGTTTAATCGCCGAGTGAACCTCTTCGGGTGATATGCATGGAATCGGGCCTTCCGTAGCAGGTATTTCGTAGAGATCTTCACTTGGGAATGTTTCGTTAAGAAGTTCAGTGTAATACTCTCTCCATCGTTCGTTGATATCTTTGTTTGATGTGAGGAGTAGGCCTTGTTCGTTTTTTATGTATTTAATGGTCATTGTATCCCTGCTGTCTCTGTGGCGCTGTTTTGCTACTCTGAAGATTTCTTTGTCGTTCGTGGCTGTTTCCAATTTGGCGTAGAAGTCATCATCTGACATGGCCTTCGCTTGTGCTACGGCTCGTTTTGCATTCTTCTTAGCGTCCTTATATGCTTTGCGATCGGATTCATCTTTTGTTGTTTGCCATTGCTTGAAGAGGGTTTTCTTGATATGCAAAATCTCCCTAATGTCTTCTTGCCACCATTTTGTGTCCTTTTTGCCAAATATGGGGCCTTTTGATACCCCTAGCCATTGTTTGGCTTTTTGGTTGCAGAAGGATTGGAAGTCACTCCATATGTCATTAGTAGCATTCTCTTGTTGTGACTCAAGGTATTCTGCCATATCTTCACACATCTTCTGTCCCTCCTCCCGCTCAAGTTTGTGCCAACGTATTCGCGAGATCTTCTCTTGTTTCACTTTTGTTGGTTTTGGCATTATAAATTCAGCGACCAAAATACGATGTTGTGACGTGAGCGGTTCTCCGGGGATTACTTTGCAGTCCCTGAAAGTCTTTAACCGGGCCCGATCTGTTAATATGTAATCTATTTGTGTACATGCGTCGCCGCTTTTATACGTAATTAGATGTTCGGTGCGTTTAGAGAAGAACGTGTTGACGATTGCAAGGTCGTGTGTTGATGCAAATTGCAGGATGCTCTCACCTTCCGAGTTCGTATTGCCATATCCCCAGTTGCCATGTATTCTTTTGAACATGGATGTTGTACGTCCAACATGCCCGTTTAGATCGCCGCCGATGTATTTCGATTCTGTTGTCGGGATAGATTGTAGCAGATCGCCTATCTCATTCCAAAAAATTTCTTTGTCAGCTTCTGAGCAGCCGACTTGTGGTGCATAAGCGCATATGATGTTCATGGATGGTTGGTCATCAAGAGCGAACTTAATTGACATTAATCGCTCGCTTATTCTGTTTACCTCAACTATGCGATCTTGAAGGTCCTTATCTACGACAATTCCAACTCCATTTTGTGGTCGTATCCCGTGGTAGATAAGTTTAAAATTATGCCCGATGTTTCGCGATTTAGACCCCCTCCATTTCGTCTCTTGAATGCAACAGATGTTGATGCGTCTGCGGTGTAGTACTTCGCTCAGCTCGGCGCTTCGTCCTGTCATCGAGCCCACGTTCCAGCTTGCGATGCGCATTTTTGGTATTTGAGTGGATGCTCTGATGACATTGCCGTCGCTTCGGGGGTACGCCCTAGTATTTGCTGCAGTTCCTTCACTTGTGTCGTCGCTTAAGGGGTACGCCCTAGTAGGTTACCATTCTCTTATTATTTGTACTTTTCATGACCAGAAGTAGGAACATTGGCTTATAGTTTTACGGCCGGTTGCCACCTGACGCCAAGACAGTAACCCCTCTTGCTGACTGGGGCTTGGGATGCCGCCGTTGACTGTTGGGTTCTTCCGCCGCCATCCCCGACATGACGTCCTGCCTGACGCCATTACCCTTCACAGGCCCTTTCTCGGTCTACTACCAAGTTGCCCTGCGGAGGTGTTTCCTGTTGGTCCGCGAGAGGTATTTTATTTCCCTCTTACCCTTTAGTGTTATTTCTAACACCAACGAGCATTCCCCGATCCGCCACCTGGGGACGCGTTCTTTAGGGGTTACAGGCTCCCCCGAGTGCGTATTCACACCGATTGAGTATTATCATATCCGCGGATATACATATTTTGTTAGAACCGACGCAACTTTGTTAAGCGTAATATCTACGTCAATATATATTATATTACTCCCTATATATTATACTAGTTGTGTCCGCGACTTCCTCCGCGTGCAGTGTAGTGACCTTGACCAAATAAAGAAAAATATACAATAATGTAACCCAAAAGCCAAAGCAGGAAGTTTCAACGCTCTGGTTTCAAAAATAGTCCCTACAAACTTTCATCCCCTTACCTAATTCCTTAATTTTTACAAAATTTAAATGTCATATATATTTATATTTAATGAACAGCTTCAAAAATATATTTCAATCCAACAATCTTTCATTTCCCCTTTCAACCCTTGTTTCTTCATTTATATTTAAATAACAGTTTGAAAAATATGTTTTTAATAGCTATAAAAATGACGTAAAAATACGTTCCATGGTGGCATTGTATAGGCGGGACAAGAACATTGGCGTGGTCGGTGTCACGACATGTAGCAAGAAGTCTGTGCAGTAAGGAAATGGTTTCGATTGGCCCTCTTTGTGCGATTCTTCTTTTGTAACATGACGGTACCATCAACGATATGGTTACAAGAGTTGGCATACGGATGCAAGGACCATGTTCAGCGCCACCCTTGACACGTGCTACTGTGCAGTTTGCCAATAACGATGACAGCAAAATGTCGGTGCAGTGATTGGAACTCTGTTTCTACTGGCACTGCAGTGCCACTGTAAGGCAGCAACTTAGCCTTGGTGATGTCATCCTGGCTGAAGTTGAAAAAACAAACAAATATACGTTGTACATGCAGATTACTAGTAGTTTAAGATATCTAAGACTGCGACCTACGAAGATCTATTGTGCTTGCCCTTTTTTCAAAGGTCGCTGCTTAGGTCCGTCAGGGACATGAATTGAAGTATATTCTTAGAAGCGATGGTTTTTAACTCTTCTGGATAGGTACACTATACAAGAGAACACTGGTGGAGCACAGACCATGGTCACAGTGGATCATGATAATATGAGCATGAGGTCAGGTCAGTGAGGTCATTATGGTAATTCACCAGGAATTTATCATGCAAGTTTCCAGGTAAAAATTAATTAAACTTACGATCCTGGCATTTTCAGTGCCAGTGATTTAGTGTAGTTATTAGAATGTCATAACATAAGGGTTCACAGTTCTATTGATAGATTTTTGACTCCAATTTTTGCCCGTTGGTCAGCATTTACCTTCATGTGTAAGTGAACGGGTGCTGCAATAAGTCCAGGTTTTGCTACAGGAATACAAGGATTTCGATACCCAAAAGTTTATCATCACACATAGCCGCAGTATACATTATTACATACAGGATTACACCGTACTGAATGAAATATGTATAGGAAATAAATTTAATTACAGGTTCATCTTACCATACATACAATGCATCATAGCTAAGGTTATCTGCTAATTTAGACTATCTTAGGTAATAATGGCAAGTTAAAACGCAGCTACCTTTAGGTACTGATTTTGTAACGGTACATTTTAACTAACGTATGGATTACAAAATATGCTTAAAATCAATACCCAGTTAAAAATGTTTATAAAATTAGTTAAGATCTCATATAGTCTTCTGCTCCATTTTTACGATCTGCGCGACCGATCTTGGAACTCTAGGAGTATCTAAAGACAATTGGCGTTGGTATTGCCTTAAGAAATCTGAATTTATTTAAAATTCAACCATTTCCAAACAATTATCCCGTCTTATTTTTTGTTAGCGATATATAGGTATATAATAATATAATAAAAGGCAACACTATGCTCATGCACAGAGGATTTGTTGTTGTTGTTAATAGTTGATTTGTGTGTTGTAGAATGTAATTGTTTGGCTGAAAGGAGATATCCAATGCCGTAAAATACTTCATAAAAAAAAAATGCACAGAGGAAAAAAACTAATGCTGTCAATGTCAATAAAGTTCATTGAACAATTGTCAGTATTTATCAGTACACTTGTCATTTCTCCTTGGTCTCTTTTCTTTAGGCCTAATGATTTCCGAATTTTACAATTTAGAATTCAATATCGATATTTAGTCTTCGTACTGATCATGAAAATTAACTGATAGTTTACAGTCTACTGAAAATTTAGAGACAGTAATTTGAACGGCAATTGTAATTATGCCTGTGATTTTTATCTTGTTTGTTTATTAGATAGCGTAATTATGAATTGTTCAAGTACAAATTTAATTCTAAGTACATGCCAAAAGTTAGACGCGAGATTTAGGCACAAAATTATATGTAACTGGACTACACATCATAAACCAGATTTTCGTTATATAAACGATTGCACATCAACATATACTCGCCTTTTTCATTCATCATACAGGCGTAAACAATCTCAAAAAGATGGTATTACCGTTCTTCCGTCACCGCAAGAAGTAAGTTCTATAATTACTATAAGTGAAAAGAAAACTATCCTAACCTGTTTTCTGGCGTGCCTACTGAACAAATTTGCATGACACAGAAATTCAAGTAATTTTATCTTCCTGAAGAACTGCAATCATTTACAATATTCCTAATTATAGAAATAATTTCAAATAAAGTTATAAGCACTTTAATATAGTCTTTACTTTACTATAGTACTTTAGAATAGTCATATGTTTTTTATTCTACTACTCATTCGGAATGCAGACATCACACAAGAAAAATGATTAAGAAACATGCTTGTTGCTCTTTTATGTAAATGTACAGAGCACAAAATGGTTTATGTGTGTTTTATAAAATAAATTGCTTTATCAGTTATTTATAGATATATAGTAAGGTAGTCTTTTGCTTAGTCTGTTATGCAGCAATCTTCTTTTCTTTTATTATTCCTACATTTTCACTCTTCATGTACTTCTGACTGCTTGAATTATTTCTTATCGGCTGTTCCAGAAAGTATGCGGTCTATGAACTTGATAAATGTAGGACATATATATATATATATACATAAGCTATATACATAAACTGCAGACTGTACCTGACCAAAGTTGTATTCTGAATTACATCTGGATTGGGTTCTATGGTATTATTCTTGCAGTGATCAGCAGCTCTACCCCGGAGACCAATATATGATTACTATCCGTCCAATGTTCTTTTGAAATAAAATTAAGACAGAATATATATAATATAAAGTTTTAAATATTTTTTAGTTAACCTGTAAAATTGAATATGTAATGACATGACTATTCAAAAGTGCTTAAATTAAGTTTATTTGAATAAATGATTTTCTATTCTATTCTATTCATGAAATTCAATTTTGAAAATATAATATCTCTTGTTCTTGAAATGCAAACTTAACATCTTCATCTTTGAATACAAACAAATATATATACTCTATGAAATGTATATATACAATAGCATGAATGCTATTTTGAAATTAAATATTACTGTAATGTTAAAATAAATTTACAATACAACAAATAATATGTTAAGTCTGCATTTCAAGAACATATACATACACTTACATTCATAATCATAGATTTCTAACTGAGTTTTTTGGGTAGCATGAGCATATATAAGGTATTGCTAATTATTGTGATCCACTATTTTCATTATATATAGAATAAATAAGCCCCTACCAATTAACTATTAGTATATATGGTTTTTACTTCTAAGGTGTTTCCTGAAAATTCAACTTCTTTTTATGAGATAAGAAATAATCTATATCCTTCTTTGTGTAATTATCTTCATATCAAATTTTATTTAAATCCATTACATTATTTAGTGGTGAAGAGGCTAAAGATAGACACACAGAGATAGACATATAATCTTAGTATTGATATTGTAACAGAAACTTGGGATCGATTCTCACTTAGAAATATATTATTTGCTCAAGATAATTAAATTTCATTTGAATATAGTATATTTAGAGGACTATAATATTAATTTACTTCTCTAATAAATTGTAGGTTACAATAATTCTACGCAAGAATGAGTTCAACAAAGAATTCACTTCAGGCTCAGTGAAGTCATATGATTCAAATCAACTGGCTTCAAATGATCCTATTGAGGACACTAGAAGTGAAGCGCAGTGCAAGATGACTCCAGGTAATTTAGTTGCATTGAAATGTAGTTTTAAGTTATAACTTATAAGCTTAATATTGTTAGAAATATATTAAGTAAAATATACATTTAATATAATAATAATACCCCTGGGCATTTCAACATCATCTAGACCCAAGGTAAACAGAGTTTTTGTTATGTGATATAAATACTTAGAGAGTTTGTTTTGTCTAAATACATACTTAATATATATATTGTAAATTTGTACATAATATACCTACATAGTAAACACCTAGTCCCATACAAACAATCATACTCATGTATACAAATGTTTGTACCATTCGAGGAATCGAGCCCGTGACCATAAGAAGTAAAGCGGTATGCTAAAACGCTAGACCACCGAGGCCATCAATAAAATCATAAACGAAATTTGTCTGTATTTTTGTATATATTAAGATAAATATTTAAGCTGCACTAATGTTACTGTAAAGACTGGTTTTGTTTGAATTGAATAGGATTTTCACTGGTGTATTGTTAGTTTATTTCAATCAGTAGACAAACATAAAAAGTTAATTGAAAAAATACGCGCTATTCAAGGAACGACGCTTACGAAGTTGTGAGCGCAATTCAATTCAGTAGTTTGTAAACACTGAAAAGTTTCACTGCTTGAATGCAACATTGTAACTACGTAGACTATAAATAGAGTATTATAGAAAGAAGACACGTTTTTATTCCTTACTTTGAAGCCATCAATTGTCCACAAAGATCGGCCCTGAGTCACTCGTAATAATTTATATCCTGTAACATATTTCTGGATGTAACTACTTATTGGATGGTCGTTATCTATCGTACTGCTTTTATTTTACCTACCGATATTTTTAAGTTTATACATAATTCTTTACGGAGATTCTTTTGTCGACATCTGCCTGTTACTTTGGCCGTCCAGTATACCCGGGACGCTCGAAAGAAGAGGAGAAATCGCGTAATATGTGTATTGAATTTTTCGTCAAAAATGAACCTAATTTGAATAGCAGCGTGTAGTGTGACCTTGACTTTTCTACAATTACTTTATAAAGTATATACTATACTTTATAAAGTATATACTATACTTTATAAAGTAATTGTAGTGTAGTGTATTGTGTGTAGGTTATTATTTGATAACGACTTGGAATAATAAACAATGACTATTATAATAACCTTTTAGAAATTTCGAATAGATTATTCAAAACTAAATTCAAATCCGCTTTCACGATGACCCTCTAAAATGTAAAACCAAGGATACAAGAATAGTAATTTGACCTTTATCACATAAGTTTAACGTACAGACAAGGTTGGTTTACGATTTTATTAGATACTAGCTGATCCCGCGAATTTAACTTTATTTTTCTAAAATAAAAGTAGCCTAGCCTATGGAGTAACTTCCTTATTACATCAGTTACCTGCCAATAAAAGTCCCAGTCAAAATCGGTCCAGCCATTTCATGAAATAATCCAGAACATACAAACAGACAGACAAAATTTATAAAAAATGTTGTTACATACACCAGTATGTGCCGTATTTACATTGATGTGCATGTAGTAAAAACGGATTATTTCAATATTACAAACAGACACTCCAATTTTATCAATATGTATAGATTATTCGTCACACCAAAATATATTTATTTTTGAAACTTAATAACTGTCATTCTAGGTCTCCTGATGGGTATATTTGACGGCCATGGTGGCCCTGCCTGTGCTCAAGTTATATCCAAGAGACTTTTGAATTATGTAGCAGCTTCCCTTCTTCCACTGGATAGTTTAAACAAATATGTACAAGAGAATCCAAGAGAAAATCTGATAGAATCATATAATGATAGGGTAAGTTATAGATGTTTTTTACGTAATTGGAATGGGAAAAGAGCTGAAGGTCCACATGATGGTGAGTGGTAACCATTGCTCATATATCATTATGCCCATTATATCATGCATTGCTGTTTTGGAGGAGTAAGCTGTCATGCCTTTTATTCTTAATTTGTTTAAGAATAAATTAAAAGAATGTTTGCTAACTAGAAACTATTATCATAATAATACTTATTTAACTTATATTTAACTCACAATTATGATGATGATATATAATATAATACAATTAATTGTTAAACATTTAAATTCGCATGCCTACTCATGGGCGGAATATAGAGACACTGTTACTTACGTTACTGGATCTATATGCTGAATTGGATGGTAGGGAAAAATGTATAATATAAAAAAAAAATTCGTTCATAAGCGGCTAAAATGTTCTACATGAATAATTATTTTTTAATTTGAATTTGAACTTACCATGTACCATCCCTGTCTACCTATATTCAGCAAAATAAAGTGATTGATTGATATTCTGTAATTTCACTGCCTTATTTCCTTTGTGATGAACCTTACACCGAAAGACGGCGAAAACTCCTTTAGTTAAGCACGAATGAAGCTAATTTAATTGATGTAAGGTTTCATGTCGCGTTTCTCTTCTGTTTTATTTTTTGTTTACTTAGTCACCTCTTAAGGAGTCCAGACCTGATACTTTGTGTATTTACAATACCTCCTATTTGATATTGTTAACCAGATTATATAAATAACCATCTCTTGTGTGTTTGGCTGCTTAGTACTAATTGTTAAGAAGTTATCTATTTTTATACTAGTTCTTTAATAATTCTAATATAAAAATATTGTAGGAATAATACTAATACTGTGCTATATAATCTTAATCAAATTAACATTCTGTTCCAGGTTGAAATTGTTCAAGATCTAAAATTAGTTTACGAAAATAGTTTTAAAAAATATTTAATTGAATTAATAGACCTTCCTAGAGATGGTACCGATGTTCGTTCTTCGTTAGAACATGCCATAATGAAATTAGATAATGATCTGTCAAAAGAAGTTGTGGAGCCTTTTAAGGAGACCGGTGATATAGATCCTAAGACTTTATCAGTTGCTCTGTCTGGGGCTGTGGCCTGCGTGTCTCATATTGATGGTCCTCATCTGTATGTAGCTAATGTAGGTGACTGCAACGCTGTATTGGGTACTATGACTGAGGAAGATGAGTGGGTTGCCAAGAAAATTACAAAAGAACATAATTCTGAAAATTTTGATGAGTTGAAGAGAATATGGAATGAGCACCCAGAAAGTGAAAGAAAAACTGTGATAAGGAGAGATAGACTGTTAGGAGAGTTAGCTCCACTGCGTAGTATGGGAGATTTCCGATACAAGTGGCCAACAGAGTTATTAAAGAATGTTGCTGTCCCAATGGTTGGCCAGAAGGCTATACCTCCTAATTATCATACACCACCTTACTTAACAGCTAAGCCAGATGTTTATTATCACAGACTCACACCAAAAGATAAATTTTTGATAATTGCATCGGATGGCCTGTGGGACATGATGACTCCGTTACAATCCGTGAAATTGGTGGGTGAGCATATGAAGGGTAAAGTTTTCTTCAATCCCCTTAAATTGCCCCGGAAAAATATTCAATTAGGAGATATAAATGAATTGTTAAATCATAGAAAAGAGAGCTTAAAGAGCAAGCCTAAGGATAGAAATGCAGCTACTCATTTAATAAGACATGCCATCGGCGGAACAGAGTACGGTGTCGATCACTCTAGGCTGGCACATCTTCTTAGCTTATCTTCAGATGTAAGTCGTATGTTTCGAGATGACATAACTGTTACCGTAGTATATTTCGATTCAGAATTCCTCAGACAATGTCCAGCATAAAGTGCCTCAAATTAAATTCCTTTATTTAATTCTTCTTTACGTACACTTAGTGTGTATTGAGGAGTGTTATTTTGTTAACTGTTTTGTTCAATTATTATTTATCGATCTAGTATTTATTAACGAATTTTGGAGTAGTGTTTAAATAAATAGTTGTTGAAAGTAATTTTTTTTAATTACATCCATGATTTTGAACCCTATTTATATGTACTAATAATAGTTGTAATCGTCCATTATAGTTCAAACACAGTCGCTCTCGTTGTCTGTAGGCTTAGATTTTTTAAACTACTAATCGGATTTTATTCTATTTTCCAACAATAGATAGCGTGATTCAAGAACAAGTGATATTTAAGTAGGATGTACTATAGACTAATCATAAAGTTGTTAATCACCCTAGACAGCCCCAATTATTATCTATATTACACCGGTGCGAAGTCGGGGAAGATTGCTATTTATTCCGACTAATTAGTATCAATAAATTAAGAATGAATAAAGTATAAAGGAACAATACAAAATTTCTGGATAGGTAATGGTAAATCTGATTTGTGCTACATTGTTCACATAGTGCATGTGTAGTGTTTGATTTGGATGTTTCCGTTACATCTTTCGACTTCTCCGTTACGAGCGGCGATCTTTGTTCGCCTAATTGGTATTGATATGGGGACGAAAAGGGCTGGTGACATTCTTATTACTTTTTAAAGATTTCATATAAAATCACAGGGAGGCATAACAACTTAGTCTTCCGAAAAGGTAGGATGTGACATGATAACGTGGTGCTGACCACGTATATAGGCGACGGTTACCACTTACTATGAGTTGGGTCGTAAGTTTGTTTACCATTCCATATAATAAAAATCGGTTATAAAATTGTACAAAATACTAAATTGTCGATTCTAAACGGCGTTAAGCTATAGAAACTGTCTCCCTTGCAATATCCTAGGCTTGAATTAAGGTTTAATTAATTTAATTTATTGAATATAGTATGTATCACTACGCTGTCTTGGGGTGATTGTTAGTAATGTGGACTAATGATCCCATTGCTAGCAATGTACCTTGTCAGGCTGACCTCCACGCGTTTCCCCCTGGAAACCATCGTGATAACTTGTTAAATCATAGAAAAGAGAGCTTAAAGAGCAAGCCTAAGGATAGAAATGCAGCTACTCATTTAATAAGACATGCCATCGGCGGAACAGAGTACGGTGTCGATCACTCTAGATTTAATTCCCGGTGAATTTGTCAAAATTTTTAAACTTACTATAGATCTGATAATATTATAATCAGTAAAGGCAATAAATAATATTATACTTAGTAGATTCAATCGTAGTAGCCATCTAATAGCTGACAACGTAGTTTATTATTTATACCGCATCTAAATAATTTTGAGGTTTGGGACATGCAATTTTATAAATAAAAGAATCGGCTATTGTAATTTCAACTTCATTTATTATTAATCATCATTTATTATTAAAAGTGAATATTATAATAACTAGTAAAGTAGGCGAATAATAATTAGTATGTACATAGAAGGAGAGAGATCTAGGTATTTCGAGACACTCTTTAAGAAAGACAAGCCTTGCAGCGAATTGAAAATCGGCAACCATTCTGTTTCCTGTAGACAAAATGTATATTCAATTTGGAGTCAATACAATTTCCATAATTAATTCAAGATAAATGTTTAATTTCAACGTTTGTATGGAAATAAAAATAGTTTCAAATGACTTCAATTTAGGTACAGATGTGTGGAGGGTTTAATAATTTTAGACATTAAATGAAACTTTAGAAATAAATCTTGAGTTGAGATACATAAATGGTCGTCCTGATAATCTTAGAGAAAAGAAGCTTTTATAAATTGTATATGTCAAATAAAACACAGTATCTTCTGACTCGTGTATGTAGGTACCCACATAATCGCTGTTACCTTTATTGCGTTTAACCTTTTACTATATACCTATAGATGAAATTACTTTCATCTACCACTTGCTCAACATCTGCACCATTCAGAGTATTTAGCGTAAGTAAATAAATTCAGTTCGCTGCATGAAGCGTATAAAATATGAATAATAAGCTTAAGGACTTAAACCTCTGTGTTATAAAACATTTTTGTCATAATAAGCTGCATACTTGTATAATATTTTGTTCACAATTTTATTCCACAAAACCACAGAACAAGTAAGCAGGTGCTTACCTATTACGAGGACTGTGGAGGGTTTCTTTAAGTTATGTATTCAATATCTATGATTGAATACAGAAATGAGGTTAAACGTAGGTTATACCTTCTTTCAATGAAATATGTTGAATTAATTTCGATAATGTTACATAGCTCATTAACTATAGTTAAAGATGCAGAATTATATAGTTACTGTACATTGAATGTACATATAGAAGGCAATAATTTCATTTAACAAATATCTATATGATTATTGAAAATAAAGTTAGACTAATTTTATCTTTATAATGACGTATTTAGTACTCAAAACATTGCATGCAGAATCTCTGTCAAACTGTTTATTATTTATTTTTATGAAGTCCCTGAGATGATGACAGTGTTATAAAGACCTGTGGAATTATTTTAATTTATGGCTGGATCTGGTGAAAGTACCATTTTCAATGACATTAAATCATGAGAATGATATGAGATGACCTTAAAAGAAATGTGAATCAATTCAACATTACTTTATTCATTACAAAAGAGTTCTTCAGGCAGTGTTTTGATTAGATAAGTCATTTGATTCTGATTACAATTTATAAGTCTTTTTCTGTATGCAAACAGTTGTATTATTAACAGATATATCTAAAATTATATAAAAAGGATGCTAAAATAATAAATTAATAATAATAAAAGAAAAATTATAGTACCTAATATTTGATAAGCGTTCAGTCATTATATAGACATAGAAGCTTATTAACATTTTTCAGTTCATTAATAAAAGCTGCGATACTCGATTTTGTTAATAAAACAACATAATCATTCTAACTGATTACAGGCGTAACGTCTGCCATAAGAACAAGGGTCTGCTACTTAAATCTATGAAATGCACAGCCCGCAACAATATTCCTACTCTAATTCGTTTGAAAAACGCGTCTTATTCCCTACAAACACTGTCGAAAGACACAAATTGACTTGTGATTCGCAACTACCAATTCAAGTACTTATTTTTCAAAATCTTCGAGCAAACATTCAATGCTTTTATAATAAATAGCTGAAGTTTTATAAACAGCAAATAGTTCACAGTTTTATATAGAAATACGTTACAAGTATCATAAGAAAGTTTAGTTTTTAAGCAAAAGATAACAATTCTTATAAAGCTGTAATTAAGTTACTTAAACGTTAAGTATGAGTAGATTAAGTCTTAAGAGTTAAACTACATTATGTTGAGAGTAGCTAACGGAAATATCCAAAAGTCCTCCAAAATATACGCTTTCAGAATTCGCCAAGAAGGATGGAGAGAGATAATAGATACCTAGAGGTATTCAAAGTGTTTGTACACTAAATTTGGCAAAGACGATATAAAGAATGGTGCTCTCCGAATAAAGTGTACCTAAGCCACTGATACGGCATGGCGCACCCTGTGGCTATCTGAACATGTGAGAAAAGTGCTATATTTGAAAGATAGTATTACACAAACTACATCATCAAACTACATATCTAGTACATGGATTTATTATATTATTATGAACAAAGTACGTACGTAATTAAATATAATTTATTTGTCACTTGATTAAAACTTGCAGAGAGCGCGTGTATGATCGCGCCTTTGGGCCTTATTACACTGTCATTTATATAGGTTACTGATATATGTATGTAGGTATGTGGAGTAGTAGAATTATTCATGTACTACAGTTGGGTAAAGTAATTATGACTAGATTATTACCAATCCTTAATCTTTACTAAAATGGATCGGATATGGAACTAAAATCAATACCGGTATTAGTTGATATAATAATATGATCCTATAAATTTGATAGTGTTATAGGCCCTTTCTGCTAGTTTGTAACAGTCGTATCCGTTAGCGGCTACCGCTATACGCTTACTCTAGTCATACATATTATGAAGGTAGGTAAGGTACTCATTACTATGTACCTAGCCATACCTAGACTTCGTTATCGAAAACGTCGTTTGTTATATAATTAACGAATTGATTTTTCATTACTATTTATCCAAAACGTCATTAATTACTTACATAGAATCAACGATTTTATCTTAAGTTACGTTTAAATTTAGTCATAACAATTTATAAGTTAAAAAATGATGTATTTCAATTTTAATGTAACCTCCAAAAATTGTTAATCTGCAATTTAATCTTCTTGTTAATCTCGTGACACTTTAAATATATTTATTAAGATAATATTTGTAGTACTGTTTAACTATGGGGCTGTAAAAGCCCAAATCGAAGAATTCTCTAAATTGAAAAGTACTTTAAGTTTATGAAAGTAGTTTATATTTTAATACTTTTTAATAGTTAGTATATAATTACTAAGATTCATTATAGATGTAAAATTAACAATCCAAAGACTATAAGTATTATGAGATATTACTTAGATTTATTTTAACGTAGCTATAGCAAGATACATATAAAGTAAATGTGCTTACAAACACATACATAGTGCAGTAGATCTTAAATTGGTTAATCACAAATAAAAATTTTTTTTTTCAAATACTTATTTTTCGATGTTGGTTGTTTCCTAATACTTTTTATAAGGCTTAATAATATTATGACGTAGGTTAGGTATATAGATTTCAATAAAGTTAACCGATGTGGGACTGACTAAAGAAAGTGAACTTATAAAAGCGCCTTGAGACGCTGATGATTCCTCTCACCCGGATATACTTTGTCTTCGGGTAAGTTCATCCTAGCTTTTAATTCAAGTGCATTTGTAAACGTCAATGAAGGGAGCGACGTGGTTGTGTGGTTGTGTAATAGCTATTGTAAGGAATGTAGATGGATGGATGGATGTACATCCAGAATGCGGCCTGGGCTACGCTTTGTAAGCAAATTGTGACATTTGAGGTTTAATTCTTAATTTAAAAACATATTATAATTAATTTGCTATGTTTAATTTATAACGTGGAATGAAGCATTTAAATATGTTGTTTATATATCCTGGAAAGGCTGTAAAAATGAGACGTTAATTTTAGTTATTTCAGATAAAATGACTAACTATAATGAATATGTTGGTATTATTAACAAGTAATTTGTTGACGTAAATGAGAGAAATCACTAGGAGTACTGTGTAACAGTCCATAGTGTTTACGAAATGTTACGTTTTGACTTACAGTCAGTAGGGACTGATTGGCATAACAAAAGGTAGTTCATTAGTCGGTGTATTGAAGTAAGACACAATCTCAGACCTAATGATTGTGAGGTTGAAATACAGGCAGTAAATCGAAATATAGGTGTAGATAGAGATACAATAGAATCCGCACCATAAATGCGACCTGTTGAATCTTAGTAGAGAATAACTAGTAGATCTATTTAAAACGATCAAAATTTATTTATACTATGATTGACAAATTCGAAATCTTTTTTGTAAATGTATTTGCAAAATTGGAAATATGTGCCAATTTAAAGTAATTAGATATAACTGTTGTTTTATATTAAATTATATTGGAGAATATGCCTTCGTAGGTCTTCATTAATTATGTTACTAAATGAAAATTTGTTATGTAACTGAATTGACACCCCCTTCATTGCCAACTTTTAGATCGCTGTCGTTACCAGAAAAGCAGTACAGATTTTATTCAGCATTTACTTCAATTAGAGCATCATTCAATTTGCCAACACGAAATTTATGGCGAGGGTACGTAACTTTTAATTGCCTCATATACTTCCCATGACTATCATAATATTATAATAAATTATAAATAAGTAATATTTACATCAACAACCGACAATGTATTCAAAATTCAGAGTTGATCTTAGGTATGTTGATGGAAACGTAATTTACTTTTTATTATTTTATATTTATGCATAAATTTTAGTACTGAGAAAAAGTTAAACTATACATTAAATTATATTTACTGCGTTGGCTAATTACTTGATAAGAATCCTCATATACGTCAGTACTTAAGTATTCTAGCAGAAGTAATAAATAAGAATTAAAGCATCATACGGTATATTTAAAACTTACCAATCAGTCAAAATAATATTTATATCATAATTATAATTTCTTAGTAGTAACAATTTTTCTTAATTAGCAACAATAGCAGACATATATTACTCAAAATGTATTAATGCATAAAATAGTAGAAGTAAGTAGGGGAACATTTCGTCTGAATAAAATGAAATAAAAAAAATATTCCTGCTTTTATTATTCTATAATTTTCCATTATATATATATGACTCATATAGCTACATTATATAGCAATAAAATCAATACGAAGGACATTTAAATAGATGTTCGAAGTGGCGCCGGAAAATAGGCATAATTCTGTTATTTTAAGATTATGAAAGTAGGGTAATATAGGTTTGAGAATAGAGTATACGACATTATAATAGAACATGATTATTTTTTAAATTACCTACTACACCGTTTCTATTAAGATGCTTCTCGTTTAGATATACACTGAATTTTGTTACACTACAAATACACATATCTTTCCTATAAGTGCATGCACCCAGAAAATACAATTACAAGAAATTTTTACGGACTATGACGAAGTTTTGAAAACCATAATATTACAATCAGTTATAGTCAATTGTAACAATTAAGCACACCACAATAAGCTAACAGAAGGGAAACATTTGTGTAAGAATAGAAATAATAAGCCTCGCTCTTTGCCTGCTGTTCATATTGGCAAATGTTACAATAATCAAACATCCGCCGCGTGTGCGCAAATCCCAGTTTAGTTTAGTAGTAATAAAAGTAGATATAAACGGGTTAAAGTTAGTAACTTTTTATGTAGTTTTACGTATATAAACGTGGTACTGCAGTAAGAGATTTGCAGAAAGTACCGTTAACTTTATATGTAAGAAATCTTAACCTATATATAAAGAAGAAACTGACATTCTTTTCTAAAATATAAATAAGACACATAAAGTCTCTCATAAGTTGAATCGAAAACCACCGTAACCTTTAGAGGTAAAAATAAACTATTATTTAAATATTTTAATTAAGAAATTTTACTTATGGTTGGCGAAGAATAGATCTCATCAATATCACGAATATCATAGTAAAAATATTAAGTTGAAGTAAATTTAAATGTTTATAATTAGAACACAATTCGAGAAGTAATCTGACTATGCTATTATTATATTATATAATTGAATGAAGTTACTACACGCGGCGGAGTTACATATGCAGCTCATTTAAGTAAATGTGAAATCCGGCGAGAGGATGACCATAGATTAATCGCCCCCAAGTGATAGCGCCTGAACGATGCGCGGGTCCGCCTTGCTGCCCTCACGGAACTCCTCCAGAGTGAGCCGGTCGTCGTGGTTTTTATCCATTTGGTCGAAGATCTTGTCCACGCGTTTCTGCGGTGTATTTTCGTCCTCCGGTTGTGGAGTTTGACCCTGTAATTTTATAGCGTAAATTAATTTGTACTGTTTGATTTTGTGCTGTTTCTATTAAACAATTTTTAAATAACATATAATATATGTAAACTAAATATATATCTTTATTTATATATGTAATAAATAAAAGGATCTGTATGATGTAAGTAATATCATTTGATGTAAATATTCATATAAATGTAAATATTTACATCAAATGCAATCAGAATTTTTCTGAAGGCACTGTTATCAGTTTGCAAAAAATAGTGGTAAAGTAGCCCAGATAGGTTACACATAAGTTACTTTACGAGGATTATACATGTATAGTAAGTGTAGCATCCGGTATGTACGGAATCTGTTGTTGCCTCGGAGATATGTGTACATGTAGGAAATACGGGCATTGCCTATGCATCCAAATGGGTGACATCCAGACGAAAATGTAAGCTAGTATAATCTCACCACTTTGAATACAAACACAAAGCAACACAGATTACACAGTTGTTATTTATGCATATACTCATCATTATATATATTCTATGTTATATGTCATTCTTTATGTAAAAGAAAAACAAGTAAAAATCGTAAATCTAAAAATGTTTACACCGGAAACCTTTTAGGGTTTATGCAGGATATATTGTAAATTAAAATATCAAAACCTCGTTTATACTTTCATTTACATACTTTGTATATTTTATGCATTTTCATTATAAAGAGTACGTTCTGCCTTAAAAATGAATAATATTTATTTATTCATTTTAGGTAAGCCTCTAAAAACCAATCATCTGCTTTATTTATTTAATCTTTATTGAATTATCTACGGGCGGGCTTAATGTTATTAGTATTCTATAGCAGCCAACCTTAGGGAGTGCAGAGATACTCTAAGGCGATATAGTTAATGAAATGAAATTTATATAATATATAAGTAGATTTACATATACAGAATAAAATATAACGATGAGACATATTATGTGACGTGGGGCTGTAATATAAAACAATTGCATTCTATAATAATTTTTCATACTTCTTAGCGATTATTTAAAAAAATATATACTATGACGGTGGCAAACAAGCATCTGACGGTAAATGGTTATCGTAAACGGTTAACACCAGGAGTGTCAGGTTTTTGACCGACTCTTATTTTTGCGTTTAATTATGATACTATAGAAATTGTTAGAGACTGATACAATTACTTAGCATTTATTAATAAGGATGAGAGGATTACAAACTTAAATACAGTTGTAAAGTGTACATACCACCATCTGATAGATCGCGTCCACTATGTTGTACATTTCTTCCCTAGTGATGTATCCGTCGTTGTCTACGTCGTAAAGACGAAAAGCCCCTGTAATATAATAATACGGAATTTATATACCGTTTTCAACCCACAATATATAAATCTCTAGATTTAAATTTACATCACTGCTTACTACAAATACAGCAGGTTTTATCTGAAAAAGTTTTTATATTAAAATAATTATTATATAGTTATTTTAATATAAAAGCGGGTACAATACAATTATAAGGTATGTAGATCTAGGGACGAAACAAAATATTTCTAATGTTACTTAATAAACATAGATTATCAATCTTAATATCAATATCAATCTAATCTTATCTCGAGTAAAAAAAAAAGAATATTTATTTATATTCTATGACATGTTTTAGAAAACCATTTCCATAAAAAGTGATTTCTTATATTATTATCTATAACTATATAATAAAACTAGCATCTGCAGAGGAATATACATATAAGAGTAACATCAGTAGTGTCAATATTTTAGTTATCTATTGTTACGATATACGGCACGGTCTATAAGTTCTATAACTCATAACATTTCATCATCATCATCATCATTGCAGCCCGGATGTCGGGCACTCTGGTTCTTCTGCGGATCTCCTCATTTCTGATTCGATCACGCAGAGAAACTCCGAGCATAGCCCTCTCTATTGCCCTCTGAGTGACTCTGAGCTTGTTGATGGGGCCCATAGTTAGCGACCACGTCTCTGTTCCGTAAGTCATCACTGGCAACACACATTGGTCGTAAACCTTCGTCTTGAGACACTGCGGAAATTTGGACGAAAAGATATATCGGAGCTTCCCGAACGCTGCCCATCCGAGTTGGATTCGACGATTGACCTCTTTCTCGAAATTGGATCTACCTAACTGGATAGTTTATTACTCATAACATTTAGTCAATTTTAAACGCTTATTGATACAGTTACTGCATGAAATCCACCACATCCAGTTGTGAAACAATATGAAGTATAAACGCAGACTGGATTTTAGCGGAAGCTATGAATATATATTGTCAAGAACATCAAGCAGGCTCAGATAAGACGCAAACGATTCAATTCAATATATACGCCGTCAAGTGAATTAATATTATTTTAAAACGAATTCGTTATATTCATTGATGAAATGGAATAAGTCAGTTGCTAAATTATAATAAAAAAATTTGGTGCTCGGAATTTTAATCCGTCTTACTCTTAAGCAAAGTAAGAACAACAATCTGTTTAGGCCTCAGACTACTTACAATGTAGTTTTTCATCGAGATTTCCCCTTGACGTCACCGATAGCGCTCGTATGAACTCCTCGAACTCGATGGATCCGTCCTGTGAATGTAATAACAATAAAGTAAGCATATTTTGTACCGAGGTCATCAAGGTAGCTTGATCAATTACTTAATTTACTTATTACTATAGGTAACCTAAATAAAATACTACTTATGACTTACTTATAATAAATTAATATTAATTATTTGAAGGCTTCGGTGGTATAGCGGTTTAGCACACCACCTTACCTCCGATGGGCGCGGGTTCGATTCCTCGCACGGCATAAACATTTGTATTTATGACTGTTTGTATTGGTCTGGATGTTTTCTATGTATAATATGTATGTATTTACGAAAAAAATATCTAATCATTTGTATGAATTAAAAGCCAGCTGAAGCTTGTGTTATGGGTCTAGTACCCAAGCTTCAGCTAACTTTTTTTAGACTAAGTTGGGTCTAGATGACGCTGTGTGATTTTTTTTAATATGTTTCTGAATTGCATTAACCCTGATATCCTTCTCTCGTATAGACATAATATCTGGATAGATAATCCTCTGAAATAACAATGCATAGTGTAGGTACTCCTCGAACGACACATAATGACGTCATGTCCGTAATACTGTTCATGAAAATAGACGAATGTGGCCACTTAACATCAGCTTGTTTGTCATTCTTGATATATTAAAAAGGTAATAAAATAGTTACATATTGAACTATTCCAGTTTTAAAACAATATTGAAATCATTAAAGTATTTAGCATTGAGTATATATAAACATTCGATACATAATACTATCATGTATCTTTAAAGTGCAAACAAGCAGGGAAGTAGGTACTTTCAATTATAAAAAGTTTGCTACTAATTTTAGTAGTATTTAACATTGTGTAATAGCCATCAAGCAATTATTTTATAATAGTATGTACTTCCTAATATATTGTTCTATAATTAACCACCGTTTCCTCTCCACAATATAAAGTACTGATTGCCATCAAAATGCTGTATAAATTTTATTTATTCCCATTCAACAAATTTTAATTCACAAATTGAAGAAGAATTTTCTCAAATCACAAAATATCAATAATTCGGTATTTTATTTAGTCTATTGCAATATTGTAAGAAATATTTACGATATATACACCTCTCACTCTGTATACAAAATTATTCTTAAAGAAAAATTGATTTTTCTCCTCAGGGACGATATTCAAAGTGTTCATGGAAGTGCGACACCACGTGAATTGCGAGTATCAACATTAAACTTCGAATAACCGAGGAAAATATAAAATATGTTTGCTATAAAGTACTAGGAAAGAGAACAATGCAGAAGGTGATAACATTATATGAGTTGACTTACGAGTGAACGATGCGGGTCAACGTGAAGAAAATGATTTATTGAAATCAGGAAATTAAAACTTAGAACATTATATGCTGATCAATTGCTTATCAGATTGCATTTAGGGCATTGGTTTCAATTTATTGAGAACTTTATCAATGGAGGCTTACGTATATAATAAACGTAAAAAATATATCAGGGAAAATATAGAACCACCACGGGGATGAAATAAAACTCTTAGTACTATTATGTCACTATATTATTAAGACAATAACGTATTACAAATGAAAGATAGTTCTGAAATGGAATGGTGTTGTAAAAAAATTGGTTGATAGAAGTGATTGTATGTGGATATTAATCCACTATTAAAAATGTTCACACTCTATGACAAACGTTAAAGTAGTATGAACTAATGGACCAAACCCAATTAAATAGGATTCGCTATATAATAAAAGAAATTGTAGTCAAAAAAGTCAAAGTCACGTTCAACTATTCTTGTCGTATATAGTATACATACATTTACCAGCGTTATGTAATGAACAGTCTATAGATACTCGTAGATAGAGTTTATCAGACGCCCATATCTCTGATCAATGAGTTTTAAACAGAGACTTCATCTTAAATCTGAATGTAAGACATTACCTAACTACTTGTTTATTTGTGACCCTCAAGGTTACTGCCAATGATGTACCTAATTATGGAATAACACCATTAGCGCATATTATGATCATGACTGTCGTGAGACGATTTGTCTAATGAATACAACCTGTAAAGGTACGCTCAGGTAAGCTGCATTTACTTCAATTAGGCAATAGTTCTCATTAACATCCAATTTGTCTACTATGTGTAAGTACTACTAGCTCTTAGTAAAACTAATTGTACTAATTGTAACTCTTGCAAATTAATGTTGTAATTAAATTTATAACATTTACTTTATGTAATAGGAATGGCAGAGAAGCTCAGGGGCCACCTGATGGTAAGTGGTAACCGTAGCTCATATAACTGATAGATATCACATTATGTAATGCCTATGTACATACTAACCTATGCCTGCGAGTATGGATAGATGTTTGTTACCATCACGCAAAAACTACGGAACGGATTTTCCTGAAACATCAACTTATACATCAGAATAATATATAAGCTATAAATTTAACGCGGATGAAACCACGGGGACGGCTAGTAGGCTATAATTTAAAAATATTGTATGTAAATTTAATGATAAATGTGAAGTAAGTGTCATGCAGACGAAGTTGCGCGGTTCAGCTAATTTAAAAAGAAAACTGGTCGGCGATTACAATAGGTGTGACAGAGGATGCAGTCGACTTTTATTGAAAAATATGCTATGTCTTGTCAAGATAATAAAAGAGACAAAGTACAATCGTTATATACACCAAATAAAGCAATATAATCTTTATAAACTATATATACTCGTATGTACCTAGTAGTACCTATGTGTTTTTGATAACGCAACATGTCGCCAAAGACTAAGCCCAACCAGCTTTATAGATTATCATGAATGCCTAAGCGGTATGCCTAACAGTAGATTATGATGAATGGAGTATTACACTGTCAATTAGCACACAGCAGATTAGATAATGTCTTGTTCTCACATTTACCAACTTCATATTTAGTGTGATGAACTAAAACTAATTTGTATCTTATAAGATTTAATAAATATATATAATTAAAGACGTATTTTATATACGTATTATTAATATTTCACTATGTTGCGCTATTTGCACACATGTTACTAATCAAATGTCATTTAAATACTCTATTCAATTTACGCGAAATAAATATCTATCTGAAAAGTTTGTGAAGGTTGCTAAGTAAATATATTTATTCAATATGTTCGGCTATTAATTGAAGAGTTGCCTAGCGAGGAACAGTAGTAATTGCTTACGAATACTAATGTGGTGCGGACACTTGAATCGAAAACTGTTGTGTCAACAAAACTTTTAGATATATAGATGAATATGTTTGTAGGTCAATTAAAATTTGTTGTCAAGCGTTGACATACGTATATCATATAGCATATAGGTGATATTCAATTAGATTTTGATGAAACTTTACAATAATGTAGGTTATACATTAGAATAACACATAGGCTATAACTGAAAAAGATATTATGTGGTGGAAATATATTGATAAATGTCAAATAAGACGGGAAAAAAAATCTCCTATCCGCGAGACATTCTTGTGTGCGCTGCGAAGACCATAAGAGTTACATGAACATGTTGCAATTGTATAATAACATACAGTTGAACCATATAAAAAGTCCGCGACGACATATATCTATCACGTGAGAATATACAATTCTAAAAATTTTAATTGGATGTGAGTGTAACTGTTAGTTACGCCTTCAGGACTATACCGCAGAAACAATTATCATGAATTTTAGTATAATTATAGATAAGTCATTGGCAAATCAAATAGGTACTAATCACTCTTAGGCAAATACGACCTCACTTAGCGTTACCGAGTCAAAAAACATATTCCCATTTCAGTTCTCAAAACTAATAATCCCACAACTTTGAAATTACACTTTTAAATCTTTTTTCAGGGCAGCTGGCAACTCTTTTTACAGATTTACTGACGTTAAATCAGTTATGGAGGTGACACGGTGAAAAACGAAAAAGCTTTCGAATTACAGTCAGGCCGTCGGTGGTAATTGTATATGTAGCTGTGTCAAAATGTTAACGCCTATGGAAAATTGAACTTTTATTATTTTATCGAATTAGCTGTAATTTTGGGGAAGTTCATTTTATTACTTAATGGATTTAAATTATTTTGTTTAATTCTGCTTCCATTGTGTGTGTAGGAGATCAGAAATATTTAGTGCAGAAACCTGATCGCCGCTACAGGAACTGTTATGTCCTTCTCTATTGGTGATAAAATTCCGACTGTTACTCAGTCTATATCTATATTGCGACACTTGTTTCGCCTCTTTGAGTTCGGATATAGCTTGAAAGACTAGTGTCGCTCTTAACGCTTCCAGCAGCGATTATCAGAATTTCGAACTAAATATTTTCTCAAGCATGCTAATAAAATAATATAAATCAATTACATTTAGAAGAAGGAAAATAATCACAAATTAGTCCAATAAATCGCGGTAGAATCGCCTCAAGTCACGGTAAATAGAAATGTACTTAGAGAATTCTAGTTCTGTCAAATACATTGTATTTATCACGTTGACAATTAATGAAGCCTTTGGCTATAATTAGGTTATAGAGGAAAATACCATAAATATTATTGCCGCATTAGTTAATAAAAGCATTTAACAGAACGAAGATATACGTACTGAGACTGGAGTGCATATTGTTTTATTCTGTGGAGATGAAACGGTGAGCGTAACATTGCGCATTCAAAACTATAAGTACTAAAGTAAATGAAGATTTATTTACTACAAAAGGCACCTTACATAAAATATAATGTTGGCAGTCATGAAATACCAATTAAATGTTAATAGAGAAACAAATAGGGCGCGCACACTTACATTGTTTTCGTCGAATACTCGAAAAACTAGTGAAGCAAACTTGCTGGGGTCACCTTGAGGGAAGAACTGTTTGTAGATCTTTATGAATCCCTGTGAATCAGACAATAGACCTGTTGTTATTTTCAATTAAGTAATGTCTACGAGGTATGTATGTGTTTTAGTCTTAATTGTCTTAAAATTATAGTTAGACTATTATCTTTATAGCGTAATTTACTAAAACATTTTTAATTGTAAGTGAAAATATTTGGTTCTACAAAAAATAATATGGTAGAATAAAATGAATATCAGTCTCGGTGAATATATCGTGTAACGTATACATACACATTTATAAAATTTTATTTAATTGTTTGTTAAGATATACCTTGGCTACATTACTAATACTCTCTTACTCTGTTGGTATGAATTCACAGATATTAATAATGGTTGAAAATTAATACTCAATGAAGTAGAATGAAACTATTCAGTCTTGGAACTTAATATAGATAACGGATGCAGAACTTTCGCCTGCACCAGAGACTGGACGCTCGATTAGATATTGAACTTAGCTCAGTACGAAGCACTTAGTGCTGGATAAAGCATTGGACATCTGGCATCCTAGATAAAGCAAACTTACCTATACAACTATTTGCGATTTCGCTAATAGAAATGCCCAAATAGGGAAAGTTTACTCCCCGATATCGGAGAGTTTAAAGTCATCTACGAGTTTGTAGTCTTGAACATCTATACTAATATTATAATGCTAAATGCTGCAGAAAAACAGAACTCTGTTAGTTTGTTTCTTTTTTACGAATAATAACCGAACGGATCTTAATAAAATTTTACTTCAACATATATTGTATCTGTATATATATATATTGTGTTGTGAAGTAGCGTAAGCATAGTATTCAATATATGTATTTTTATTATTATCCTTATCTTTCCGTTTTCATAAATAAATCTATGATTTGGTTGCATATATTTGATACATTTACTAATGATAAATGACAAAAGAAAGATGTACTAAATGTAACGCACCTGCTCAGTCAGGAGACCGTTGGGACAGTCCTTCAGGAAACCTTTATGCCTATAACAAAAAAGAGTGATATAGTAAAATTATAGTTGCATCATATATTCTTATTAATATAATATATTAAATTTAGATAAGACATAACATAAATTATCGTTAGAATAAAATTTGATTGAAAAATTATTTCTTCACAAATACGTGAGATAAATTTAATAATATTTCAAATTATGTAGGAGATAAATTTGATACATAATTTGAAAATTTAACACATTGATTGCATCATCATTTTCTTTTGCTTATCTCATATAATTTGAGATCTGCTTAATATGTTTTTCTCTTCGATTCTCTTCCTTGCTATGTTCACACATCTTTTTTTGGCCATTCTCTGCTCATCCACATTCATATATAATATTTTCATTAGAATGGTACTATTTACAAAAAACGTGTTAATTTTTATTCCCTTCGTATAGATAAAAAAAATGCGACAAGTATATTTTTGTCCACAAAAACACAAATCTACAATCAATGTTTGCGCCGGCTGCTAAAAATATGGAACAAATAAGGGAACTCTCCCTGCCGATTGCAAAAAGGATTATCAATATCGTTTCAGAACGATTCGATTGCCATTGGACGCATGAGAGCAAAAGATGCCAGATTTCTATTTTATTTTATCTCATATGTGCAGTTGCAATCGTTTACTGACCATAACATTCGTTTGCTATTTGTCAACCTTTGATCTGACGAAAATATTTTTGAGTATTTTATATAGTAAACAGTTTGTGATAAAGGATATACCAAACTGAAAGGTTGTAATAGTAGTTTTTTATATAAGCATATAGCTCTACGGACATCACGATATGATGTAACGTCCGTAAGTATGATTTTATACCACTTATCCTATAATATCACTGCATTATCACGCTTCAACAGGTACAGTATGTACACTGAGACTGCTTTTTATATAGTCTACTTCGCTTAACTTTCCCAAAAAAATTAAAAAGGATAATTGAAAACAATGTTAAATATATCCAGACAAACTGCGAGGTCACGCAACCAAATTAGGTGTCAAAAGTTACAATTTATTTTCAGATTTATACCTACTTTGTTTCTTGGCAAGTACTTCAGTCCCATGAGTACCTGGATTTATACTTAGTTATACTCTATGCTACTATACAGATACCACAGATAAGATATTCTTATACTATACTACTGATGGCCTTGCTGGTAGCGGTAGGATACCGCTTTACTTCCGATGGTTGAGGATTCGATTCCTCGCCTCGTGCAAAATTTTTATTCATTAGTATGATTGTTTCTATTAGTCTGGGTGTTTTGTTCATATTTTATATTTATATTACGTTTATTGACTGATGTAAAAATCTTTATTTTTACCTTACAAAATAAATATATGTATATATTATTTATGTATATACAATAAAAAATATCTATGTATTTATATCAGTTGTCTAGTACCCACAATACCAAAGGTACGCCTACCGTGCAATGGCGCTTGTTGGCGCTGTGTTGCTTATCTAGGGCTATTATTTTATTTATTTATACCCATATTACTAAAAACCGTTGACAAATCTTCTTCTTTTAACAGATAGTAAAAAATAAATTAAGTAATGGTGTTCGATTTCTAAAACAGTCCAATTCTTAGACGAAATTTGAAAATAGAATAACTCGGCCACAAAGGGTACTGCCAAAAAAGGGACAGATGTTTAAGTTTTTTTTTTAATTATTATGTCAATTTTTGCGCCATTTAGTCGAGAGACATTTTATATTTTACCTGGAACAATAACCTTTTATTTTAATTAGGTAGGTAGTCTATTATTTTCAAAATGCACTGTCCCAAAAAATTAGGACTATGGCAATGATGATAACGGGACATTTATTCATAATACTGTCTCAATTCCATGTAGACTACTTTATAGTACAACAAATTTTAAAGATTCACAACGACGTACACAATAACGGGATGTATTTACTTATTATAATATACTGAATCAGATAATTGTTATTGCTTATCTATACTTACATGGTATACAAGAAAATGAATAACTTTGCAATATTGCTTAAGCTTTACAAGTAATGTAATAAATATGGTATTTTATATTATATATATAATATAATAAGAATCCTATATTTCGGGTGTAGTAAATGTTCAGAAAATATACCCATTTTTTGCCTATTAAACATCAACATATATAGCATTATATAGCATATTATTAACTTCTATAAAAAACATAATTACATTCATCAACACATACTTACTCTCAAGAAACGTTGTGAAATTGCTGATTCTATTTATTTGATTAAAGTAACCTCCGGTGCATATATACAACCCAGAGTTAGAAACTAAATTTAATGTTAATGTACCAGCAAAACTAACCAGATTTACTCCTAACTCTATACTATACCCTCTGTGTAGTCAAATATAGAGTTACATGTTGTGAGCAAGTAACAATTTGTATATATTAAATATTTTTATAGGTCTACTAGCTTTTGCCCACGGCTTCGCTCGCGTTAATTTATCCCCTTAGGGGTGAAATTTATCAAAATCCTTTCTTAGCGAATGCCTACGTCTCGACGATCGGTTTAAAATTGACAAAGTTTCACATAAAATTTCATCCCTTATTTTATCCCTTTGGGGGTAGAATTAATCAAAATCCTTTCTTAGCGGATGCCTACGTCTTAACATCTACCTGCATGCCAAATTTCAGCTCGATCCGTCCAGTGGTTTGGGCTGTGCGTTGATAGATCACTACGTCAGTCATCTTTGAGTTATATATATTTAGATTTTCTAATAGAATACCTTCAGCGAGAAACATGAAGACCAAGCAATTAGCTTAATAAGTATTTTATGTAGATATACGTTACTTTTTTAAAACAAATAATCTTGGCATATTTTTATTACTCTATTATTATTAGTATTACTCTTCATTAAATATTTAATATCAAGTTTTATACATATTAAGATTGAAACTTTAAACTACCTGTGAAAACCAACAAGTGGCTTCTCTATTTCATATATTGTTGTAATTATGCCCGTAATAGTTTTGAATTTCCAAATATAAATAAATTGGTATAGAGGTAAGTATTACTGTATTATTAATAAGAATTTAGCCTGCTTAAGATTTAAATTGGTTAATATTAGTTATTATTTTTACCGCTTAGTAGGTACTTACCATAGCCGTATCTCCTTCTCAGTAACTGTAACAAGCAAAAAGTAAAATTAGTATAATAAAATATATATAATATTACTTGATTTACAATGATCATCAATATTATTTACTGAAATAATATATTTTTTAAAACTAATCCTACTAATCTTTAAATGGCTGATTTAAATACAAAAACTGTACAACTTTTTTTTTAATAGAAATAGAATAGAAATAATTTTTATTCAAATAAATAATGAGTTTATTTGAATAAAGATTTTGACAAGCACTTTTGAATAGTCATATTTTGATTCTTCCACTCATTCGGAATGCAGATTCATCACAAGAAGAATGAGCAAGAAACTTGTGTGTTACTCTTTTTAATAGATGTTTTTTTATATAAATAATTACAGTATAACAAGTAAGAGGCATGCGATAATCAACATAGAAATCGCTACGCGCTCATTATTAGTGTAATCAGATAATATTATCAGTGCTATGGATTTAAAGTTTTTCTATAAAAACATTATTATCGTTAACGAATTCTACAATTTTATAGTAAATTCTAATTTTTTTTTTGCAAAGGAAGTATTTTATTTGACATTTAAATGTTTTTTTCTGGCAGATTTATAACAGACTCTGGTATTTTATTGTAAAACCTTACGCAATTGCCATAAAACGAATTACTAACTCTAGCCAAACGACATTTAGGTAAAATCAGTTTGTTATTGTTACGTAAGCTTTTATTAGTGCAATCACTAACTCTTTTGAAACTGTCTATATTCTTCCTGGCATACATGATATTTTCATAAAAATATTGAGAATCAACGGTGAGGATATTTGATTCCTTAAACTGTGATGATTCTTTATATTACCATTATTAATTACACATATTTTACTGCAATGTATAATTCATTCATATATTTGAATTATACGTACATTAATATTATAAAATTTAAATTATTAGTCGTCACGTATTGTGTAAATTATTTTATTATAGTTATAATAATATACATGGTATAAGCGGAAGATTTACCTTTAGGTATATATCATTGAAAATTTTCCTAAATATGTGCTTTAAAAATATTATTGTTTGAAAGATAATCAATTCCAAGTAATTTATAATTATAGGTTAGTAATTGACCCAGAATAAAAAAAAACTAATAGATATAAAAGGAACAAAATGAATGAAAATAAGGAAATTAATATTGATATTAAGAAGAAATAGATGCCGAAAGTTTGGTAGCTATAGTATAGTATAGTATAGGTCGTCCTATCGTATATATATAATATATATATACGATAGGTACGTATATATATATATATATATATACGATAGGACGACCATATAACTGATGAATTTGTAATAGCATGTATTCAGGTTAACTTCGTACTCTTAATTTTTGATCTGTTTTATATTTTTGGTAATATACGTTGTAACGGCTCTAGGGGCCGTCATGCATCCAACGTATTTTATATCTACTGCTGCCCAAGCAAATGACCTTTGCTCAATTTAAGTACCTAGTAGTGAATTCACATTTATTTTTATGCGAACGGATCGTCTGGGGAAGTATTCACCGACAGCCCACAAATTCTATGAGATGTAAAAGTTTACTCCTGTGAACATTGTAAGCACACACTTAATAGTAACTACTGACACCATTATTTTATAGCGCGATATAAAAGCTTTTAGTAGGTTTCAATACGAAAATTTATTTAACAGTATTTTCTACTCAGTTCTAGTTTCGAATGTGTACGACTATTAAATAGTCTTTGGATAGAATGCTCTGTAACGAGGAGTTGCACTATATATTAAATACATATTATATAAGATGCATATAAATATGATGTACCTAAACATATCTTTATTATATTCATTGTAATCTCTCATTTCATGCCTAAGTCGCCTTTCAACGGAAATTTATCTTACAATGCAAGCTTAGATTAGTTATCTATAACCGTGCAGACGACTTTGTAGAAAGTCTACTTCGGTAAAATTAACTTCTTTAATTTTGTGAGCTTTTGAGTAATAGTGTTAGCATTTAATGTAAGAAAAGTGAAGTTAGTATATTTTCTTATCGCCAGACACTTTTATAGCGCAGTTCATTTACTGAAAGTTACTTTATTACACAGATTAGAGATACCTGTTAATTGATTAGGAATCTTACTATTATTCGCTTTTGGTAACGTTTGATTGTATCGTGTAATGACTGTGTTACAGTTGTTGAAGTCGTTAAATTATAAGAAGATTGTTATAAAAGCATGCAGCCGTGAAAGTTTATAATTAACCCAGATTGTGTGTCAGGTCGCCAGCTAAATGTTACAGATGAATAAGCTTCATCGGCGGGTGCTGGTTCTAAATAAAGCAAGACTTATACAACTGACCTGGCAAACCTTAACACTGTAATGTTCTCGAATGTATTGTTACATTACGGAATTTTTCAAGTTTTATTCCTAATTTTGTTATCACAGCGAAGTTGGGCAGTCGGGATTTTTAGTAACGTGACTAGTGGCCCGTTACTAACAAGTAATCAATGTATTTAGTCAGATCGACATCCACGCGGTCCCTTCTGGATACAATTAATTCATCACGCTACTCCTATCATTATCAACTGGTACTCGCAAGCGCAGGTGAGAGCATCATTGCATTAGAACTATTAAAAAATATAGTGAGGTGGTGGTAGCTAGTAGCAATTGACCAGATACGGTACATTATTACCTAGCTAGTAGTAAGTAATAATGTACCGTATTTAGTCGATTTGCTTCTTCCCTTTGTATCGCGGTTAAACTGAATATCTGACGAAATTGACACGATAGGCTGAATGACCTGACTATTCGATCAAATGAGGATGTACTCGTCCTATCACTCTCCCCGTGTGTCGCCATATACATTTACCGAAGGTAAAAAGGAAATTGCGGATTTGTGTACCATCAACATGACTGAAATCTTTTATACCTTTTTTTTAGAACTTCTTTATTGGTATGTCGAAAGAAATAGATATAATTACGTAGATTGGTATAAACAATACTGTACTGCAATCAAACGATTTTGTTAATAAATTTCTATCTCTATTGCGAATCAGTAAAGTTGGATTTTGCTGACATAATGGAGAATATTTGAACGTCCGGAAATGTTTTACGGTTGAGGTCGAGGGATATAAGTCGCGACGAAGACAAATGGGGTTACCTGACTGTTCACTATGCCACTATTTATCTTCTAGTCTTGTGAATATTATGATCTGATCGGTGGGAGATCAAGTTCATATGTTTATTGTGTAACGCCAACAACCGGTTTTTATCAAACAAAACTGTCGAAACAATTTATTCTGTTGAAATATCCACCCTTTCACGCAATATCCGCACCATTATTCTTATTTTATTTCGGATCAAACTACTCGGTACCGATTAGATATGTGATTTTGCAATTATTTGAATTAGCATAATAAAATATAAATAATTTTTATTTAAATAAACTTAATTTAAGCATTTTTGAATACACATATTTTTTTCATTCCTGCAAAAAAGAATGAAGAAAAATCTTATCCGTTAATGTTATTACGAAGGGTATATATTTATAAATATAGTAAAAGATAAATTAATGGAAATTATAATGTACAAAGGAATCAATAAACGAACCCATTGAAATCCTGTTGAAATATGTTCCAAAATCGTTTTAAATTAATTAAATACTGATAGTGTATGCACTCTGCTTGAAATATATGGGCTTTATTGCAGATTGAGTATAGGGCACTCTACTCAATTAGGTTTATTGAATAAATTACAATATGAACTACTATATACAGGATTATATTATTTAAAATTCGTAAGAAATTAGTATAATATTTTCATGAACGAAATTTCATCAAAATATGAAACAATATTGATAATTCATTTATTTGTCGTAACATATTTCATTATTTAAACGGCGTTATAGCATTAAATTGCTTAAAAGTTAATTTTATATTCTAATAATATTTATGGACAATAAAAAAAATTGTTTCTTATTTTTCCTTTGTTTGAAAGCTATAAGAAACATACTTTATAAGATCTCTTATATGTTTTTAAATCAACCTACGGCGCTTTATATTACCAAAATATGGAATATTGTATTTTCAGAGATATTCAAATCGTTTAGATTGGTCTTAATTAGGTGTAGGTTGACTACGTAATAGTTTAGTTGTATAGTGAATATGCTCTAATTATCTCAGAACGTAATATATATATATATATATATATATGTATATTATGTATATGTATCCGATTATAATTGTACGTAACAGATATACCATAGTAATAATAGAGATTGCTGTTTAATATTCCGTAACACTAGCTAGAACACTTGCTCAATGCGTTGTCACGTCTGAGGAGATTATTATTAGACTCTATTTTAGTCACCACATAGAAATGTGAAATAAAAATAATTAGTCTAGTTGTATGTTAAAAAAATCTAAATATTTGAATCAATAGTATAAGTTTTATTTAGTTTGGGAGATGGCGGAGTATATATGTAATAATAAACATATTCGTTACCACAATTGTTAATTTAAGTATGTATTAGCTGTTATATTTTATTGTTTGTCCTAAGCTGGATATATAGAATTATGATGGCGTTTTGAATTTAGTTTACAATTTTATGAGTTTAAAGGATTTTGATATGTCTAGTCTATATATATATATCTACATTTCTGCACATATAGGTACATTTATTAATCTGTTGTTAATCATAATCAAAACAGCATAAAGCAATAAAATAGGTCTAATATTCTTAATAACAGCACATTTATGTTACCGAGGATTTTAGATTTTTTTAAATTGAATATCGAATCAGTTTTAGCGAATATATATACCACGCGTGCATTTGATTCGACCCTATACTATTGTAATATGTTTATTTTGTGTACCTATTATGTACATTATATGTAGTGATTTATGAGTACGTCAAGTGGAACTTCTATTTTTAAATTATTATAACATTATCTGTAAACATACATGACACCTATTTTTGTCTATGCACGTATGTACATAAACAAATTTATATTTAGAAATTACCAT